TCATACCATACTGCATACTTGCCGAAGGAAAAGGTAAAGATTGTCGTTACATAATGACCGCTTCTTGCTTGATGCCCTAACGACCAGGATTGTCAGAAGTCACGTCGGGCCACATGGGCATCCTAATTAGCCACATCGTCTAATATTCTTGTTGATATCCCCATTTACCTACCTACCTACCTATGTGTCTACTTGTATACCTGCCTATGTGACATAACTTCCTCAGCCAGGACTGAGAGGATAACTACTTGGGCCCAGCTCGTGACACGGACCCTTAACCCTCTCGGTAATCCCATACCGTCGAAGCTCTTCGAGTTCTCTTCTAGACGTTAGGCACAGGCACGGGATACCAAAAGCCCGTAGTCGCTCCCATTAGTAGTCGAAATTTTTATCCTGGGAACCCAATTCTCTCTCTTTAATACCCTATAGTTTCCCAGCTTATGGGTCTATGGATTTGTATTTGTATGCTATCCCTGCGTCCGATCTGTTTTCATCGTTGGATTGGACACTTGGGGAAGTAGATCCATCAAATTTCCCACAAGTATAATCATCCAATCGCTACTTGTGGTGCCACTAGAAAGGTACGCGAGACCTCTTTCCCATACCGATCTTACTACCTTGTCAAGAACCGCCCGGATCTGGGTCACGCCCCGGTCAACTACCGCTCAGCCTTCATTGATTTGCGCCACACCGCACAAGACTCCCTATCACTTCTTTCCCCTAGCCTCATCAAGATCCTTGGACTTGAAACAATTTAGGGTTTGCCGGACGCCATATTACACCTTGTCTATCAAGGCAGTATTAGAAGGCTAAGTCTGCTCGAGTTGTTTACGGGTTCAAAGAAACGCTGCGAGCACTTGACGAACTAGATCTCCCTCGCCGGCCGCCAAAATTATACCTCGGCCTCTGGTGAGACCCAATGGAAGATGTCCCACCGCCTTCGGCGGCAAACAGCGAGTTTACGACTGGAGAGGGTGGCGGTGTCCATCAAGGACGCACCCAGAATGATGGGCGAGCTCTCTTGTCGCATGGCCAAAGTCCCGCAAATGATCCAGCATTCCAAGCCCAGTATCAGCAACTCTACGGACCATCCCCTAATATATTCTCAGGCCAAATCGACATGTCTCACCCCCAAGGGCCTAGCCGTCAGGGACCTTACAACATGACCGCGATGGCCAGCGCACTTCCCCAGCATGGATACAGACCTGGCTATAATCCGGGACAGCTACAGCAACGATTCAACACCGGTCCGTCGTCTAATATGATTCAGCACATGCCACAAGTAGCGCAGTTCGCTGGTCATCCGAACATGGCCCAGCTAGGAGGTCAGCCCTATTATGTTGCCCAACATCCGCAGATGGCGCCGTACTACAATGCCCATTTATCGCCGTCGCAGCAACAACATCAGACATCCCAACAACCGAGCTTATCCCCACGACATAGCTTAAGCTACTATTCGAACCCAGTTATGATGAATCAGTCTCAACATGCTCTCCCCGCCGGTTATTATTATCCTACATCGAACCAATTTGCGTCTCCACATTCTATCAATGGCCAGGTGGCACCAGGACAATATTTCATGGCAGACGGCGCGTCGAGTGATCCGCGGGGGCAGTCACCATTGCGCGGGAACGATCAGGCAGGCGGGATTGCAAACTTTGTTCGAGGAGATAGTACGACTGCCTAGCCTTAGATGAGGAGTGTTGAAATCGCTAATGATATGTTTTCTTAGTGTCTCCAGAGGCGCGGTCCAACATCGTCCGAGGACCTCCAAGGAAGCCTCGACAAAGCGGTAAGTGTTTTCGTTGCTGCTACTTGAAGATATTTGTAACACTAAGCCTTGCTAGGTCATGCCATCTGGATAGGGAATCTACCCCCACAGACCGATTTGATGAACCTGGTACATCACGTTTGCAAAGAGGCGATAGGGCTGGAGTCACTCTTCCTTATCTCGAAGAGTAATTGTGCTTTTGCCAATTTTAAAGACGAGCAAAGCTGTGTTGCAGCTCAGCAAAAGCTTCACGATTCGAAATTCCAGTCAGTACGACTAGTTAGCCGGCTACGAAAGAGTACAGTCGAAGGAGCTGGTGGACAGACGGCTCCTACGGGACCAGCAGCAACTTCTCCAAGCGGAAAAAATACATCTACTGGGACTACGAAGAGCTTACAGGACAACCCTCCAGAACCTACAACTTCAGTAACCGATACGCAACCAGAGCAGAAAAACGCGCCTAATAGTGACGGTAGTGCACAAAGAGATAAGTTTTTTATACTTAAAAGTCTCACGGTGGAAGATTTGGAACTGAGTGTTCGGACCGGCTTGTGGGCAACCCAATCCCATAATGAAGAAGTATTAAATAATGCGTTTAAAGTAAGTTGTATTCATAACTATCTTGAATTCATTGTATCCTATTCTAATGAGGAATACAAACAGGCAGTTGATAATGTTTATTTGGTGTTCTCTGCAAACAAATCAGGGGAATATTTCGGTTATGCCAGGATGACCTCGCCCATCAATGATGATCCAGCGGCCGCCATTGAGTTTGCACCTAAGGCACAGACTACGAGTAATCTAGATCTTCCTAAAGCTATCCCAACTGAAGCTACGGACACCTGCCCGAGAGGACGAATTATCGACGACTCGGCTCGGGGGACAATATTTTGGGAGGTAGAACGAGAAGATGTGGACGCAATCGTCGACGGGGAAGATTCTGAAGATTTGGCTAGTGTGAAGAGTGGCCAAGATGGCGAAGGGGGGCCTAGCAAGGCATGGGGCAAGCCCTTCAAGCTTGAATGGTTATCGACTACGAGATTACCGTTCTATCGCACACGCGGGCTACGAAATCCCTGGAACTCCAACAGGGAGGTTAAAATCGCAAGAGACGGCACGGAGCTAGAGCCGACGGTTGGTAGGAGGCTGATTGGTTTGTTCAACCGTATCCAGAGCCCTGTGTCTATACCTATGGGTGCACGACCGGGTATGCCGATGGTTGCAGGATATCCGCCGCCGACTATGCCTCCCCCTTACCGATGACGACAGCGAGTCCCATTGTGATGGGCGCGCGCCACGAAATTCAAAAGAGGTGGCAAAAGGCCGAGCTAGTCTCGGCTTAGCTATGCTGAGCGTAGCAAACGGAGCGGGAGAAAAAAAGAAGTGATGCTGGTCTATACCCACATCACGTTGTTGTAGTGTATATACACGTCTTGACGGAAAAGTGGCGCCTCATGGTATTGTACTATAGATAGCGCCCCACAGCAAGCCGACGATTGCAGTGTTCTAGTGTATGCTCTATAGTATTACGTATAATGAAGGAGAAACACGATGGAAACGCCATTTGCATAAGCATCGTCATTATCGAACCATGTGTACGTGATTATGGGGATTGCCAAGCACTTTGACAATATCTTTTGGGACGACGTTGAGCATTTTTAGTATATGTTATTTGAGATTCCGATGTTCCCTGGACCCTTATGGCCATCATTAGCCCGAAGGAGACCATAATACAGGCCCCCAGATTGCCCGAAACACAACCCATCCCTGTCAGTCTGTCAGTCTGTCAGTCTATCGGGTACATTAGGTATGTTATATGTAGGTAGGGTTGTGTGGATGACATGTCTGCATGTATGCCGTATACGCCAAAACGGGTCAAAATAATCTGCCAGGCGTCAACTCGTCAACCCGTCAACCAAGGGGAGAGCCACCGGCGTCATATCCGCCCAAACAGAACCGTGGGATTGCAAAATATGGATTGAAGAGCAACGTCATCGCAAGTAACAAGCATTCTAACATGGATAGCCAATCCCCATATTCACGTGCTCACTTGAATAATTACCAATTCGGTCGTTCATGCGGGGGGGCTGACGGGGTAAGATCTACCTTCACTACGTAATCTCGGTATGAGATGGGTAAATTCGGGCTTTGCGATGGAGAATACTAAAAGAATTCAATGAAAAAAAGTATGTAACCTAACCTACATACAGTAGGCATCCGATTGCCCGGGTTTGGATTCTGGCCGGAGGTGACGTCATGATTCGCACACGGATGCCGGCCGGTCAAGATGGGACCCCTGCCAAGACTTTTAGTATCTCTTGATGATTAAGCACGCACCGCATTATGAACAAAGTTACCTAAGGTACCTAGGTACCTTAGGTACCTAACGAGTTAGGGCTGAATCATCAGATTTACCATAGGTACCTAGGTATCTAGGTATTTATGCAGATCGCACCGCCACATAGCCACCATAGCCATATCATGTAGGTATGTATGAGGTAAGGCGTAGGTATCTAATTACCTAATGGAGATATATGGAGATGTATGGAGATGGCGAAGTGGTTAAGTAATCTGAAGAAATTCCAAAATTAGGTATCCACCTTAGGTACCTAAGGTAGGTATGTACATATGTATGTAAAGGAGGTTTCCGAGCCACATGATTTAAGCCACAGATAAGCCACGGAAAGCTACAGAAAGCTTTCGAGTCGCAGATGGAATTGAATTGGAATTGTTACCCAAGTTACCCACCCACCTATCACGCTTCGCTCACCTGTTGTTAGTTGACATATCTCAAAGACAGCAATTCTAAGACGATGCGTATGTAGAATAGTTGTGATAATTATAGTTCTTTTTCATTTGTAGAATAATAGGATTGAACAATGAATCGAATGATGAATGTTGCGGGGGCTGGCGTGACTAAAGGCTGTAATGTCGTAAAGCTGTGAAGCTACGAAGAAGCAGCCAAAACTCTAACCTAGAAGTTTCCAGCCAATTCTCACAAGTTCGCACAAGTTCGCGCACCATCGTGAGACCTATCGTCTCCCCCCAACGGAAGTAAGCATCATACATCATCATATGTCCAACTATAATACGTAATTGATTGTTTGTAGAAACGTCTGTATTATTCTAGATAGCTTTAGACCCTTCTAAAATGATTCCATCGCAATTCTATAGGCCATTCGTGAAGATGGTAGAACATACTCACCTCATGACTTTTCAATTATTTAAGGAGCCTCAGATATTGTGAGACTTGCTTCTTCTCTTTCCTCAGATCAGACACAAATCAGAACAACAAACACACGCAAACAAACAACAAGCCTTTTATGAAATCTTTCGCTCGCACTCTTACAAGAGTAAGACCGCAACGAACCATCAAGCCTAAATACCTTAAACCAAACAACACTTCAATTTCACCTGTTAACAACTTCCACACTACTACCAAAATGTCGGTATTCGGACCTCGATTCTACTCTTCTCCCGAGCCCAACTTCACCGGCCTCTTCCGACTAATTGACGACTTCGACCGCTACGCCGGACAGAGCGAGAACGGCGGAACTACTCAACAAACCGGTCGTCATGGTCGTCACCTACCGACCTTCACTCCCAAGTTCGACTTGAAGGAGACCGAGAACACCTACGAGCTCCACGGAGAACTGCCAGGCATTGAGAAAGACCAAATCAACATCGAGTTCACCGACCCGCAGACCATTGTTATCCGCGGTCGCGTTGAGCGCTCCTACACCTCCGGCACACCTCCAGCCGGTCTCCTCGAGAAGGGCCAGGATCAGTCGAAGGGCGCTATTGCCGACGCCCCTAAGGAGCAACACCACAAGCCCACAGTTGAAGATGCTCCCGAGGGCGGCAAGACTGACACCACCGTCGCCGAGACCAACAAGAACAAGGCGGCGGCCGAGCAGTCCAAGCAGCAACCCCAGCACAAATTCTGGGTCTCGGAGCGCAGCGTCGGCGAGTTCTCCCGAACCTTTCAGTTCCCTACCCGCGTCGACACCGACAACGTCAAGGCCTCCCTTAACAACGGAATCCTGAGCATCGTGGTCCCCAAGGCCAAGAAGCCCGAGGGCCGCAAGGTCGTCATCAACTAAGCGGATTTACTGATTTGATCCGTTCCTTTCTTTGATATATAATTACCACTAAACTCTCCTTACACTCTTTTCTTACTGCACTACTCTCCTTTCTCTCGTTCATGAATACGACATCACGTCTTCGGCAAGGAGTTTTCGGACGGCATTGCGCAATGGAGGATTAGGTACAACGGATGAAAATTGATTTGGCCGGTCTGGCGTCTGACAATCATTCTCGGGAAAAGTGATTCGCGGAGGATTTGTGATTCCTGGTAGTTTTCCATCGACCTAATGATGAGTTGTTTCTGCGGAGGAAGGTAATGCATTATGCTAGGGCTTATGGGTTATAATTGATGATAGCATATCGTTAATAAAAGTTTTTGTTAAAAAAAGCCTGTCTATTTTAAGATGCTCAGCTCAGTGACATGATAGGTACTTTTTGATAACTTTGGGATGAAGTGAATTATGAATGATACCACGGAATGTAAGCACCTTGTTGATGGGTGGTTACACAATATCCCGAGTTGACCCGTTGGGAATATAAGTTGTAGGTACTCGAAGGAGTTCTATAATTATTAAGAACTAGACTTCCTTAGGAGCTATTATGAGTTCTGTCCTCATAGACTCCTTGTCCCTTTATAAGAGATACTATGATTTAGTATAACTACATGTTATGATGTTCTGAATAAAGCCTCATAAATCTCAAGGTCATCTGCCCTGCTGCCTCAACACTTATAGGAGGATTAATATAAATATCACACCACGTGCGGGGATGACATGCATTAAGTGCTTTCAGCTGAGGCCTTTGCTACTAGTCTAACATTGAACAAAAATGATGTATCGTCTATTCTCGTCTCCCAACCAAGTACACCTCCTACAAAAGTCCGCCGCTATTCTACTTTGAGATGCTCTATCGTCTTATACTACCGAAGATACTACCGAAGCATGGGCCATGAGGCGTTGGGAATTTCCTTACGTGGCGTAAACGTGAATTAATCCCCGTGCTTAGATTTAGATCTCAGGTATAAGTAATAAAACTCCGAAGATCCCTCGGAGAAATGACTTTAACATTCGATTCCCTCCTGCAGTTAGGCCCTTACGGTATGGAGCATCGCGCAGCTGACTCTTTGTCGTTTGCTTATCCCTTTCGTCCCACGCCCAAGGACACCGAGGAGGTGCGCTCTATTCTAGAACATAAAGTACCGCCAGAACTTGCCATCCAGATAGTCTCCGTCGGGTACAACCCGTGGCTTGTGAAACGGAAAGTCCACGAGCAGGAGTACTACGCCGACTACACGAAACCTGACGCGGAACACTGTGTTGCGGGCTTATATCTTACTACCGAGTGCATTCCCAACGACGGACGCAGAGCCATTCCACAACGCATCATCTTCCAGACGAGCGCGGCGTATCAAGGATATATAGCTCACGATGGAAAGGATGGCTTCCTCAACAGTCACACGCGGTTCGACGCTAGCATTCTACGCCCTTTATCTCCGAAAGTAGAGGGGAAGGGCCAAGATACGCCTCTCGAAGACGTCCTCCTGGATACCTGGTGGGATCCTACGTCTGCCGCGGACGTTCTGAGGGAGAAAGGGTGGGACTTTGTGGCGGCAAAGGACGGGCGCATTGAATGGCGAGTGTGCAACAATAGCGAGGCGTACAGCGAATATCAGGATTATAAGGTTGAATGGAGAAGGGGCGTTCAGGCAGAGGCCGAGGACGATGGGCCGGTAGGGGAAGGCGAGGGGTTTTTGGAGCTGTTAGAGCCGGGATTCATTGTCGTGCTTTGGGTTAGGACTGGAGTAAGTTCAATTCAATCCTGTAATACGATATTGTTGCTAAGCTTGATCGCTGACTTGAATCACGTATAGTTAAGATGTTGGTGCAATAAGGTTCGAGCAGCAACTATTGAGATTGAATATGAGCTACCGTAAGGGGCTGGCTTATGGGTACAATAATCTTATAAGACTGCTAATTTTGATATTGTATAGAGTGATGCTATTTTTAGATTACCGTGACGGGCCTACAATGTAAATTACCCCATAAAACGGGTATACGCACTTAGCCACGAAAATTACTATAAATTAACACCCTTTAATTTTACCTTATTACTTTTATAAAACGTCGATATTTTTAAATAATAACAATAAATATTTATAAATTTTTTAATATATTTAAGTTATTTACATTTAAGCGAATTAATTAATATTAAATTTAATAAAATGCGACCGTATTTTATAATATAATTAAAAAAGTAATTTATAAATAAAAGATATTAATTTAAAAATAAAACTATATTAATTTACGAATAATAACATGTAATTTATAAATAAAATTAATTAATTTTTTATAATAATATATTTAATAACATTTATTTATATTAATTAAATTAATTTAATAAAACGAATTTAATAATATTAAAATCGTATAATAATACCGTATTTTAAGTAAAATATTAAAAAGTAATAAAAAACAAATATAATAATCGGCTTAATAAACTTAATTAAATAATTTTAACTTAAAAACGTTTTTACGATTTTTTAATTTTTATACATAAAATAATATAATTAAATTAATTTAATTATTACATCGTTAAATTATTATATTATTACATCATTTAAATCATTAATATAACCTTTTTTTCGTATATATTAACCGTATTTTAAAAATGTTATAAAATAAAATAAAACTATATCATTTTATTAATAATTTTAATGGTCGGGTACATATATTTATTCTATAAGATAATTTACATTATAAGCCCGACAAAATAATTTAAAAATAACATCACTCATTATATATTAATCCGGGGTTTCATGGTATTAGTAAAGGCATTCGATTACAGGTAGGTACATTTAGAATTTAATCTTAATTCAATACTCATTAGCGGAGTAATAGATTGGTTGAAGTCTTAGGATGCATAGTGGTTAACTAACGCTTTTTAACACAAAGTTCAAATACTGCTATAGAAAGGGTGACGATGCCCGAATTAACCACGATCCGGAGGGTACTTCTTAACTTTAATGAAGACGGCTTGGATTTCGTTTTACTTGAGGCATATATTCGTTTAGGAAAAATTATAACTGATTATCGTTCGGCCAGCATTATTGCGGTTAAAGATTCGACGATAATAGTCGAAATTCGTACAACCTATCTGATTAGAATCTGATTTATATGGTGATCTGGGAGCTTACCAAAACTGTGATTTTCCAAACTACCCAAGATATTAAGGAAGGCCGAGATGATCATGAAGACAGACTACTTAGTGACTGCCGCTAACCCTCCCGTTGTACTTCCCACTCAACCGTCACTCTGATACCCCCGGCTTCTCGCCCTAGAATACAACCGGCAACACGGTCTCTATTGTGCGCCTGTGGTAGAATCGAGATTTCGTTTTCATGGTCTATAATAGTCCCTCGACGCGTACTTGGCTCGGTAGTTGAGATGGAGACCTCATGCAACGGTATGCATACGCGATTACCCCTGGCCTCGCCCCTTTCCTGTTGAGACCTGTCGAAATCTGTCCCGGCGCTCTTTCTGCTAGAACAAGCCTTATTAGAAAACATACCCCACGTGAGCACGCTTGAGAATCTGGTGCCAAGTGGTCTGAGAAGGGGGAGACAGGCATTGATAATGCCAAGACAAGGCTCCAAGATTGCCCAGATACCATCCTCCGCTATTTGATATGGAATCTCGCTTAGTGGCAACCGCGCATGGGTCCAAATCCGGAGAGATGTTATGATACATATTCTGAATGAGGTAAGTTCATGTTTCTATAGTCCAACGGCACGACCAGTTATCTTACAATAACCCCACAGTGAATATACCAATAAGCATCAACTTCTTTCTCACTTCCAAACGTAACCGCCAAATTTGTGGCAGTGGAAGGAAGAAGACTATAATGTCAAATACCATATTAATAATTGGATCAATTAGATATGCAGCGTTCAAGTTGATGCAATGAGCAGCCCGGTTTGCTGTAAATAAATCGGGATTCCACGTCGCCTCGAAGGGCGTGCAGAAGAAGAACATCCTGACAAGTACGCATACTGCGTTGGCAGCTATGAGACCCATAACGATATAGCAGAGTATATGGAAACGTCTATTAGGAAATATCGTAACGTAGAAATGGAGTATGCTAATTTTTATCAGGCTATTGGCGACGGTCCACAGGGGTTCTGTGGCCAAGTAGGCTTTGTACAGGCGAGGAATAGTCACAGGCCAATATTCAATAAGATATTCTATATGATACCCACTTCCTCCAGCAATGGATATGTATAAATTCAAAGCAGCGTGGCCGCAATTGAAGATTGATGCGGCGACGATCGCCCAGTCGTGAACCGCAATATTTTGACCTGTTATCTTCCGAGCCCATAGTCGAAGTGCAACGGCCAAGATCGAAAAGGGGATGAATATCGAGATTATGATAATTAGCTTAACGGCTCTTGCAGTTAACGGTGGGTTCCCCGAAGGATCCCCGGGTCTTTGGCTTGCAATGACGGCCATTTTCGCCGATAGAAGAGATATCCATAAACCCAGGACTTAACACAGACAAGCTGGAGATAAGAAAAAGCTTATAGACTATGCATAAAATGGACTACGTAATAGAGTACCTAACAAAGGGCACATAGTACGACAAAGAAGATAGATGCCTTGTTAACGTAGCATTTCATTCGAGGACGGGAATGTACGAGTTTAAGGATCCTACCATGTTTTTGATACTGTACAGTAGCTAATCTAGGACTAACTTGGGAATTGTCAAAACCTCTTTACGAATCGCAGCTTAGAATATCTTGAAGGTGATCCTAACTATCTCCCCAGTATCGATGACCGAACCGATCAGGAGCCGTATCTACTTTGATATCCACTCTATGGCTGCCAAATAGTAGGACCGGGCATGACGTATGAGTTGGCCTTGGGGCTGTTCCACTTGTCGAATTTGATACCGGGGTCGTCAGCCTTGTAGATACCGGGACTAAAGAAAGGAGATTAGTGATTTTGGTTTTAAGTAGAAGCAGAATATAACTTCAAGAAGTGCAACTTACATCTTGACTAGGGGGCTAGGGGTTCCAGTTCCGTCGCTGGCAATCTTGAGCTGGGCGCACTCCATGTAAAACTGAGCGCGGTCCTTGAACGCCTCGTGGAGGCCGATGTGCTCAACACGGACGAGGTACTCGCCGGCGGGGATCTCCTTGGGGATCGTGAACTCGATACGGTCCTTCTGCCAAGTGCACCAGGAACCGTCGTTGCCCGGGCTGCTGGGGTTGCAGAGACCGATCTCGTACACCTTGAACCAGTCGCCCGAGCCGTCGTACGAAGCGACGCCAGACTCGGGAGCCTTCGACATGTAGACGAAACCCGGGCCGGGGTGCTCGATGAACTCGTTGTACGCGAGCTTGAATCCGATCTTGTCGCCGGCGTTGACGGAGTAGGTCTGGGTGCTGCCGGCCTTGGCACCCTTGTTGCACCTTAGGTCGGGAGAATCGATGACCTCGTTGGGGAAAGACGGCATATATGTATTGCTGTTCTTTCGGATGTAGGTGTAGTCCTGACCGACAGCTTTGTCATTTACGATCAGTTGGGAGAAAATGTAATGGCCTTCCGCCAAAGTGGCAGCCAGTAAGGCTGTAAACGCGGTCGACTTCATTGTTGAGGCTTATGGACGGGTACGGGGAGTTCGATCGGTTGGAGTCTTCGCATTCCACAACTGGTCTGAGGTGATTCCTCTCATGTATTTATAAACGTCCAAGACCTGGGGAATGTAGCACTTCTTGGTCTTTCATGGCCTTCTACCACATGCTGTGGTTACCTCCTATATTAGAACAGAGTTACATTTCGGTTATCGCGCTTGCTTTAGACTTTAATGGAAGCTTTACTCGGCTAAGACAACGGAAGTATTTTCTTACTAGATGCACCTATGAAATATCTTGCCGTAGATGAAAGTTGCCTTCTCCGTGTTGCCAAGATCTGGGGGGCTGCAAGATACAGGGCATATTAACCGTCTTGGTATGCTTATTTATACCTGTTCATCAACTACAGTCAATATCCTATCCAATGAAGCCGCAAATTTCAATTAGCTTTTCAAATCTCCTGACTTATTTTAATTGGATAGAGACTCCTAAGATATACTCTTCCTTGTATATTTAACTTGGCGCGGCTTGCTCATTGGGAGCCTTATATCAATTCTCGAATTAGCAAAGTCTTTATGAGCGGCACTTACCTCCATAGCTGAATACAGATACTGTAATGTGGCCATGTACGACTTTCCCAAGGCTCTGGTAGAGAATTTGTAATTGATAGCTCGGTAATATTTCGTCAAGTAGGCGACGGCAATTGACGACGCGAGGGCTAAGTAATAATAACCCGGCCGTATTTCAACTAGCGAAGACCACAACCTCACTGCAAAACTTAGTCAATAATGGAAGCTAGACTCATCGTATCAGTTAGCCATAGCAACTCCGTACTTTGCCTAAGGTAGCTATATTAACACTCTCGCAAGTAGCCCATTAATGGCAGTAGGAAAGCAAAGGAGGACACTCAGAAGCAACTAGAATATTTTACTCCTTCTCAGTGCTAAAGAGGATGTCATTACTCTGCCTAAATTATTATCATGCCATTTGAAGAGAGAGAAAGGGACTCTCGCTGGATTATGTCCGAAGTTGCATAATATGAAGTAAAATTCCTAACCACTGTAAGAGCGGAAGAAGGACATAGTCTATTTAAGAAGTAGGTACCTATTTACACCAAGCGAACTCGCTCTTTAACCATGCAGGGCAGCAGCAATTCATTGCACCCCCCTCCCGACGTGTCAATAATATCATAAAGTCTAAATGACATATGCCCAACAACTTCGTGCCCTTCTGGACTCTGCCGCAGTAGCTTGCATACCCAAGTACGAATAGATGTTAAATTATATTCATCTCCTTCTTCATCTTCAATTTCTTCTTCTTCATATTCATGTATGCCGAGTACAAGGGCTTTGAATCTTCTGGCTTCGGGAATATCTCCTTGAGCTAGATGTGTACTGAGGCCTTCAATCAACTCGGCTTCTGTATACACACTGCGACCATCTTGACTTTTCCAGGTGGCATAGTCGTCGTCATCGAAGACAACTTCAAAAGTATCGGCTTCAATATGAATGGCTTGAGCGAAATTGAAGTTACGAATCGAAACGTGCTGTTGCTTGCATAAATCTCGCAGTGGCCATGGCTTCTTCATCTCATCTTCGACCCAAACCTCATTGCTCGAAGATAGCTCATAGAGAATGTCGTAGTCCCAATCAACGTGGCCTGACCAGCCAACCCAAGACCAGCTAGGGAAGTTCAGATCTAGGCGTCGTTGCCCTTCTGAGATTTTCCAGGTCATCCCAATCATTAGGAGAGCGGGATAGTCTCTTGTTATAATTTTATTTTCGTCTGTGACATATTCTGGGGGGAGAATTGGCACGCCGAACAGGTGAAACGCGGAATCCTCTTCCTCGGCCAGGTGCTCAAGAATACCCGAAAGTCCGTTTAGATAATCATGGCTATAGGTTAATTCCCTCCGTGAATATTCTGATATGCCGCCGAAAATCTGAAGTGGGTAATCTCTAACAGGATTCAGAGCGTATGATTGAGGATCTAAGCCTGCCTCTTCCTCAGAAGCATAAGATTCTCTAGCACTATAGTTTAGACATTGAAAAATCGCTTCTTGGTCCGTAAAGTACAAACGACGCCGAGATAGTATTTGTTCTTGGTAGGTCCAAGCCCTAGTTTGCCAGATACTAGATTTAATTAGGTTAAGAAGATTGTCAGGAATATCGACAATCGTCCAGTTAGAGGAGCCTCTCCTTTCTGCGACATTTTTTCGGGCCTTAGAAACTCCTGGTAGGCCGTGATTAGGGTCTGAACCAGCGGCTGCCATAATTGTTAGGGAAGCTCCATTATATATACGACCCATCCGCTGGATCTCAACATGTTTCTCCGTCGACTGACTTTGGTCAATACAATATCTGTCTATCCAGAGATATCGATATCCTAGCTTAGTCGTAACTTTAATCGCGTCTCGAATAGTGGCTGGAGAATCGTGAAGACCTTTGGATGAATCGTGCTCCTGCCGGCCCCAAACATAACTGAGTGCGACGTAGTCGTAGGATGGTTCGGCTCTCACGACTGTCATCATCTGACAATCAATCAGCTTACTCGGTGAGCTTTGCTTATGTTTCGGGGGTTCGCAGCGCTCCCGGTGGCTAGATGACGAGGTACAAGTTGATAAGTGTTGCTTGATTCGCTCATAATCAATGAACTCGCGAACGCCTGATAATTTCATTGATGTACTGCTCGGATCCCAACTGACTTCGAGAGGTACTGGGTTAGAACATCCGTAACTCGGGTCAAGTTTCCCCATATGATGGTCAAGGGTACGCTGCACTATCCTCGGCTTTAGCCTTAGGACAATGATGCTATTTGACCGTGGTGCATATCCGCCGGGGGGAACCATTCCTCCGTTTTCAGGGTACATCAACAAATCCAGACTATCATACTGGCGTACGTGAGGAGGAAGATTTCGATGCATCTTATTGACAATTTTGCACAGTGGGCAGAATAACCACCCATAGCGAGATATGGATTCACCTTCTATAAAACAGACGTGTACGGGGGCACCCGTATTAATCACATCTGTGACAAGTGCAATCATATCTAACGAAGTACACTTCGTACATAAATAACTGCCATATCCTGAGGATAGGGAAACTGTCCCACGAGATTGATCAACAAAGCTCTTATGCACCTGAGGTATTATGCAAATCGAAGTGATAGCATCGGGCTCAATGACATATCTTACCTTCTGAAGAGAGCTTGCCGAAGCTGGACCGGCGCTCCATAGTGATGATGTCTTGTAGGTTGGCTTACGTGCTTGTGTGCGTATCTTAGGTAGGTAGTTAAGTTAATCACAGAGTTCTCATAAGGAGCTACACGAAATATGGCTACCTGATATACCTTGCTATCATGTATTGAGCTTCGCTGGATTCTGCCCGAGCAGCCCAAAGTGGGTATGCTCGCGCCACAATGCTTTACGAATTCTTATACCTTAGGCATCCTATTAGCAGTGACGGTATACCGCCCCAATCAGAATACTTGACTTATTACTTATTATAGTAGCAACATCAGAATGGAAGGCTCCCGTAGGTACCCAAGGCAGATCTGTATTAGGACCCATAATATTCTATATTTTATATTTTATTCGTGAAAGTCAGCCTTATCCTTTGCTAATACTATCTAGTTGTAACTTCTCATTGGGTAGATCTAACAAGCTAAATCAAATTTAGGTGTTGCGCTATCAATAGGGGTAAGAGCAAATGAGATATCGGTCTGTGCTGTGTTGGCGTCTACTAATGTGTACCAGAAGGCGGTGCGCTGTCCGAAAAGCGCACAGCCGACTTGCGAGTAATAGTTTTTCGCGTTCTCAACCGAAGCGATGGCGTCGCGTTGCTGGGGGCCCGCTGCATTATACACATATTAGTATTTAGTACGTGACTGATCAACTGCCAAGGCAGAAAGACATTGCCCCCTTTTTCCTCTAAGGGGGAGGGGGGGACTTACAGCTCGGCCAACCGGTCTCCGTGATAAAAACAGGTTTGCCTTTTGCGACACCCTCTGTCTGTTGGACGGCGGACCAGAAGTTGTCTGCAGCCTGCCCGATGGCGTTCGGCTTAGTAGTTTCGAAATAGGGGAACGAGTTATGCCCAAGGAAGTCAACAGAGGCAATCACCCCGGCATTCTCAGGTAAAACCCAAGCCGTCCTAAAAGTCCAAGCCGTAGGTTAGTAATAGCTATTGCCTAACTACTAAACACTTAGGGAAACGGGGGTTTGATCCCCGATGCATGGAAGAAAGGGGGACTGACCAGGTATCAACGTGGCCGATCGGCTTGCCTTCTAAAGGGGTACCGCGCAGCCAGTCTCGCATCCAGCCGATATAACCTTCTATCTCTGCGCCGGTAGCACCGACGCCGGCATTATTGGCTTTGCCATCGGGACTGCTCCGGTATAAGTCCTCGGAGCCGACGCTAATGCCGACGATGCGGTCGGTGAAGGCCGTGCCTAGCCGGTTAGCAGCGGCAATAAGGGCGTTTAGTTCATTCTCATAAACGTCACGGCCGGCGCTAGCCCACAGGCCGGCGAGAATATGCGTGTCGGTATCGATTGCGGCTTGAAATGCCGATATGGGGTCCGCGGCCGTGCCGCACTGGATCGACGTGTAAAGGCGCGCCGCGGTAAACTTGCCCTCCGTGCCGGGCAAGCCCTTAGCACGCTCGAAGAAGCCCTTAAAGTCGTTGTATCCCCGGCACGACCCATCGTTATTAGTTGACCCGTAGTTGAAGCCTTGGTAGACTTGTGCGGCAGCAGTGGCGGCAAAGCCGAGGGAAGCGAGATGCTGTCGGAGCTGCATACTGTTTTACCTTTGCCTCTCTTACGAAAATTATTTCACTTTAATGTAAGTAAGATGTAGTACGATGCAATTTATAGGGTGAAGATCTTAAGATTGTAGATTTAGAATGGGATAGGGAAAAGGGGATCGCTGATATTTAAACTGACGATATGTATAACATAAATACCTTATACATTCTACATAACGTAATACACACGGAAATCCAATCCGATCACCTCCAAAAATTACAGTAATATCCCGAGTCTTCCAGCTCAGAGTTGACAATGACGACGGGTGAGGCTCGTATTTAAAGGGCCAAGAGATGCCCAGGCGAGCTAGAGTGCACCGGTAGAGACGGTCAAAAACTTCCAATTGGGCGACATCGCAGATAGTTCCCGATGTAGAAATTGATTGACTACCGTCACTTGGTGAGCTGGACACCGCCGCGAAACTAGCACAGCCAAGGGCTTTGTCACCGGCTCAGCGGCTTTGCCCCTTTTATGAACGTCATGTAATGACCCTGACTTTGTTAATTACCATTCCTAATGATAAAGCGCCTAACTAGCAGCGCATCCTAACTTAACATAGCTACCTAGGAGGTAGGTATGTACTATCCTTCTTAACGCCGAAGATACAACATGTACAACCATACCTTGCAGTATCCCAAGTCGAAGTTGAAGTCATGTACATAGCCGTAAAACCGCGTGCTTCAATAACCCGATGTTCTACAGCAGCTACCTGCGAAACCCGATGACACGCGTTCATATGTATAATGTATATAACACATAGCTAAGAGATATATATCCCGAGATACACAGCATAGATGCTGCCGTATCTAAATGACCCGAGTAACTACAGAAGTAGACGTATACAAACGAACTAGGTATACCAAGCACAACGTATAACAGCACCAAATTAATACCACATATTTACTCTAAGAATCCATACTCCCTCGTGGGCTCTCCAGCGGACTAACCGTCACCGGGCTTTCCGGCACCTCCGTATCACTATCCACCTCATCAACACCTATAGGCGAAACCAAGTCGTCGCGCTCCAGACCGCCTTCGTCAGCTGCGCTAGGCGCCGAGACGTAGCTAAGCCGTGGCAAACCATCTACCCCTTCTCCTTCCCCGTCACTACTTCCGATCGGCGACACGGGCTCCGGGCCCACGGCGCTGATGGGCCTTGTAATCGAAAGCGACGTCGAAGGTTTGTTTACGGCACGGTGCGGGCTAATCCCGTCGAGAACCCGACTCATGATCGGCGATACGGGAACGTGGCTTAGCCGCGGGCTTTGAAGTGCCGCCGTGGCACTGGTAGGCGTGGTACCTGTGCCCTCGAAGTCTCGTGACGGTTTGAGCGGCGGGAGGGGGGGTACGGGTTTAGTACCCGGGGGAGGTGGGGGAGGGAACGGGTGCACAGGTGTACGTGGCAGACTTTTCTGCCGCCAGTCGCTAACTCCTCTGCTTTCCGGACCGCGGGTTCCAAGCCGACTATCGCTGAGGCGCTTCATCAAGTTTGCGTCGACCGGATGCGAGCCCAGAGGGTTGCCTGGCGGACCAAGTGGCCAGTTCGGCCCGGGGCTCTGGCGCGCTGCTGCTGATTTATACCTCCTGATACCTGGTGCGAAGGAGGTGGCGGATATGGGCGGGGGCTTGGAAATGGAGATTGGATGCTCTTGGATCATGGAAAGGGGGCGTAGAAAGCTTCTTCGGGTCGGCGGCCTCTCTGGCCTTACTGTTGCTGTTGTCTGCCTTGGCTCCTTTTCTGGCGACGGCAAGATATCGGTCGAACTATCTGTACTCTTCACGGGGACCGATGGAGCGGTAGCAGCATTCTTTTTGGCCCGACGCCGACGGAATATTAGAGCAGCGATTATGGCGGATATAATAACGAAGGCGACTGAGCCGACTACGGTACCTGCTATAGTGCCCGCGGATATCGAAGAACGAGATAACGAGTCGCTCGCGGACTCGATCGCGATTTGGGTTGAATTAGAAGGGTTGGAAGACGAATCTGTTGCTGTCGTCGATGTATCTGATGTCATGGTTAACTCTGGCGGAAAGGGGTATAGGATCCCGAATCCCTGTGATGCTTGGCATTCGATGTGTCTGAATGTTTCCTGAGGGTCATCGTCATTATCGAACCAATAAGTGTAGCAGGATGGATGTGTGCTAGGGCTATGATTGGAACAGTCAGTACAATTAGTCTAGCAATATTGTTATGAAGACTGCTCGCTTCAAACTAACCAGCATAGTGTCTGTGGCCCACATTCAGCTGCGTGGAGGACTTTTCCATAGTCAATGCAGTCCGTATAGATCGTAGAGGCACAGTCGTCAGCGCCCGGCAAGCAGCAACCACGATATCCCTCTACATTGGTACACTCATATCCGAATTTGCAAGTGACTTTCGATTACTCAGGTTAGCGATCCTAACTGTCTCTTGGTGTTCGGTGTTTAGATGCCGATCGAGGGGAAGGTAAACTCACTCGTACTGGTGGTTGCGAAACCACAGGTGTCGACCCCCATCACGAAATCGGTCGTGCCTGGGACGTTCACGGCAGTGAGAGACGCTGGTTGCCCCCCAGGCCGTATCTCATAAGGGTTGAGGGTCTGGGTTGGGATGCTGATTAGCGGCATGTCGGGTCGCCAGAGTTGATGGTAGTCATCATTAGACTCATCACTCATATCTAGTGAGGTATTGGGAAATGAAACAGCCCTAAGAATTTAGAATATCCATAAGAATGTGGGATACGGCTCGGACTCGATAAGGGGCAACTTCCTTTCGAGCAAATCTCATTGTCCTCAAATCCAGGGGCGAATATCCCTGACTTATCCCACGACCATTTGCTCTTTGTGTTTACTTTGAATAAACACCAAATCACCTCGCAAAGACACGTGCGTAAAATAAAGAATTGCGTGTATAATTAACAATGACTGAGGCGATACGTTTCCGTTTCACCGATAGTCGGGAAATGCCCATACGGTGCCACAACTACTCGCCCCTTGGCGGAATAGATTTTATCTATATCGACGAAAATACATCCAAACTGCTTAACTCCTTCCCCGGCCACTACATATAAAATGTTAGACTTGATACCATACCTGGAGATATGAAAATCATAGGAAAGGGGGAGACCAATGTTTTTCGTCTCAAGGTTTAAGAGAACATACCGAGAACATAGTGTTGGATTCGCATGAAGATCCGAGTCCTGCATTGTCCGTCCAGGCTGGTTCCCAATAGAAAATTCCATTACCATTCTTTACTCCGGCTACCACCTCTGCGACTTTCTTCATGAAGGTAGTTTGGCCGTCTGCCGAAAATGGTATGCTCTGGAGGTCGCTCGGGAACGAGTAGGCGGGAGACTTGCAGGAGGTAGGCCAGTTGGTCTCGGCCACGACAATCTCCTTACCCCACGTATTTGCCATGTTGGTAAGACTCGTTTTAAGGTTCGAAAGCGTTGCAGCCGAGTTGCTATTTAGCTGGTTAGGAGCCATAGTCATAACCCTATTATTTGCCTATGTTACGGGATACCTACTAGAACGGATAATAGGAAACGCCCATCATGTCGAAGTCCGAAGTCACCAATGGCCCGGCCTTTAAGGCAGATTCGTACCAATTCTTTTGGGTGTTCCAATCCCATCCATTGTCGAGATGGATCATGATACGGGGCTTAGGAGACAGATTGCTGTCCTTGACTCCCCACGCAGCCGAGTGCAGTAGCTGAGCAACGTTGTAAAAGTTGTTTGTGGAACCTGTTGGGAACAGGAGACCTGACCTAATCTCATTACCGATCGAGATGATGGTGGGTGATATGCCCGCCGCAGCAAATTGGTTCGACACGTCCAACGTGTAGTTATAAAGTTTCCAAGCAAGATCGTCAACGCTCGTGGGCCATCCTGAAGGAATTGCTTGATGCCCTGGATCGGCCCATCTGTATTAAAGAGGATGTCAATAATTTAAGGTCTTGATATAAGATTTAGAGTGTATGTTTCAGGGACTCAGCATCTTTACTGAGACTCGACTCAGCGAGTGCTCTATTTGACTCACGTATCACTATAATGAAAATCCACGTAAACGTCCAGTCCGGCGGTTTTTGCCCGCTGTGCCAATTTTAAATTGTAGTCTAAGTTGTAATTTCCATCGCTAGGATTGACCCAGACTCTCTGTCGTACGGTGTTGACTCCGGATTCCTTTAAGATCTTTTCGAGGGGCTCTGTGCTTCCACTTGTAGTGGTATAAGATATCCCAGCTTTCTCCTCAATTATAACCGAAGACCAGTCGGCGCCTTTATACTTGAGCGCAGCTTGCACCGAAGTGAGCGACGAGAAAGCTAGGAAGAGAGAAGCCAACATTCTGCTCATAAAATAGATAAAATAGCGGGGACAACTAAGATAATTATCTTCGCAGACGATTTTGCGTTTTGCATGGGAACAGCTCCCCTTAATATTTTTATTTCTTTTATTTTTTTTTTATTTTTTTTTTATTTTTTTTTTTTTTGCAAGTGGCTTCAGTTAATTCAGAGTGATATAGGCCCCTCTTAATGGTATGATACGAGTAACTTAAGACGGTGACATATAAGCATGGTCTGGTGGAATCTAACCCGAATTAAGACCAATCCGACATTAGCAACCGAACGCCTATAGGGCTGCTATTATAGATGAACGTGCCCTATAAATATTCTTTAACTAAGGGATGCTGAAAGACTTAAGCTGTTGAGTTATATAATAGTATCCCACTGGGGAGATATCAGAAGGCATCTCAACCGAAACGTTCTGTTTTGTTCTGTTTTATCCGAGTGGTACACTAATTTTCCGTCATGATGCTGAGCTAGGCCACGATAGGCGCGGAGGTGAGAACTAAACAAGCTAATCGGAACGAATCTTCCTCGAGGCCAACTCAACTGATTGGTTAGGTTCTAGTAATGGTTGTCTTATGTGATAGTGGAAGTAAAAAGTACAGAGATGTAGGTGCCAGATCTGGGGAAAGGTTCTAGAATGATAATTGCCAAGACATGATCGTACCTTACAGACTGCTGTTGCTATGTAGGAACCGGGCTGCCAAGAATTTAGACACTCTAACACTTTAAGTAAGATGTAAGCCAATAGATCTTGATAAAATTTATACCTAGGTGAGATGACAGCCGCGGAGTATCTATGTAATACAGACGAGACATTGAACACTTATCCGGGTCTTAGTTCGTAATATTTATGCGCTCAGACTTGCTGTAGACGAAATGAATATAATATACTTGAGGGCAGTTGAATAGATAGATACTACGTACCGTCGTAGTATCCGATTATTTTGTTTGCTTTGTTAAAGTCGACGGATAGCGGCTGTATCCGTTCTCGGTTCTCACAGACCATATCGGCCCCATGTGGGGATTCCAAAGTAGGTATTCATCTGCACTCTCAGTTGACAGGTTGATCGCTGATCATTGATCACTGACCACTGATCGCTATGATTGGCGTTGGGTTCTACTCGCGTATCGATTTTTCGGCGCTAAACCACTTGGGATCGACAAAGCACGGTGAGCTAGCTGGCTACTAAGGTGGCCGGCCGCCGGCGTAGGAAAAAGCTTAATCGGGCTGTCGGCGTTTGTACCGTTCGTACTTTTCTAGGTACAATACAACAATACATACTAGCTCCTGTACGGATTAGAGGTAATTCACTAACACGCCGAGACCCGTCAAAGTTTACAGACATCGGATTCTCGACGCTCTGATCGGTTAACCAGGCAATTATGGAACCATCCAAGAGAGTTGCCAATTCCACTTAATTTCGGTTCTAAATCCCCTCAATTGGCAAGAGAGGAGGGCAATAATAGTTTTTAGCGCCGTCAAGCATAGAGCATTGCGGATAGCCGAGGGAAAATGTCATCGAAGCGTTTCATATCCGTTCCAAGAGGTAGGATTAAGAGACAAGCTATTGGTCACGTATGGCCGCCATGGTAAAAACGTGCGGCTTTCGAGAATGAGGCTTCTTCACCCCGAATTAATAAGATAAAGAAAAGTACTAAAGCCAATATGCCAAAGTCTTTCGCGTCGATATATTTTCCCAGGGCAGAGGTAGGTACCGAGATCAATCAAAATGGGATGTTAACGGTGGATTGACGACGGATGAGCCGAGTGGCAACCGAGCATCGATACCCTTGCTGGCGGATAATATCAAGCTACCTATATAAGGTACTTATTTAGGTCATTGGGTTTCAATAATCTTCGGCTGGGCATTGGCATGGTTTTAAATAAGCAAAAGAAAATGAGAGGCGGGAAAATGAGTGTATTACGGATGTCTTCTATTGAGGCGTACAAATACTTTGCTGAAGAAAAAAAGGCAAAATTGTAAAAGTTGGAATAGACTATTTGCTTATGGTTCTTATCTCATCCCATCCTTATTTGTACATGGGTTGTACGGGTCGTAGTGGACGTACGACTACGTAAGCCCATGCCCGGTTGTACCTGACTAGATACACCTTCGGAGTAAGATGTCCATTCAGCCATTCCAAAGCACCTGAGCACCTTACTACCTAATTGGAGATCCTGTCCAATCCCGTCTGCATAAACCCCGCATGCTGTACCTAGGTACTCCAAATATTTTAACGCGGCGATACGAAGCAAACGCAGAAGAAGCTGCATTGCTGTCATGGACGCTAACCGCATGAAGATAGACCGATACCTTACTTCCTTCGTAATGGATTTCAATTAATACGGTTTCGTGCTCTGGATAGGAGATAAGATGGAAATTATAAAGTCAATTTCGGTAATATGACGTGAATTATCTAGCACACGTAATTCTTAATTGGAGACTGAGCCTGCTAGACAATCTTTGCAGCTATGAAAAGTGATAGCGAGAAACAACGCCGAGGATTTAAAGTGGGCTAGCCGGATAGAGAAAGAGCTAGAGGGCTAACGGACTGCTAATTGGCCTAATATTTTTTCAACCTTCCCTGTCTGGGGTAGGCTTACCAGTAAAGCTTGATTCTTGGCGTTCCAAATTTCTGGCCTGATATGGCACTTATGGCACTAGCAAAGACACTAAGTACTCTCGGCAAGCGGCACCAATGCTGCAGCAACGTCAGTCAGTTCCAAAGGCAAATATCCTTGTACAAATAATGAAAGATGATTGGATAAATTAGGGTCTGTTATCGTGAGCTTCATCGGTGAAATGCGTATTCCATTCGTCTCTATGGTCTTTTTTCTTTTCTTTTCTTTCTTTCCGGCCGTCCAGACTTTTTTTTTCTTCATACCTCCTGCCCAGCTATCCGAAGAGGAACCTCATCAAACAAATACTAAACATCCTAACACTCTACGGACATACCTCCCTGTCCACCCCCCGGCCAATAAATTCAGGTACAACCCATCCATCAACACACCATCTCCGTCTCATTACGTACTCCATCCCGACTTGTATCGCACTTCATCCTACATCTCCCCAATTCTTCTTCCATCTTCTCCTTCTATCCATAGTCAAATCATCTCTTCTTACCTTTCCAATCCACCTTTTACAAAACTTTACTCTCAATAAGATATTTACTTATCTACAGATTTTGGTTCGAATAACAGTCAATTCGGCACCCATCAATTATAAACGCCGTTCAATCGCAAAGATGATCAACACACGCGCCGCCGCTGTGGTGCTCTCCGCCCTCACCCTCGTCTCTGCCCAAGCAAATTCCAACTCAACCTTTACGATCGATCCCACCGATGTCGACCTTTCGGATCGCGGTAAGTTCTCGTAAAGTCACGATGTTGGTGCCCGATACTGATCATTCCGTGAAGTCAGTTGGTGTCAAGGGCAGACAGACAGTTGCAACACGCTTTGCGGAACAGTAATACAGAACTCATGTTCGACGGTGAGTTTCTAGCAGCTAGTGTTAGTATCCGGCTAAGCGCATAGCTAATAAAGATGTAGGATACTCTGGATTTCCAGTGCGTTTGTCAGGGCGGCAACGAGCCGGATATGAATGAATTCATGAACACGGTGCCTTGGGTAGGAGTTTTTCCCCATTTACTTGGGCAGTTTCTATTGCTGTTACCTAAAAAGGTATACTGACTCTTCCTCTCCATAGTTCGTTTGCGAAAGACTTCAGAGCAACTGCATCACGGAAAACGAGAACAACGCTGCCGGCCAGAAGAACTGCACCGAGACATATGGTGACAAATGTGGCACGGAAGACGTGGACAAGCACCAGGGAGAGGGTAGCGTGAGCACGACTAGCAGTTCTAGTGCAGCTCCCAGTGGGACCGCTACTGCCGCCAGCTCGGCCGCTCCGAGTTCATCTTCCTCCGAGGCTGCCGCCGTTCCAACCAATATTCAATATCTTGGAAATGGTGCCGCCGCTGTGGCTCTCGGCATGTTCGCCTACATGCTCTAGAGATGAATATAGGCGCGAGTTTCATGGTTGCCAAATTTGACAGCATGCATAGTTATTAATACGGAATAATTATTTTGGTGGCCGTCGTTCCTTTCCCATACATTTTGATATTAGCAGCACTCCCCCCTATACCCAAGTCATGTTGTACGTGACAACCCTAATTCACGAGGAGACGATTCGAGTATTTATGAGCAAGCACACGTCGATGGAAATTAATGTTGAGGAAGCTGTTGAGAGTATAGTACTGGCATTAACCACACCGCGACGCTGGTTAATAAAGCTATAAAAAAACCCTATGAGTTGGTAGCTATAGCAGAGACAGAACAATAAAAGCCATCAAATGGTGCCATTGGCTCCTTTGACAAACAAACCGGGCCGAGTATGAAAATTTGACATTTGTCCAATGGATTGTTTCAACCCCTTTGTCTTCGTTACAAGGTAAGGTGCTCACACACAATGGGATTGTTTTTTCTTTCATAAAATAGAAAAAGAATGAATTGGTTCTTAACTTGGTCAAAATCCTTCTGGAAGTAACCTAGTGTAATGACCTCAATGTAATTTCATACCGAGCAGCGAGTGTAACGTATCGAAGGTCTAACAAAAGCGTCGTTAGATTACCTGAATATATTCATAGGATAGGTCGCCTTGAGCGGTGTTGTGTTGAACATATCAAACGCAGAGATGGCGAGCTTTAATGAATTTACCGTACCAGTCGGTACTCGTCATTCATTCGGTATAGAATTGGAATTTCTGGTAGCTTATTTACCGAACGATGCGCCGGACCCGAATGAAACCGAATCTCACTTGCTTCCTCCTTTACTACGAGTCGACACTTCGAACTACAAAGCCACGAGGGAAATCAGGGAAAATATTCGCGCTACTCTTAGGGCAAATGGGATTCCTGTTTCTGAAGCTGGGAGTGGTTTCGCTACGCCAGTAGATGGGTTTAGGGACGAGTCACCTTTTCGACTTCATGAAAAAGACAAATGGAACATCGATATAGATGGTAGTCTCAGAGAAATGTTCATTGATAAATACAAGTGGCAAGCTATCGAAATACAAAGCCCGGCGTTATGGGTAACGGATGAGTCGTTCAAGGAGATCGAGTACGTTACCAACATCCTCACTTCTAACTACCGCCTCCGTGTCAACCCGACATGTGGTTTCCACGTTCATATCGGAAACGGAGTAGATTTCTTCACAGGTGAATCAATAAGGAGACTAGGTATGTTCCTCTGGGCTGCTGATCCTACTCTCTCGCGTCTGCACCCCCCGTGGCGTAGAGTTCATACATATTCAGCGAGTCTTCGCTACCACAGCCGACTAGCCACCGAAGGAATGACCATGAAAGATGTGCGAAATGAGTGCGAATCGTGGTTGTCGACTGATGACCCAATAGCAATAACCAAATTCTCAGATACCACTAGGGAAGAGGTGGCATTCGGCAGCGTGGAGGGATGGGAGGCATACGCAAAATGGCGCAATCGTGTAGGTCCGTTTATGACATTAAGAGACGATATCGGCAGTGCATCAACGGAAGACTCGTCAGACCAACCTCGCAGAGACTCAGAACCTTCCCTTCTACCATCATGGGAAACAGTGGAGCTTGTAGGGCGTCACCTACGCCAACAGGAAAGGGAGAGAGATGTACCCCCTGAGGATCATACACTGCATAGGAATATAGGCTGGATTCGTTGGGACGCGTTGCAGGATACTGAAGTCATCGCACATGTTTATTCCCTTTGTAAAGACCATTACGGAACCACAAATCCCACCAGGCTTGACACCATCGACCAGATACAGCTTGTAATTCTTGCACAATGTGCCTTTATGTACGGTAGCAGTATCAGCGAGATAGATGATGCACAATTTTACCAAGTTATACTAGCGAGCGCGCCATATTTCGAAGCCGCGCGTTTCGGTTGGCAATACGATTCAGCTGCTAAGAACTTCTTCCTAGCATCATCTAAAATTGGCCCCATACTCTCAAAGCCGAGACCGAAGAAGGAAGAGCGGATCGACTCGCCCTATATCCTCAGAAAATGGCAAAATATAGTCGAGCAAATGGAACCAAAAGATGACGAACATCCTAGTTTATCCGAATACAACGAAGCTATACAAACAAACGAGGGTATCTCGAATCTCTTCGAGAGATTTAGATCTCGTGCCGACTCCCCAGATTCCCAATATCAGCGCGACATACCATCACCGCCGCGTTTTGATGATATTAGCCCTACATCGTCTGCTATCATAGCCGATTATTTATCGTTTTCCCCTGGTGTCTCTGAGCCAGGTTCCAGCCCTCTCGATCCTAGCCCGAAGCCTCTGCCCCAAAGGCCATCTTCTAATGAGTCATCTAACGATTCGCCACCTATGCCTAAGTTACGAAGAGGTTTTTCTGATATATCCTATCACGACAATATAAATCTCGACGGGCCGTACAGTCCTTTTCCCCTGTACCTCGAGCCTGAGGATGAGTCCCGGCCACAGAAGATTCGCCCCCACGATGTAGATGACATCACAGCCCTCTATCAGTCCGAAACCGCAAAGTATGCCAGGATCCCCGACCCAATGTGGGACCGCATCGGCTGGGTTCCGTCAATCTTGAACCCTCTCCCGGACCCGGCCGGCGAGGACGCAAAATCCGACCCTATCTTTTCCCGCAGGGCCATGTACGAAAGCCCGCCGGAGGTCAAGCCGCATCCTATTACTTCGGGGATCCAAGGCATCGCCAACCTCGCGGCCTGCGATTCGGCCATGGCCGTCGCGACGCTGCTCCAGGGCCCCTTCGGCTGCCGCCTCAACTACAACTTCAAGCACTACTCGGCGCTGGCGCTAAGAGACAACAGGGAATACGGGCCCGCGTCGTCGAACTCGCGCACGATCGAGTTCCGCGAGGCGGCGGGGACGCTGGACGCGAAGTGGATCTCGACGTGGGTGCGCATCACGGCGGGACTCGTGAGATTCGCGCGGCGCGCGAGCCCTCGCGATTACCTGGTTGTCTTGGACAAGCTTATGGAGCAAGAGGATCGCGACGTCGCTATAAAGACGGCTAAGGCTACTGGGACTTACGATCCCGCAGATCACGACGAAGAGGATAGGTATGATGTTTGCGACTTGCTCGAGGATATCGGGTTGTTCTCTGAGGCTGCTTTTATTCGGAAGCGGGAACAGGAGTCTGGCCCGCCCAGGTGAGGAGGTATATATATATGAGCTGAATGTTTTCTGAATTTCTGGGTGGGTAGCCTTGGATTGGTAAGTCGTTGTCCTTGATTTGAGGTAAAGTTGGTATGAAGTATGTAGGTTAGCGCTTTCACCATTTTTAAGCTTGCCGTGTTTTTCTTGTTTTTTCTAGTATGGATATGATAGATCTCGCATATGTTAGAGTTGAATTAAATTTACACTTGTTATACATGAACTATATACGTAGCCATTTATTGAGAATTGCGTTTGCGTGTCGCATAGTGAGCCGTGGATTAAAAGAGCCTTGAAAACTTTCTTTAGTTCGTCTTTACCCCTATTTAACTTCGTTTACTAAAACTTGCCGAATTCGTCCGGCTACTAGCAAACTGGCCAATAGGGGTTGAACTACTATAGGGTCAAAGATACCAGTCACATTGCACAACTTGCCCCCCTTTTACCTTTCCACTAGGTACTACCTATCCGTCTTACTCTATCATACTCTTTAAACGGATCCTTGTGTAATCCATTTATCCCTCCGCAATAATTAAATGTTTCAGGAGGCTTCACAAGTCTACCATTCATTTTTGGAGGGCTAGGTATTGGAGCGCATTGTATTTATATTGGCCACGATAAGTGAAGTTTATAAAGAACAAGTCCAGGTTCCGCCCCACTAAAATACCCCTTTAAGATAAAGGGGTAAAGAGACTAGTATTTTCGAAAGCTAATGAATGTTCTATATATATTCAAGGTCAAACAAACATTTGCTCTAATCAAATATTATACATGAGACAGGTTGATTATCAGCATACCTCATAGATACCTTATCTAGGCAGATAATTTAGAAGAGTATAGGTACCGCCATAGGCAAGTAAAGATACCTAGCTTCCGTACATGTGGCCCAACGGATATCAAGTTTTTACAGAAGGCCACGCATTATATACAAAAAGTTGTTATACCATTTAGTTATAGTCTAAGCTATCTGTGCATTAAAATATTCCTTAGGTGTAAAAAGCACGTACCTTGGTTATCAGGCAAACACCAACCGCATGACCAGTTGACACGCGTCGCCTAGTTGCCCAGCACAGCAACAGCTCACCTGCTCCCCCACCCATTGTAAACTTTATAATTCCCAAAAACAAGTAGGCGTTTACACCGGAGACCAGTTGGTCGAATTGGCTAGGCACCTAATTTGAGAGGGGTTAAGACCTAGAGGCCACAGTTCGATTCACACTCGAAGGGTTTAGCGACCCTCAACTGAGTCCAGATACGGCCCGGACCCCTGCATATGGTAACACTCTCATTACCTAGCGAGGACCGGTACAGGCCGCAAAGAAATACCCATAGCGAAAGTAGGGCGCGCAGTAGCAACCGTCGGTAATAAAGAATAACGGTTGGCTGGGCGTTGAAGAGGAGGTGGTTTCCCCTTTTTTTTCCCTTCCCCTTTTCACTATTTAAGTCTCGTCGACTTTAATTCTACTTTACATGCAAAATTCACTCTCCAAGGGACTTACAGTATCGCGCTGACAGCTAGTACCTTGAAAATATTCTTTACATGTTGCTCATTTCCGACTATCCAGAAAATCGTAAAATTATTATGTGCTCGCCACATAGTGCTCTAGAAGGTTTCGTCTATTCAAAGCCACTCTAGGATCTCTTGGCTGACCTTGTCTTCCTGTAATACTTCCTGTAATAATTACACGAACTTGCCAAGGTACCTAACTTAACCATCTAACCATCAACAGGTATATTCCAACTAGGCCTTTATGGTTTACCGTGTTCGACCCTCCACGGCACTTCACTTAGGGGCTAGGGGGCATTTTACTAAATAATGTTGGTCGGGGATCCACGTCACCTAATTAGGGTTACAGTTGTAGGCAGCTGGCTACGGTCATGAGTCACTGAAGCATCTATTGAGGCAGTCACGATTAAGGCATCTAAGGAAGGAACGAGGCCCTTAGGGCCTCAGGGCCAATTATATAAAGAAACGGGGTCCCGTAGCCTTTTAGATTTAGCAACGCACTCGCAATACAAGACCAGTCCCACAAATAAAGTAAATCTTTAACATGTAGTTAATAAACAAAAGTTAGTTACTATATATTGTAAATGTGATGGAATATAGCTTTTTTCTTTTTTATATCATAAGAAACTATTGGCGTATATCAGACTGGGATATCGATATAGCTACGAGCCCTTTGCCCCAGATATCTTCGTGGTAAGGAGTACACCTAGGTGATCGTCCTTAGCCATACTAAACTATGGCTGTCAGCTACCGCACAATTTAGTTATATGGTGGTTGATCCAGGTACCATCTGCAGGTTTCGTCAACGTAACTACGGAGACCGCTTGCAACACAACGCATATTTCTATTCGTGCTAATTGAACCACCTACATACAAGTATGGTGCCCATTCGCCTTATATTCACGTCGCGCCACGCAACGACTAGCCCGTATTCATATATCACCACTCCAGTAGCCCACCAATACCACATTACAAACTATCGGGTTTCTTTCTCAACCCTTTCCGCTTCAGATTCAGAAAATTGGCTATTTCTTTCTGTGCCTTAACCATTTTAGCTCGTAATTCCTCGTCCAAATCGTCTCGTACGAACATGATCGGATACTCCATCTCTTGTAGGGTAGGGGGGTCGATACTAGCGCCATAATCGGTGAGCACCTTTACTCGTCCGATAGCCCCTATGCCAACAGAACGGTGCAACAGATCCGCGCCGTACTCCTCGTCACCGAGCTTAGCCTCCGCATCTGCGCCGTTCTTGAGCAGGATATCGATAAGTTCGAGCGTGAGGGCTTCGTCATTCTTACTGAGATAGAGGTTCGTGAAGTGGGTCGGATACGTACAGACAATATCGATGTGTTCGTGACTCTCCCGTATCAACGTCTTGACTAGAGGCTGGACGCGGACCCAGTCAAAGCCTCCCTCTGCCCGAAGACAGAATCCTATAGACCGAAGGATAGACCTGAGGTTTCCATGCAGAAGCTCTACGACGCCGGCCTTAGCGGTCAAGATGTTGTGTACCATATCCATAATATAACCAACGGTCTCCTTCTCCCAGTTTTCCGCAAGATCGGAGCTCTGCGGTAGACCACGTTGAACGACCAGGGAGTCCCAAAGGAGAGAGCGTACTGCAAGTGGTATACCAGGGCCTGTCGCCAATAGCAGCCAGGTAATCTCGCTACGATAGTCTAATTTTCCGGAGTTCACGTACACTTCGAAAAGCAGTCGGATCAATTCTGTTGTGGTGGACGCATCGCTCGTTCCAAGGACAGCACGTTGGAGAGCGAGTGTTAGACATAGTTGCTCGCATACTCCTGGAATGCCGATTGCCAAGTTTTCTTCAAGGACAGATTGTTCCTCAAAGCGGAATCCTCGGCTTAGTAGGAGACGTACCACGTCCAATCTATGGTCCCCGCAAGCATGCAACATCGAAAGACCGCAGCCTTCATCGTCAACAGAGACGCCGATGTCGAGGGCAGCCTCCATAACGTCAAGTCCCGCACCTCTCTGAAGCATCCACCATATCACAGATCTGTAAGGCACAAGAAGGCGATGGATTTCGGGGGTCCAGCCGGCAGCGTGTAACCGCTCGACCATCGAGACGGACGTTGCAAAGTGCATAGCTGAATAATTGCCGTTATAGGAAGCGATAGCAGTAACGTCTGCCCCAGCCTCGATGAGGCACTCGGCGAGATCTTCATGTCCGTAGACGAGCGCAACTTGCAAAGGGGATAAGAATGATTGGTCTAATAATCCGGACTGGAGCTCGAAGAAATGGTTTAGATCTGCTCCCGATTTGCGTGCCATTTCGAAGGTGCCCCTTATTCCGTGTTGGCATGCCCATGCTAGAGATCTGTAGCTCCCGTAAGGTTCCTGGCGATCTTTCTTGTATGGATCTATTCCCAAGTCTAGCCTGTATAAGATTGGCAGGATCTTCTTTGAGAATTTGGTGCAGGTTAGGGACCAGTAGTATAAATCCGTCTGGGATAAGTCATAGGCGATCTTGTCTAGAAGCTCGGCAGGTAATGTAAGAAATATATAAGCACTCTGAATTTGCGAGAGTTCAACGTCTCGCGAGGATGCCATGGTGTAAATGGCAAAGGAGATATCTAGAAATCAAACGTGAAAGGAAAAAATGAATGCAGAAAAAGTCTAGAATCAAGCCAGAAGTGATTGGGGGGATGTAAAAGTCAACTCGAGAAGGAGATATAAGAAAGTGTATTTAGGAAGGTAGACGCGAGAGCGGAAGTTGGAAGATCGAATCCAATGAGGCCCACAGGTCCATGTGCCAACCACCAAGACGGCAAAGTAAAGTCGCGGAATCTCGACGTCGATTCCCCTCATCCGGCAAGTTTCCCACTTGTGCTTAGTTGGCGGATGTAAGTGAAATTGATGCACATGCCATGACCTGAGTTTGGACACGAGGAGACGTTGGCAGTAGGACTGGCCGCCGGAAGAAGACGACTTGAAGCTCAGGGAAAGGACAGAAATGTACTCCCTTTACTCGCTCACTCCGTGTCCCTTCTTTCACGGGAATGGGACTGGCATTGTAGGAAAGTTTGTCTTGAATTGGGCAATAATTGAGGCCTATGAATACAAAACCACTTCCAGGTGCCCGGGAAACAGAGATACAAAGTACAAAGCCGCAAACGTTATGCATTCGACAGCTTATTGTCCCCTATTGAAGTCCAATGTGCATTTATGACAGACGATAAGGAAGTGTTTATTTAAATAAGTCAGGCAAAAGGCCATATTTGCAAAGGATCTCCTAGTAGACCTGGCTTTATGATATGAGTATAGGTTGAAGGTTACCTAGCTGGCCATTACGGAGGAGTGGTAAACTGGAAATACTTTTCTGATGTTAAATAAGTAATGTACGAACTCTCAGTCATCTCATCTACATACAAAACGAAAATAGGGGAAGGGTTCATATGTAGTCCATCGTGCTCGGAGTTGTATTTGGGGCAAACCTTACGGTTGATTCATTAAATAGGAAATCCAGTGATGTCCCAACAGCAGCAACGTACCTAAGTACCTAACTTACATACATCTACACTGTTTTACCCCTTACTACTTAAGAACAGTGCTATATGGAACATGTGTCTCTGGTCCCACTTATTTCGAGTAGAAAACTACAAAGAGGGTTTAAGGATGAGATTTTTGTTACGGTAAGTGTTGCATGGTAGTTGTAATTTGATGCCATGTGGTAGACAGGAAGTGAAATGTTTCACCGAGAGGTTCTCTATCTGCGCCTTTTGGGAACTCATCCGTTTTGTGTCTCGTACGGGCAAGCACATTTGCTGTGTGGCAATATATACTGTCTTAAACAATTCACTAGGAAAAGTGTGTAGCACTTGTGTGTTAATAAGTATCAAAACCTAACGTTGGGCTGATATGTCTTTAATACTTAGGTACCTTGTAAAGTTTATGAGAATGTAAATTATAAAGGAATACTCGGATACCCAAAGTACCTGGCTCATTATCTAGTATAGCCTTTACAATTTAGTCAAAGTTAAGTCTGTTATCTTTATTTGCAGCTTAGTTATAAAATATTTAAATTCAGCCATTTAAATATTACTTACCTAGGTAGGTAGTTAATACAAACATTATATAGCGTTCAACTCTAACGGGTCAATTTTAAGTCTAACAATATGTTAAATCAAGGTCTTTAATTTAAAAAAACCACAATTTTGAAATAACTATTAGTAAACAAGCTAGAACAATGAGACTACACGCCTATATTATAGTAGTATAATTCAAGAATGTGTTATTAGGAAAATCTGACGACAAACCCAAGTACAACTATTGTATAGAGGGTAGTGGTGTGGAATAAGAATCACTAGGATTGGTATGTATTAATAGTTGTTTGTTAAGCATGATAGGATTTCGTGGGACAACTACTAAGTAAAGACTGACAAGAACCTATAAACTACTTCATTGAAGTTATATTTGGCAAGAAACTTATTATAGTTAAGCAACTCCTTATAACTAGTGCTAAAGTACAGTGTATCTTCGGCGTTTACTCGTAATTCACACTATCTCCGGTATATGACTCTCCTAAAGCATAGCGACCAACTAAATTAGTATGCCGACATAATAACTAGGAGCTAGTTTACTTTTAGAAAGTTTTAGTTTCCGCTTCAGGGATCAGGTATTAGATGAATTTAGAGTAGACTCGTCTTCAAAATATCGTGTACTCGGAATTACATGACTCTAGTATATAGTAGACAGTTCTTACACTAAAACATCTTAGATTTGCTATGCTAGCTAGATGCCATGGTATCATCGTTAGAAATCACTAGTTATAACCTTTTTCTTTTACCGAACCTGAAATGAAACGAACCGAGCTATGCAACAATTTTCCTTGTCGAAATTAGACACACTTCCTACTCCTAACCAAAACCTTCCCCTAAAGTCTTCAGCTGCTCTGCTGTTCCATATGTGTAGGCAGATTATAACTCGCATAATCGGCATGGACAAACGCCCTATCCACAATTGGAACTGATTCTAACACGTAGCCCAAACTTTCACTAAGATCATGGGAATCCCGTAACGTGGTAGATGCGTCCAAGATAATATCAACTTCAACATTTAGTTTATCGCCTGCATGGTAGGCATTCAAACCTTGGATCTGTTTGATAGTCTTCGCGAAACGCATCGTGAGGTAAAGTACTATTGGCCGGTTAGAATGTCAGTTGAGAACAGAAACTGGTAGACTTACAAATGTTTCGTTGATCGGCGGTCGCGGAGAACCCGCTTAGATTCTTAATGTGTTGCAATGATGTTCTCGACCAATTGAAAATGACGACGAGCGACAGAACAAGACCACCGAGAGCGTCCAACCACCATATTTTGGCGTAAAACCCAACTACTATAGTTAGTAAAACTTAGTTGGTAAGTTGGCTTCACGGAACGTACCTATAGGGAAGAGGATAGATCCCGTATTGAAAATCACATCCGTCATTGCGTCATCGGCTCTGGATATTATTAGCATATAAGTGCGATGCCAGCCGTCGATAGTACTTACAAAGCCTGAACACTTGAATTCTTGACCAACCGACACCATAACCAACATAGTCCCTTGATAATGACCGTTCCAAGCATAATACTAAGGGCCGGTATGCCGCTTAAAAAGGGATTAGCTTAGTTAACTATAGCCATATAAGGTAATTACTTACACTTCAACCAACTCGTGATTGGGCGAGGCCAGTCGTTGTATCGACTCTAGAGCGACCTGAACGAAAGAAGTAATCATGATGACTGAGAAGACTAGAACACCTAAAGGTTCCAATCTGCGTCTGCCAACTGGGTATTTGTACTGGTCTTGTCTGGAAATCAACCAGGTAGTCGTCCACACTATGACCGTTGACAAGAAATCCAGCACCGCATCAACCAAACTGGCTAATACTGACATCGACGACACTGAGACGACGACAGCAATCTTACCCGCTAGCAAGAGCACATTTGCCGCAAAGTTAACATAAATTGCTGTCGTTACAATCTTGTCGCCGCTGTCCAGTTCGTCGTCTTCTTCTAGCCATGGAATCTCGGGTTTGGGACCATCCTCCTGGCCCTCTTCCTCGTCATTAAATAGGGGCGTAGTCTCGGTGGCACGGTAGATGTCCTTCGGGGTACGCTTGACCTTCCTCGTTACGATTACACCTGGGCCCACCACATACCTGTCGTCACCAGCCTCATCATCCGCAAAGGTAACATTTTGAGGGCTTGAGAAATTCGTGAGGGGAGTTATAGGGCCAAGTAGGTCCTCATTACCCTGGCCACTTCCGTTATTGCTTTTGTTGAGGCTGGCGCCGCTTGATTGCTCCTCCGAAATAGTAGCCGGGATATCCACATCCTTGAACGAATGATGGTTATACTCGTTGAGTAGATCGTGGGGTAGACTACTGTCGAGTAAACGGTCAATGTAGAGATATTGCTGTACCAAATAATTGGTACGCTCATAATATTCGCGCAACGGCTTCCTCATAGCGTTCAGCTGTTCTTCTGTCTTCCAATAACGCGCCCAGTTATATCGAGGGTTCGACTTGCCGATAAGCAGCATAGAGCGCATAGTTGAACTATGGAGTAGTTGGTTGAGTCGACGCTCTTCGCTTTGCGACCTACGGTGGGCCTCATCATCGGGTTCGGACGGCGGACGAGAGAACATGGATGGTAACAGGCCGGATTCCTCATCATCTAAAACGTTAGGGACGGCACCTCGCCAGGTGCTGCCATAGTTGTGTAATGAGCTATGGGAACGACTCTTGAGCAGGTGGGTAAGCGAGCCTGAGCCGCGTGGCGATGATATTGGCGGGTCGTCCTGCGAAAGTAGAAAAGAACCCCGGTTGAAGGGAGAAAACCCTCGACGAGGGTCCGAGGTCGAGTTATCCAAAGAAGACATATTTCGTGACCTCGCAGGAGTATTTGGTATATGAGTCGAAGTAATATGAATGAAGGAAGAATAAAATAGAAATGTGGGTAGGTCACCAGCTACCGTGAGTTAGTGGTTAGGTAATGTACCTAGAATTGAACGGCGCTGCCTCAATTTAGACTTTCTCGACTTAGACTAGCAAAGTCGGATGGATCTAAGGTTATATGCTTGACTGTTTGCTAATTGGCTTTTAAACATAAAAATAGACCAAAGTAAACAACAGCTACAAAAAGGAGAAGGAAAAAAAAGGGTTTCAAAAACTAGGAAATATACACTACCAAGTATATATTTAATAATCGCTCACGGGAACACGAATTGAATCCTACCAAACCTTGACATATACTGTATGTATTAGAATTTATTTCGCTCGTTGTTTTGGGGCCTGTTTGAGAGTTGCAGCGCTGCGTAGCATCTAAGAACCCTGTAGACGCTTAGAAGTCGTCAACTTTGAGGCTAAGAGCTACATACAGTGACGTACACTGTACGCTACTAGTACGCTAATAGAGCTGATCTTGCCGTAAATAGCCTAACCTGCCAAGACACTTCGTCTGGCATTTGCGCCATTCGCCCCGGTGCTGCAAGTGCTGAGGCCTCTGGTCCTGCAGGCTTTGCAGGCTTTAAAGGCTTTTGAAATGACTTTAACGTCGCAGTCCCCTATTTTGAACCCTTATCTGATTGCACATATTGTAAAAAGACGACTCTGATCGGCGGTCCCCTTATTTCTTGTTTATCTCCGAATACCTCGTAGTTATCCGGTTGGTTGAAAAAAGGTTCCACCCTCTGCAAAAAGCTCCAATATGTTTTACGATTGAAACATTTCGTAGTATTCCGCCCGGTCTCGTCTAACTTTGCCTGCTTTACTTATACATCCCGGAATCTTACCTGCATACGACTTGCATATATAAAAACCCCCCGCTTTTAGATGTTTGGTGCAGATGTTACATAACACCGATTTCGCAGTTGAGCGACGGGAATTTCAATAGACTCACTCGACTGAGCCAAAGCAGTTTCTATATACCGACAGGTCCTGCGTTTTCATCTTGGTCTCATAAGCCAACATCATCGTCTCCTAGTGCCGAAATCCCTGTATGGTTGGTTTCTTAATAAGAGCCGCGCCGAAGCTATCCTCACCTCACCTACGTCTTGGATGCCTTTGCAGTTGATATTTTTTCCGCTAGTAGTGCAGTTGCTTTCACGATTAATTCGTGTTCGTATCCGTGGATCTTCTGCTCAAGATCTTGCAGACTCTCTCCCTCTTCAATCTTGATCTTCTGAACCAAAATAGGTTCGCCGCGGTCGACTTCAGCGATAACATAATGAATCATTATGCCAGTTGTATTGTCCTCGAGCTTTCCGGCCTTGAAATCGTCGTATGCCCTATCAATTGCACCCGCACCGTCATATTTTCCTATAAAAGCCATTGTTAGAACAAGTCAATGTCTATTTGGAGTGAATTTCAATACACACCTGGTAAAGCGGGATGTAAATTGATAATCGGTACACCAGCAGCGCTGATCGGACGTAAGAAATTTGTCGTCAAGACGTGCATCCAGCCTGCTAGAACAATAAGGTCTGGCTTGTCCTGCAGTATTCTCTCTGCCAAATCGGCGTCATATTTTAGCCTTGCTTCCTTGAGCACAGCTGCGTCTTTTTCGCCGAGTTTGTGATATCCGTCCTTGACTAGATTGAAGTAATCTGTGGGAATGCCGGCTTTTTCAGCCCGCGTCACCGCATATGCTCCTTTCCTATTCACCGTCACCTTCACGATCTTGCCTCGTATGCTATCAGGCGTATCAGAGGCGCATGAATCAATGAGCGCCTGTAGATTTGACCCATTCCCACTGCAGAGCACCGAGATTCGCGCCTCGGCCATGATTAGACAGTTAGACAGTTTAGGTATGTCTTATATATTATGCCAGGGAACGATGAGCTAGAAATGAGTATATTGTAAAAGAAGCGTACGGACCTTAGCTCATTTGTGTTGCCAAATTTCTCTTTGCGGGAGACTTAAAGCAAACGCGCTCCAGATAAAAAGATTGCGTCGCGGGGTACAAACCCGATAAAGGAATAATAAGCTCCAATTGGATTTGTATAAAGTTCCAACTTTATACCGCGTATATCTTTATAATAGGATATACAATAGGGCTTTCTTGCATGTCGGTCTCAAACCAACGGCCCGGTCCCGCCGACGAACTTCCGGAGCGGACTACCGGCTCCTGGAACTCTCCGGGCAGCAACGGAAAGGCAGCCAGCGCAGACTTGGGTCAATGTTAGCACCGATTATAAACCATATATTCTGCTTCAATGTCTATCTTTGGTTTACTAATTAGTCATATATTCTAACGGTAAGCCATAATCGCAAGATACAGTATGAGGCGTACGTGCATAGGCAGGTATGTAGGTATACTTACGAACAGGTAAGCCTCATACATTAAAGTTACTAAGTTTCTAATCTGTCATATGTTTTATAACTATTCTCAGAGCCTGTAAGCCTTCCTCAAGTCATCTAAGTTATCAGCACCAACTAACTATACCTATTTAACGTTACCCTTCTCGACGATCTAGCCTATATTCGCGTTCCTTATTCTATACTATAGTCTATACTATAGCAATTACTTAGTTACTTCTTTTTAACGGACCGTCAGGTATACCGTGTTAACTATTATTAACATTGCATTAAAAATGCCTCTATAATATAAGTCTATATGCTATGCTGTATAGGTAGATTAAGCTCTACAAATTACCTACATAGCTGCATGATTCATTACTCTAAATACTAAGAGAGCATAATTATATCGCTGTAGATAGATAACCCACGTCTGACAACATCTATAGATGGGGCTTTGTCTGAAGACGAAGAAACAAGTTAGAACTTCCGGGATGTAACCTTCCATCATCATTGGGCCCTCGGCTTTTACAACATTCCACCACTACCCTAGCATGGCAAAAGAATACGAGGAAATTTCTCATGGTACCTAACTTTCCTTTGCTGGCCGTGATGGTATACCAATAGTTCCACCACAAGAGTTTAAATAGAATCGAGAAGGCGTGGCTTTAACCAGCGCCTATCCACTCCGGGTCAAGCCACTCTTAGGTCGTCGAAGTTTCACTGGAATGCTCCTGAGTCAGTGCAAAAGGCTCGGTATTCCTATCACATATGGGGTTACTATTGAGAAGTATGAAGAATATATCAGCAAGAAAAACGCTACTGCTATTGCCCTTGATGGTCGACGATTCACGGCCGATATTGTTATAGCTTCAGACGGTCTCGGGACCAAATCCCAGTGAGTAAAGCCTAATAGTCATATGCCGCTTATTTTGATTTGTCACATATAAGGCGTAATTGCTAGTTAGCAATTACGGAGTCGTTTTTGCGATATGATTGTTCTCTTCTCGTTTGTTTTATACGTTCAAAAATCTTCCAAACTCTTATAACCCATGCCTCAACTCTATCTCAGCTTCTTCTTAAACAATACTTCTAGTCTATCGTAGTTCTCCCACACTAGGATGTCCGGCTAGAGCTTTCAAAACTGCCTTCGTAGTTTATCGTGGAATGTATCCGACGGATCGCCTCAAGGACATACTGGTAGTAGGGGAATTTCTCCAGAACCTAAAAAGATCTACCTTGTTTACTCTGGTAGCTAACAAGACCCATTGCATTCTCGCCTTTACTAAAATTGATGTGATCATTGGTATCATAACTGAAGTATACGATTCCTGCTTTCTATCATATCATTTAGTGTAATCTTGTTAATAAATAGTTTAGGAAGATGATGATACGAATATTACAGATTCTTGGTCGTCTGCTGTGTCGAATGCAACTATACTGTCACTTTTACCGGAGCCAGAGACCTGGAGCCCTTTGCTCAAAGAGGCTATCCGCCACGCACCAGATCAGAGTATAGTTCGATGGTCACTATGTTTCCGCAATCCTTAACCCTGCTGGACCTCTACTGGTGGCCACGTCATCCAGTTAGGTGACAGTACCCATAGCTTTTTGCCGACTTCAGCAAACCGTGCCACTCAAGCTCTTGGAGGTTCCTTATCTCTTCCCGAATGCCTTCGCTTAGGGGGTAAGGAAGGCCTAGGGATCGTGTCAGATACTACTATCTGTCCGATACATATAAAATGTAATAGAATAAAATCTGTTACCAAATAACCTTTTAGTAGTATAGTGGTTTGTTCGACAGGTTGCTACCAAGGTCCATGAGTTATTACGGTAAGTTTCTTTATCATTAAGCAATCACGCTTTTAAAGATGGCTAATTACCAAAACTCTATAAGGTATCAACACGTTTCACTCATCCAACACTTTGGCTTCGTCAACATGCAAGACTTCCATCAGGAATTCAACCATAAAGCCATACAGAAGTATCCGCTATTGCTTATGGGCAAATGGCTATTGGCACGTAACTCGGAAAATACGCCACTGAGAACTTCTACAAGGCACGCGCACATCTTGAAACAGGAAACCCATTCGAGAACACTAACTTACCGCCTGGTCATAAGTGGAGTGACTGGACGGTAGAAGACGAACTTGCCAAGCAAAAGGCCGGCGTTCTAACCATGTTAGAACTCAAGAGTCACGGCGACTGGAGTATAGTCTAAAACAACACAACACAACACAACCTGCATAAGGATAATAGGCAATAACCCCCCTAACCGGAAATATAAAGCAGTGTTTTATCACGTTTTGAACCTAGGGCTCGTTAAATCCTCTAATAGTAGGATATATAGCTACTCCCTCTCATTTTCACCTTAACCATAGACTATATATACATCGTACTAAATTGCGTGATACCAATATTCTCTCCTCACCCAGCTCTATGAATGAAACCAGTTTAAAAAGTTTGAGGCCCAAAGGATTATATCCAAACCGATTCACTTTCATACCTTGACGCCGCATATCTACCTTTTAATAACTGAGCGTATACTCGAATAAGTACAAGCAATATAAGAACACTTGGCTCAGTGAATTTCTTACACAATTAATAATTTAAAAGTACCAACCAACGTGACGCCGTCTATAAGGGGCATAAAGCAAGACTAACAAGACCCTGACCTCTATCGTCTATTGTCTATCGTCTACCTTCTCGCATAACTCAGATTTAGATATGCTCAAGCTTATACGATTCACGTCTCTTGTACAAAGCTTAGACCGTCCAAGTCAGGGTTCCCGAGACGGAATTACTCTAGACCTTGAGGCCCTCTTACGAAACAACAACAACTAGTATATGCCGTCACTTATATGACTATACCTTTTGATGATCACAACGTTCTTTGCTGAATTCTAGAATCTCAATACGGCCAAGATTCGACATTCTGTTACCTTATGGTACTAACCTAGAACGTCATCACCGCTGCTGTCCTGGGGTCTCCTCGTCGCCCCATCGTCATCCTCGTCGTCGCCCCTCCGTCATCCTTGTTGTTGCCCCTCCGTCATCCTCGTCGTCGCCCCTCACCCCTCGCCCCTCGCCCTGTCACCCAGCTGTCCAAGAATTAACACATGAGCCCCTCCCTGGCGACATAAGCAGGTTCCACGGAAGATTCTAAAGTGTTCCGCTTTTAGGTACTGCCTTCCAAAATTCCTAATCTAGCTGATGCACCTACCACTCTTCCTTGAAAATTTCTCACTGACTAAAGATTTGGGCTTAGGGTTTTCTTCCTTCTTACTCAAGCAGAATCCAAGAACCTCAGATTCTATCATTTATTTACTTCATCTTCCTTCTTACTCAAGCAGAATCCAAGATCATCAGATCCTATTGTTCACTTCATCTTCCTTCATACAATCTACAATCCCCTACCAACCATTCAAATCCCAACACCAATCCATTCCGCCAAATCCTCGATATCTACAAAATGGCTTCGGTATGGTCCCATTATTTGTTGACTACGCGTGACACACAAACTAATACTGTATCCTTTAGCTGTCGACGATGGACATCTCCATCATCGAAAAGGATGATGGAGTTTACTTCGTGGGTCCTGGGGGCGAAGAGCTCCCCTTCGAGGTAAGTTTTGGGTCTCTTCTAATTCGAATTGCTATATCTATACCTTAGTTTAAAAGACCAAATATCTAATTGCTGCTCTTTAGTACGATCTCAACCGAATTCCTCCGCATTTTCAAGCATACTACCGCAGCCAGGCGACTACCCGATCCGCAGTGAGTCTTTGCGTAACTACATAAATTATAAAGATTTGAGGCTTATTATAGCTATCTAGGGAACCGTAGCTCAAGCAGAGGGCGCCTCCACTGACCGAGTTGATTCCGGTAGTGACAGCGATCCCAATGGCCATGCCTATGCCGCATCAGCGGCAGCGGTTTCTTCCGCCGCCTTCCCGGCCCCTATGGCCCCCATGGGCCCAGCCGCTGTGGCTCCCGCTGTGGCTCCCGCTGCTGCTCCCGTCGTTGCCGCCGGTCCTGTCGTTGCCGCTGGTCCTGTCGCTGCTGCTGGTCCTGTCGCTGCCCCCGCACAACAAAACATTCTCGCCCAACTACAGGCGATCCCACGCCCCGCTAGTAAGGTAAGTACATTATAACCATAGGTTGTATATAAAATGCAGGAAACTAATTTAAATACCGTTTTAGGCGCTATGGAGTTGTCCTATCTGCGGGTCTACCGCGTGGCCCTGGCGTCGCCATCTGATATCGCACGTTACTGCGTGTGGATGGGCCAACTGTGGTCAAGTTGGCTTCCGCAACCTCAGAGACACGGTCGAGCACATCGACCATGTTCATGGCAACGGCAACCAGACATGCCCGGTATGTAAACCCTCTTTACTCTCGATTTCATCTCTCGTCTCTCGTTTAGTTGGAGAAGTTATGCTAATTCTTGTCGTTCCAGTTCCAGTGCGGCAACAACGGCACCTTCCCGAGATCCGACGTCTATCATTTGCACGTAGGCCATCATTGTATCTGGCCCTAAGCAATATTAGGGTGGAACTGGTCGGTACCCTTTCGTGAAATACAAATTTCTTCGGCCGAAAATTTCGTTCTCTTACTAACTTCTAGATACATAGGTACCTACGTACAGAGCTCGAGAACAAAGCACGTAGTTGACGTCAGTGGTATATAGAGGGAACTGGCAAGTCTTTGTTGCTGTAGTAGCGCATCTACTAAATCGTAGGTTTGATTTAGCTTGTGTAGATCCTCCCGAAGATCAATTACCTACTGTACGCGAAGGAGGATCGAGAGGCTTGATGACGAATACTACATACATACGTCGGCGGGGGGATAGGGACTGGTCAATAATATTTCCGATTGCTCGGTTTTTAAGCCCGGTTATGCATTTGCGCCTCTGGCTGTCTGGGCGGGCTTGTTGATGCTTTTTTAAAATCCGTCCCCGGGAATTGTTATTTATGCCTGATCCAGGTCTTGATAAGCCTCTGCCATTACTGTCGTAGTCTTTTTTAAGCTGGGGTCCGCCTACCTAGCGTTAAAACTAGAGCCTCCCCCATAGCAGGGCTTGAGGTCTCGCTGGTCCGAGCGGGAAGAGCTAATATAGGAGCTAACAGGTACATTAGTAGCCTATGGATTTTTGTAAGTGTACTTATGTACAATATGCTAGGAGGTAGACATATGTATGATATAGGGGGTGGTAGTATCCTGTCTCTCTCATGTCAGATCTGATCAGTGATCTCCGGGTTGTCGGTCGCTTTGAAGTTTTCGAGCTCTGAACCCCTGAATGCACAGCCCACTGACGACGCTAAGGATTATTGGATGGAATATGGGACAGATTACAAGGCTAACTAGTGTAAGTAAACCCCTGAGCCGGCATAAGATTCATCAGTTTAAAAAAAATTCGGGGTATGTTCTTTCCAAGGCAGCATCTCTTTTTCACCAGTGAAGATCTACGATGTAGAACATGACTGGCGGTGGATAGTTATGGAGTAAATCCGTATAGTCCGTAAATAGTTGTTGAAAATCTGGGTAGCCTTGTTCCGGGCACGGCGGACTTGACATTGTACTCCGGGATAAGACACGGCCCTGATCTAAATCGTACAAAGGCAGTTCCGGACTGGACAAGTACATATAACAAGGGGATTCTTTTGAACAACCGAACAGCCGAAGTAGATTTATCCACAAGTACGTACTTATACATGGTTCCCCCGACTCTCGGACCACATACTTTACACAGAGATGGTCTGTGTATTATATTTGATTATACTTGTATAATAATAAAAACTAGTTACATTATTTACATGTAGTCTTAATACGTGGGTTCGAGATACTAGCAGCTTAACAGCACTACACTATGTAAGGTCCAAGTGATGATCCGAGACAAAGGAGGCTAACCATAAGTTAATATCCTATGCGGACGGGTACACTTTACAGACTTTGTTACGCGCGGCCAAACTCAATGGTATATGCGGGCAACGGAGGCTTACCGCAAGTCCGGACGAAATTGGGAAATGTTGGCAGGTTATTAAAAAATTTGGAGGGGAAAGAAATATCTGATCTGATATTCGGCTTGTCCTGAGCAGTGTAGCAAGACTTTGCGTGTGGCTGCAAGATGCGGCGTGCGTAAGAGGTCAAAAAAGGAGAATATTCGGCATGTCTTAATATCTAAACGCCTTTTACATGAGACCAAGATACCTAAGAAACTTACTTTTACATGTTAACAGGTAATTACTTACATATCATCCTCTACTACGTGTATTCGCGCGTAAGTAGCCCTAGTCGGATTAATTAGAGGCTATTACATCAATACATGGCTGTAATATTCTTGAAGTCAGCGCGGTTTAGAGAAGACGCCGTCTTCGTGTATTATGATAGAGGTTAGTATGATGAGCGAATGGCTCGTACCTTAAGCGGCGTTACCGATTAGATGGTTAATCCCGGGAGGTCAGAACTTTGGAACGGTAACCGAATAACTATTGGCGCAGCGGATTATGATACTCAAAACCAACATCGTCCGGAAACCCTATTATGTAGGTAGGTACGTAGGTATTAATGTGTTTGCGAGCTTTGCGAATGCGAACTTTGAAAAATGTAAAAGGTCCGACCTTTTATACGGGTCTTTTACCTTGGGTAGGCAGTTTACTTAATTGAAGAGTAATATAACTAGGTAGTTAATAATAATATAATAAATATAGAAAACTTATGGCGTACTTTACCAGCTCTTTGTTACTTATTGTTCCAAGATGCGCCGATTTCCCACTCAGCTCGGTCGGCCTTTGCTAATCACTTCCTATTGACGCCGAACCTCGTGTTAGTGGATCGGCTTACAATTGGTTCGTTCTTAACAACTCCCTTAAATCATTATATTAATAAATTCAAGCAAGTTTTGTGATCATTGAAATACGACCTTTTTATCTTGCTTGTTTGCCAACTTCTCTCTTTTTATAGAAACCTCGACGGCTTAAGAACTACTTTGGTGTTAGTTACATATCTTCAATTCTTGCCCGACTAGCAAGTTTACCTAGATGTAAAAGGAAAGGAAAAGAGAGAATCAACAGCACGGTATCTATTGAATGCATAGGTAGGTTAGGTACCTAGATACCGGGTATGCGTGCAAACGATAGATGCATTCCTTGTGACACTTACGCGCGCAAATCCTCAAAGACTAATACCTAATATGCAGAGCTAGAGGAGGTTGGCAGGTGAACTTGAGCTGCTGTCCTGCAGATACAATCGCATACCAACCACATCAATAGGTCTAAGGTACATGCAAACCTCAGCGTCTGTTTCCCGCCTCCACTCTTTAGACTGTCCTGCTGGCTCGCCGATTCTAGTGCCTTTTTCTTTCCCATTTGCCTCTCGGTTTACTACCTACCTACAGGAGGTATGTATGTAAGTACGTAGGTCAGATACATAAAGATACATGTGCAATCTAGGTACACAACCTTAGTCTGTTCATCAACATGAAGCACCTGTAAATATTTCCGGTGGTTGTCTACTTGATTTGAGACGAATGCCATCCCATTTTTAAAGCCTAGCTTATATAAACGTTAAAGATAAATGGAAAGATGGAAGCCAAGTCTTTTCTTATTTTTTGTCGAGGAGTATTTCTTCCCCCCTTGCCCGTTAAGGTTCCTTTCTGGAGTGCAAGTTACCGCGCAGTTACGTATGTAGAATAGTTAGTGGGCTGCGAGCCTAGAACGTCGGCCAATGCAGGGCCTGTTCCTTGAAGCGGACGAATTGATCGTGCAATGCATGATCGGATGAAGCTAGCGCGAACAAGTCGCTCCACCTTACCCCCAGTTGCTCACCCGCCGGGTTAGTACCTTAACGCATGTAGACGAGGTAGCTAGGTACAATTTTGTATTAGATCTGCGCCAGAAGAGGTAGGTACTACGCTAAAAGTCACAATAGAACTGGAACTCGCCAGCCAACATTGAATGAAAGTTCCATACCACTTGACCTCATAAAAATAGAGTCTAGCATGTAGTGTACCATCCAATCCGTCCAATCCGTACAAATAGGTACATGGAAACCACATACGGATTACACCAATTTCACCAACGCCTTTAGGTACCTTAGGGAGGTACGTAAAAGTAAGCCAAGGTCATTTCCAGGTCCAGGTTTTTTTTGCCCGTGATTGGAAGAAACATGTAACTAAGCATTGGCGAAAACGAAGGAAAAATAACGTCTCGCTGTCTCGCTGCCTCGCCTGACACCATACATCCTCGTCATTGAACACACTCACACACACGCCTTTCTACTTTTTTTTTCTTCCTCTTTACGTCTCTATACTTTCATCTCTCCACCGTTCGTTCGCTCGTCCCAGCCACTTTTTGAGTACTCTTACCTGCTCCGAAGCTGTTGTGCTACTAAGCATTAGCTTACGAGTTAGGGAATTAATATCGCTTGATTGTAGGATTTCTCTCGTTGAGTATTCTCGATAACACGGTGCCCCTCGATCTTTTTTTTTTTCTTTCCCTTCGCTCGGTCGTTTCACCTCAGCATCATCTCGTGGTTCGGAAAGCCAAAATAATATTCCGACCGTGATCAATAACTTGCCTCTTTACGTTATCGTCCTACCCATCGTTCAGTTCGGTTTTATTATTTCTACTCGAAATCGACCAGTTCTTCGATCGGCACTTCTCCATCAAATCGCATCTCGTGCAGCTTTACGTACCTCTCTATTAATAAATAAGGTTAATACCTGTGCTCTCGACCCGGCAAGCGACCGTTACTAGCAAGCCGCGCTTGTCCACCCTGCTTTAATTGTCACCTCCGTGTAAGTGACAAACTACCTGTTTGCTTAGTTCGAAATATATCAGGGAGGAAGGGGAATCAATTTCAAAAGATACTTGTCCGAAAGTGGGAGGATTCGTACGGGTGGTTCGACATATCAATCTCGCCACAGAGACGAGATGAGACTTGCCTGAAGTTTCGAAATTGGCTTAAGGCGGAGCAACAAACCATCTTTTTTTGCCATAAGCTTCAGCTTGTCATCCCATTCTTCCCGGCTTTCCACAAGTGTCCACCCATTACACGTTTCGGGCTTTAAGACTAGTGCCTCCCGATTGTTCCATTGCGGCAAGACCCAAGATATCGGTCGGTTACATCTGCACAAGAACACAGCTGACTTGAACTTTTTTATCGTCATGCAGTTTTCCGCCGGTTCGCGTCATATCCAGACATTTAACAGGGCGTAAGCTACGACTTGATCGTCGAGACGACAACTCGATTCGCTATTGTAATAATCCCCTTTATCGTAACGTAACACACCAGCAGATATCTCGCACCAGCTAGTCGATACTTGCAACTATTAGATCTTTGTTCGTTTATGGGTTCTTGGTAACCCGAAGAATTTGAGGCGAGTCAATCTATATGCCTAGATTTCCGGTCACCTTTCGGCGGAAATCTACCGCGGCAGAAGATCCAAATGGACCGGTAGCAGAGCAGCATTCTTTCCGAGTCCTGGAACGGGCTGAAGTGAGTAGTGGAAAGTCCTTCGATGGTGGTGTCAGGTTGGCCCGGATGACGGGGTCTGCACCTAGACCCAACACTTCAGATCTCGCAGCGGAGGATAATCTGTTTGCGGGCTTGAAAAATAATCGGTACGTCCAAGTTGGGTAATATTTCCAACGTCTTTTTCTATTTTTGCCGCTGCCTCATCGCCAAGAGTTGGTCCGGGCTGTACGCAGTGGGCTGCTGGTTACGAATCACTCGGATTTTAGCACGCTATTGTCTCAGACCTTCGTACACTTATATTACCAGCCTGGTCCTAGCGTTATGCAATTTTACTGATCATCCCTAGTGGTAGCGGAAGTTCCAACACTACTAAGACAGCCTCCGATAATTCTTCTCGTCACAGCAACGCCTCTACGGCTCCTTCATCAACCGATTTACCACCGCAGGACGACTGGCGCGGTGTTAACAGAAAATCCGTGTCCATGGCAGATGTTCCTGCTCCACTGGCACCCAAGAATCACGGCGGCTTCCTTAAACAAGCAGGCCGAACTTTCTCTTTCGGTAACAGAAAGAGTGCATTGCCAACTATAATGGCAGAGGACACCGTCCCTGCCGTCCCCGCGATGCCTGATGAGTATAGTCCAGGTACGCCCCGTCGCCGCTCGCGGGCTGAGACTGTTTCGACGGCCAGCACAGCGACGCCTAAGGTTGAAGACAGGGACTTCATGTTAGATCTAGGCGGTGACCTTAGCAGCACGCTCAAGTTTGACAAGCGTGCTAGTGTCGCTACTATAAAAGAGCGTGGCTTGATGGCGAATCGAGCCAGCCAGCTTACCCCGCTTCATCTTGACAACTCCGTTCCTGTTGAACCTCCACAGCATTCGTGGAATAGTCATCATTCGACTGAGGGATTGTTAGCGTCTGGGCGAACATTGACGTCCCCTACTATTCATGAAACGCGGCCACCACCCGTTCCAAAGCATGATGACAGCCCCAGAGAGCGCCGACGATCAGACGATGACGATGAAGACGAAGACACAAAACTCTTAAGGGATTCTCTTGCCGCTACTCAATATTTGGCTAGCGAAGAACTAGACCCTAGCGAAAATTCTAGCCGGTACAGAAGAGACGAAGATAGCACTTTAAGCTTTAGATCTGGCGCTACCGAGTCGTACTCTAGGTCGGCTAGGTTCGGTAATAAGACCGACGACGATAATCTCTTCGATAGACCCGGCAGTCGTCCTAAGTTGGCATCAAGGATGGGCCCTCGCTCCCACACCATGCCACAGAATAAGGTTATGACTCCTGCGGAATTTGAGAAGTACCGCCAAGATAAAGCTCGAGATGAGATTATGGGGATAGCCCACGATGATGAATCAGATAAGGAAGAGGATAATTATGATGATGACGAGGATGATCGAGAGAAAACAAAGCAGCTGGCTAAGCAAAGACGAAAGCAAGAGGCCCATATGACTGTTTATCGACAACAAATGATGAAGGTAACAGGCGAATCGTCTACTAACACTCACACCTCTCGCCCTAGCATCTCAATGTCAATGAGCACGCCGAACTTAGTATTAAACGACCCTGGCAAAGGTGTTTCCCCGATCCCCCCTTCGGATGGCTCCGATTCCGACGAAGAGGTGCCTTTGGCGATTCTTGCAGCTCACGGGTTCCCTAATAAGAACAGGCCGCCGACGCGTCTCAACAACATGTCGTCTAACCCTAACTTGCGAGCCTCTGTCGTACAGCCTTCTTATATCAGCGGACCAGGATCTACTACGGGCGACAATAACGGCCAGGGAGTTGGTAGTGGCGGCAATTTACCACCGTTTGCTAGGAAACTGCCCCAGGATCCGTACCTTGGCGCGGGCTTAATTAACCAACCCCCGAGAGAATCATTTGCCTTGGGCGGAGGATCTGCTGCTTCGAATAGAGGGGTGCCTACTGGAGGTCTAGTTGGTGTGATTGCCAACGAAGAGCGATCGAGGGCGTTACGACGTGGCAGTCCGGTAGTAGATGGCGGGAGGAATTCCTTTCCCCTCCCCCCGAACATACAGACGAACGGGATGCCGATAAATAGGGGTTTTGATCCTATGGGTGGCATTCCTCCTCAGACGATGTACCCAATGGGCATGCCGCAGATGCCTAATCCGATGTTGACTCCTGGCGACCAAGCACAAATCGAAATGACGCAGAAGATGCAGCAGTTTATGCAAATGCAAATGCAATTTATGCAGATGATGGCTACCCGTGGTCCGGGACAAGAGCAAATGCAAGCGCCGTTTCGACCCCAGGGACATATGCCAACACAGTCTATGGGATCTTTGGCAGAAGGACCTCGCAATTCATTTATGGGCGATCTAATGGTAAATCACATGGGCCAGGGAATGAACTTGGATCTACCGAGGGGCGATGCGCAAATGCGGACAATGAGTATGGTTCAGCCAAGCTCAGCATCGTGGCTTCAGCCACCCCAAGCAGGTTATGCGCCTTCGATACGCGCCCAGGGCACGGGTTATACTCCTTCAATTGCACCCTCAGAGCGCAGTAATATTGGGTTACCTGGACGCTACCGACCAGTTTCGAGTGTTGCAATGGTGGACCATAGCAGAACCGCTACCATGTCTAGTGCCATGCCAGCCCTACACTCGAAGCTTCAAGCCGAAACCAAAGTGACTCCCGTGAACAAGGAGGAGGACGATGACGACGAGCAAGGATGGGAAGCCATGAAAATGAAGCGGGAGAAGAAAAAGAGCCTCTGGCGATCCAAAAAGGGTTTTGGGGACGATATCGGAGCACTCATCAGTTAAAGGACGTATATGCATTCCAATGGTTTATATCATGATCCTGGGCTACATAAAATAGGGGCGCGCACGAAGAGCACATAACCATAACTACCTATGCTTATCGATCGAACTCCCAACAGCGCTCCCTTCGGTGATTTTTCCGTCTACTGGGAGGCCCTCTGGACAGAGGACGAGTTGGGTCCTTGTATATTTCAAGATCACAAGTGAAAGCATGTCCTGCGAGGTAGGACGAGGCGTATATGGTTTCGTAAGGAAGATTTGGCTTTTTTTGGATAAGAGAAAGACCTGCCATTTAGAATAAGAGATCTGTGGGATGGACTAGGGGTATATCTGAAGCTCGTGGTGGGACGATTCATGATAGAACACCCTATATATCGGTAATCTAATACTTCATCCACCCAGCCATCTACCTCGACAATAATCTTTAATTATGGATATACCTAGTCGGAAGTGATGTTTGGAGGGGCGAGGAGAGGATGGGATGGGAGGCAGGGGTATTGTTTATCATTTGATTCATTTATGTTGGTAGCCAGCGTTATAGCATTCATTTAGACATGTTTTGGATTTTATCCTATGAGCCAAGGTAGTTTGTTAAAGCCTATCGTAATTGGCCTTTGATTGTCTGGTGATATTGCCTTATCTCTTCGACGGCGATCGAGGCTAATGCACTTTCGTCCGACTAATCCCTACCAGTCCGTTGTCCTTTTTTTTATGTTTCCTTTTTGGATGTTTTCTACTCCAGCTTACCCCTAGCCCAAGCGTTGCGCTTGACGCCGAGCTCAACAGCAGCGAGGCCCCAGTCCTCGCCGTGGTTATGGCCGCCGGAAGTAAGGCCCGCGCGAGCCTGGGCCTGGGCGTCGTCGAGAACGGTCAGGACACCGAAGATGACGGGAATGCCCAGGTCCAAGCCGACGCGCATCAGGCCGTGCGATACCGAGTCCGCGATGTACTCGAAGTGCATGGTCTCGCCCTTGATTAGCACACCGATGGCGATGATGGCGTCGAAGGGCTGCGTTGCGGTTGCCGCCGCTACTGTCGAGGCTAGGTCTGTCGTCGAGCCGCCGAGGAGGTCACCGGCCGAGGCGCTGCCGCTGCTGGATTGCTGGATCTGAGAGGCGGCGTACATGCTATGAGGGAGGTGTTAGTTTGATGTTACGTTGGTATATAAGATCATATAGCAATTGCAACGGCGCGAGGAAGGTAGCAGGTAGAGTCAAGGGCTTCTAGGTAAGCAAGAATATTCGGAGGGGAGGGAATTCCTAACCGCTGGACGGCGATGGGCAGTTCCCACGACCCCGGCACCGACTGCACGACAATATTAGACTCTTTGACGCCGCAGCTCAGGAGCTTCTCCTTGGTGCCCTTGACCAGCGGCTCGATGATGGTGGTATTCCAGCGCGCGTGCACGATGCCGATGCGCAGGCTGCTGCCATCGTGTTCTTGGGGGGAGGGGCCTTTGAGGGAGTGCGCCATATTTTCTCTCGCGCGACGGAGGTTAATTGGTTCTTAGGCGTTTAATGTAGTAAAAACGGATGTCAGGGCATATGTAGTCTGTTAGTATAAAGCAATTGAGTACGGTATGTAATGTACCTAAGGGAATTGGAAATATGAGGAGGAGGAATGAATCAATGGTGTGAGAATGGAAAGCTCCTCAACGAGGTACCTAATGTATGAGGTACCTACATCGGTATGAGGTAGTATTCGAGGTACACAAGGTGGGCTGTTATTGTATGTATTGTACCATTCAGAGGGGCAGAGAGCATGACGCACATCCGAACAGGGGTATACCCTACCCTACCTTAGCCTTTTGCGGCACCTAGGTGTCTGCCTTCGTCACCTAAATGTACCCGTGGTTGGTAGGGTGGTTACATGTATTCAACTGTATTTTTAGGACCGGAGTTGCTTCGATTATTACAATAGCGAAATGGAAGGAGTTACACAAAGCCTAAGTCGCAACTTCTCTTACTACCTGTTCTAGGGGTTAGCAGGTTCGGCTAACAAGTTGGACGAGCAGGTACGATGAAAGTCGGGATGCTTTAGTTTCTACTTGACTCAATAAAGTTTTCCACTCCTTTTTCTCAAGTTGAAAACACCATTTATACTCTCCTTTATACTCTCAAGTAGAGATGAAGAATATACCTCGTTCAATTAGGTACATATAGCGTTAATAGAGTATGGTCCAGCTATTTCATACTTCCAACTAATGTTGTTTGATCTTCATCATGTCTACAATTTCTCGTTTACCTGAATCTACCACTCGACTCCTATGTTCACCCTTAGCTATTACAACTCCAGTCGCCTTAGTGAAAGAGCTCCTAGAAAATTCAATTGATGCTAAAGCTACGTCGATTGAGGTCATCATCTCTGCAGACACAGTGAAGAAAATCGAAGTTCGGGACAATGGAACCGGTATCCATCCAGACGATTACGATGCGCTTGGAAGACGTGGTCATACAAGCAAACTCAGGAGCTTTGAGGAACTAAGGACTCATTTTGGGAAAACGCTCGGCTTTCGTGGAGAAGCACTAGCCAGCGCAAATTCCTTAGCCCAAGTCACTGTCACTACCAAATTCGCTTCGGAGCCTGTTGCAGCCATCCTTCACATTAAACCGGATACCGGAGGCATACAGAAGCAACAGCCAACTTCGGCACCGGTTGGAACTACTGTAAGTATAGCCGGGCTTTTTCATCAGGTTCCGGTTCGGGAACAGATGGCTATCAAGGGCTCAGTAAAAGCAATAGGCAAGATTCGCGAACTGCTATGTTCTTATGCCATGGCAAGACCGCAACTAAGATATTCACTCAGGGTCTTGCAGCTCCCTAAACAGAATTGGAACTACTCGCCAAAATTGCGCTGCAGTGTGAAAGAAGCGGCTATCCAGCTATTTAGTTCAGATATTACGACTTACTGCTTCGAGAAGATATTTGAGATAAGTGATCTAACTAACAGTAATGACCCTACCGTCAAGCATGAAACTTTGCCAAATTTCAAATATGTGTTCGAAGCCTTCATTCTAAAGCCGAATTCAGGCTCTCCTAAAGTTTCGAAGCAACGCTATTTCTCTGTCGATAGTCGCCCTGTTACGGCAAAAAGGGGCACTATGAAGAAATTGTTGGACATCTACGTTGAGCATCTCAGCATCCTCTACCAACAGGACACTTCAACCGCAAAACTCAAAAATTATTTCATTCGGTTAAACATCAAGTGTCCTCCTGGAAGTTACGATGCTAATATAGAAGCCTCGAAAGATGATGTGGTATTCTCAGACGAGAAAATAGTGCTTGACGGATTTAAGGACTTGTGTAAGGAAGTGTACAAAAAAAGCCCGCCCAGTGATCTATGTCCACAGTTATCGGCTACAAGGAGCTCCGTTTCAAGCAACGGGGACGATTTGGAAACTCGAAAGTCACTACCCATAGGGACTCAAGTTAAGTCCATCTCTAACAGGGTTGAACACCTTAATTCATCAGTGCGGACACCAAACCAAACCATCGTACAACCAATACTACAAGGTCAACAAGCCCCTATTGTCTCCCAGTCATCACCTGCTCTGTTGCAGGATACGATGACGCATACGCATAGCCCTATATCTCTCGGACTTGCTCCGAACAATACTGAAATATCACCCGCTCAAGAGGGATCTAAAGACACTTTAAGTCCCCAAGGGAAACTATCAAACACCGGATTTACTCGATATAGAGTTGACATGTCTACAGATTTGAATGAGTATAACTACGATGACTCTCAGGGCAAGCCTGCCGGTTCTACACAGGCACTGCCCACCCTTCAGGGGAAACTAGGTACAGCCAAAAATTTGGCCCCACAAGATGTAAACCCATGGATTATCACAAAAATGAATGCATCTATACCTAGCCAGATGATAGCAGAGCGGATCAGGAACGAGCCAGCCCAAAAGAGCAGTTCGCCATTACCGGCATTTGAACCTCCGATGACTCCAGATCCTCCTATCCTTCGTCACGTAGGAGCAGCACCACGAGACCTTGATGTCCCCCCCAGCCAGCAACATTTGGGATCACAAGGTAATCTACGTCAATTACGGTCTAGAGTACCTGGCGGCCCATACCGTAGCCCAATATCAAGCCCATCTGGGATGGCTTCACAGGATGCCATAGGTGGTATTGTAATGCCTACCGCTCTAAAGCCGAGACGACGCCGCAACCCCCTCCCCTGGTCACCACCCTCGTCTATTGAGGCAGCTGTAATAAGCAAAGATCGATTAAAAAACCCAAGGGACGAGTTCATGGCAGATGGTATGAAACAGACGACGATATCCTTCCAAGGTGTTGGGGGGAACCGCAAACGTCAATTACAAGAGGATAGTACTGCTATCAATCAAGGTTCGCAAGGTCAGGAACATCAGCAGGAGAATTGGTTTCAGTATGTGCCAATACCGGTGAAGAATGACTTCGGCCATCAGCTTTCACTGCAGAAGGCGCCTTACGTCTCTGAGAAGAAGCAGCATCAGATCCATGCCAACCTAGAGACAGCCCAGGATCGACCATGCGTTCAGTCACGCAAGAATTACCCCCAAGAAGAAGTCAATTCCTCTGAAGTAACCGAGCCTATCAATACAACTTTAGCAAGTGGTGACCCTCGGGCATACCTCTTACGCCGCCAAAAATCTATGGCCGCAGAAGAGAGGGGTATGAAGCCAAAGAAGATTCGAAGATTAAAGAGCTCTCTCTTACCCCTAGAAAACACCCCCTCTTATGACCAGACTCATTCTCTAGCCATTATCGAGGTGTGGGATGCTAAAACCTTGCGCATTTTTGTCAAAAAGTACGCGACCTACGATAGATATGTCACAAAGGGGGTTGTAGAAAACGGTCTTGAGATGAGTCTGGAAGAAGGCCGCAACGTTGAGAAGCGACTCAAGTCGGTTCTCCTTCAACACATGGGCGCAGCCGATGACGAAGAGTCCGTTCCTGAAGTCAACATTTGCTCTTTGCTAAAAGGTAAAGGAGCTATAGCTAGTTCGTGGACCGAGTAAGCGGTGTGGAGTCGTTGGTACACGATACATAAAAGAGGACATCCAGTTTGCTTGGATGGTTGCTTTAGCTATGAGTAGGCGTAAGTTGCCTCCAGAGAAAGTTGAAGTCTTGGGGACTGGGGTAATGGTGACATAATAATGCTTTCTAATTATGAATCATGGGCTTGCATAACTGCTTCGTGGGAGAAAAGAGTGTCAATTCATGTCCTCAGCTATACGTAGCTATTCCAAGTCCTTAACAGCTCTAATCTTGAGGTTACTGGCAAATTTAAAGGGACTGCTAAGCAGGATTCGTATATCTGAAGTCGGTGCCCCTGAAGCTCGCACGTGTACTCTACTGTCTAGATGTTGCCCCTGTCACCTGTCCTCCGGGTGTCTTTTAGTTGACGTCGACTACGAGTAACTCTATAAATATTCGTTCGTATAAATCTCCAAGTTTCAACGATCTTCCGCCGATGTTAAGAGGAATGCCTGTGGATTGCTATGAAATTAGAAGAAAGAGGCTTCCCTAACCTTATACAGCTACAGATATGCTACCGCAGTCATCAAAAGTTACTAGAAGGCCCCGTGACTATTATAACTTCTTCTTCCCGAACAGTTGATAATCGCTAGTATGACTACGTCTAACCTTACATAGACTGACATATTCCCAGCTAGGTTAACTCTTGTTCAGCGTTTTAAAATCCTTTAAAGCTTCAACACTCTCCGTAGTTAAGAATAGGTTGGTGATTCCCTGGTCGCAGCCAGTCTTAGTGACCCAAGCCGTGAAAAAGGGACAAGGAGAGAAGACCGTTAATACGGTTGAGACCGCGGGAGTCAAGACACCGCCTATTGGCCCTGGAGCATTCATGAGTGGGGGGCAGTAGCGTCGTATGTGGCTTGCTTCCACGGAGGCTGTGGATTTATGTATGTCGAGGTTTAGGCTACTACATAGGGTGATACGTAAGAGGGCGGGGAAGACGGTCTCGTATGTCGTCTTAAGGGTGGAGAGCTTTAGGGTCTAGCACAGAAGGGAATATGGTTAAGGTGGGATAAGGGCGAAGTGTGGGTTATTAATCGTTTGCTGTCGTGTATGCTTCTGCTTGGTGGTATTCTCAGGGATAGGTTTTTATAGACGGTCGATAAGGGGGAGTGGAGGGTTAAGATCTGATTAGGGGTTGATTTTTCGCGGTGGTGATTCACTGGATTCTTTAGCAGAAATACGGTTAGTCTACAGTTCGTATTCAAAGGCCGCCTGGGTAGGTACCTATACCTAATTTGCGAAGAAGAAATTTGCGTAATTTAGCTTGCTGGGTGCTGTTAAGTAGTTTCAAGCCATTAAATGTGTGGGATACAGTTTTGCATAGGAGTAGCAACAATAGTATCGAAACACTGCTAAAGCTATGCCAATATGCCTATAGTATGTCCAGCCCCCCCCTACAATAGCCTAACCCGTATATATAGCTTACAAACTACAACAACTTGCATAGCCCGTCTCACTCCCCGGGGAGGAGTCTTCACTATTATGCATGGCTCTTCTAGCAAGCGAATACGAAGTCAACTCCAGTGATTGGCCGACAAGAACCCAATTGGACAGTGAGGAGGTGTGCCCAATAATGGGATACTGTATGTAAGAGTTTGACCTCGGGGTAAAGTTACTCTATCTCTACGGCCACGGCCACGTAAGATATCAGTGAGTCTTCAGCACTATACCAGACCCTATTGGCATATTGACACAGGTAAGCGTGGTATGTGGTAAGGGCCAAACTTGCGAGTTGACGGATTCGAAGTCAACCTTTCTCTTTCTCTTACCCGAGGAAGATGACATGAATGTCTCCATAGGGATAGGGGATAGTATTCACGTAGAAGGACGAGGAAGATGTCCGAATTTCCGATCCGGGCAGGCAAGTCTGTACCTTATATGGTTGATAATTGCTCTAGTATGCATTTATCCCTACCGTGGTGGTGCTATGATGGCCCTATCGTGATGAAGAAGCCGGTAGTACTACATAGTAATCGGTTACGATGAAAATGAAGTCGGGATACAGTGGGAAGAACCTGAGAACCTGCTTTTCCCACGGCGCTAACGCTGTGCCACGTTAAGACCCCAGTCGTCGATCTCGATTTTCTTTATATCTACACAGTAAAGCCTCAGGTAAGCTTCCGGCTCGTATTTGCATAAAGACTGGCATGCAATGACGCGTTTCGGATTATATAGCCAGCGCGTAGTATTTAAGATCGGCGTCTCTGCCGTCACAAAGTGATATTGGAGTAGCGAAATTAATGAATGAATGAATGAATCAATGAACGAATCAGTGTATATAGGTATCTTCTTGACGCCTTCCGGATATGCGAGGCATCATGTAGACGCAAGAGCAGTGTACAGATAGTTAGCAGTGCGAACAAATGCGAACATGGCGTCTAGGGTCCATCTTTTACCACATGGCATAAAAAGCCAAGGGCCAAAACGGGCCACCGACCGAGTCGCCGACTGGATGGCACCGTTCAGCCACTCCTGTACTGCATGTATGTATGGCGCCCCCCCACCGTCAGACCCGTATAGGTAAGCTCGGACCCAACGAGAAGGCTCCCCTTTAGTTTCTTTCGGAGTATTATTCTTCGACGGCTGATGGCAGCGCATCTAAACTAGATGCTTATTAGCTCCATGGCGGAGGTGGTTTGATACGAGCGCACCACATCTCGCCTAACCGTTAACTGCTAGTTATGCGCAGTCGATACTAGAGATGCTAGTTCGAAACTGCCCGTCCGCGGGCAATACATAGAAACGGAGACGGAACGCGCGGGTTGCGGGAGATTGGACCTTTCGGATGCGTAGAAGCTCGGGACGGGTGGAAAAGGGAAAGGGAAACAAACTGGGTCAGAAACGGGCGAAGGGGAAAGTTGCTCAGGACATTGTCACACCTTTCATTTTATTATTGGTAGATATTATTGGTAGAACTCGTTACCTAATTGATGCTATCGCGTAGTACCCGTCATTTTATTATTAGAGTGAAAATGGATGAAATGGATGAAAATACTCGAGTCTAGATCGAGTTTATAATTGCTTGGAGTTGGACAAAACACTTTAAACCCCATCTCGGTTCGAGACGACCTTTCCATATCCTTGGGATTGGCGCCATCGTCGATTATACCTGCCTTTGTGTTATTCTAGTTGATATCTAATATAAGGTAGTACTGGTTCGATCATGATGACTTCATCATTATCGTCGTCACTTTTAATTGGTTGGAAATATGAAAATAGTCGGGTATAATATACATATCCCATCATTCGATCCTACGGCTAGAATTCTTACCATCATGCTGCCTGGCAGTCTTGGAAATATTTTACGACATACGAAGTAGCTATTGCTTACAATTATACCTAACGTAAACCACGGGTCAAAGGCTCACACGGGTCAAAGGCCCAGTGAAAATACATACAAAATACGTCTGTGCGTAACCGTGCACTTTACTTAAAATAAATCGTATTAAAAATCGGTTTTCGAAATTAAATATGCATTTAAATTTTAATAATGATAGTATTTTTTTATAAAATTTTACTATTTTTTTTAATTAATAAAAAATAAAAAACATAAAAATGAACTTAAAATAATAATATTTTTTTATAATTAATATTATAATGTAATGATATTTTTTTCCATTTTTCTATAAGTTAGGTATATAGTTAAATATAACATATTAAAATTTAAGATTTTTAAATTAAGATTCCGTAAAGTTATGAATTTCTGAAATATTAGAAATAAGGTGTGTTTTGCGTTGGGCCTTTGACCCGTGTAAGCCGTTGACCCGTGGTTTACGTTAGTTGAAAAACTAACTGAAGCATACATAGGGGAACTCTCAGTCTCAGCTTTCACAAGTTAGGTAATGATAGGTAGTATAGCCTTGTACGATGTACGAGGTACGTACCCTTTTAGTCTTAGGCGCTAATGCATCGAAATGCGTTGGCTTTAAGACGGCTTCAAGGGTCCCTGGAATATCTCTGCCTTAATGGGTTTTTTTTCCTCTTTGTTCTTGCTTCCCGTCCTAATCCACGTTAATCAGTTCCTAACATCAATAATAATAGTAATAATTTTAGTACACAGCGCTATCGCCGTCGTTGCTCCCGTTTTGACTCTTTACCACTCTCGCTTTTTAGGGAATATTTCTATGTATTTCTATAAACACCCTCCAGCAAATCATAGTTCGCAGCAGTAAGCAAGCAAGCAAGCAAAGCTAGAAAAAACAGGGATCTTGTTTTTGGGTCGTTAGACAGGCAGGCACGGCTGGCAGGCTGGTAGGCTAGATTTGGTAACATCATAATTCACTTACAAACCAAACGACGCACTGCCACAACAACGCCCCAAAGTAACCCGATATCCGATCTCCTTTCCTAAATCCTCCCTCGTTTTTCATAATCATTTTCTCGTATCCATATTTTTATATTTACAAAATAATATTCCCATATCTTTCAAGTGCATTTGAAACATTTCCCCCCGTCGCGCGCATCCAATCAATTGCAAGGTCCAGCGAGACTGCTGCTCTTCCCAGCAACGATGTGGCCCTAGTGGTCCTGGATCCTTATCCTTCAGCGTTAAGCCTTGGGCGACACTATCTTGGTACTACTCTCCCGACGACGAACGATGCGAAATCATACTTTAAGGCCTCTTAGTTCGCCTACGTCCTATACCTCCTATACGTCCTATTCAAGCTTCGCCGACGTCGACGCCGACAACGACGCCGAGTTTGACCAGAATCAAGATGTATATGCGGCAGATGATGCTTCGTCCGTCAAGATGATAAAGATGATAGGCACTTATGAGTCCGAGCAAGATAGATGCTTGCCATTATTGTCTTCGCCAGCTTCTACTCCCCCAACAACACGAAATTTCGGAATCCCGTCCCTCTCCAGGATTGTAGTCGGTTCCTTGGTGGCATGCACTTGGATTCGTACCGCATCCTCTGTAAAAGTCGCGTTCGACAACTGTCTAGATAGCAACTACATCTACTCCAACCAACCTCCAGAGCAAGTTCAGCTTCAATGGGTTCCTCTTTATGTCGACGCTAAATTCGATACCGAGAATCCAAACCACAACCTGATCGTAACAGTTTGGGGGAATGTGACGGGGCGCGTTGGCACCGATACCCTGCCACCATGGAATTCGTCGGAGTGGGATGACCCGAGTCAAGTACTGAATGGGAAGATACAAAACGAGCCCGAACCGAATCTACCGGCCGATCAACGTAAAGTTACAACATTATACTACAAAGTTGACGTCTCGACGTACGAGCCTTATCGTGACACCGTGAACTTCTGCGACAATATCTTGAACGGGTCGTGTCCGCTCGGCCCCGTGTTCAAGGATCAGATATCTCAGTAGGTTGCTCCCGCAAAAAAATCAAGAAGGGACGGCAGAGCATGTTTAAAAATTGGCTATTGTAATGAACTAACATTTAAATCTATGTAGAGATTCACCACCCTACGACTTCCCCTCGTTTAACCTCACGAATGACATGTCTTCAACCTACGCGTTTACGTCATTTGCTCCCACTTTCATTATTTGGTATGGCGATTCTGGGAAGACTACGATTGGATGTGTTTCTACTATTCTCACGCCGGACCTCGGTGGAATCGCTTGGTCTCTGAAGTTTCTCCCGCTATTTGTACTGATCTTGGTGGGGTTTGCGACAGCTTTCGCAGGAATTTTCAGCCCATGGGGCACGAGTGATGTCTTCCATTGGACATCAAATTACGGTAGAGACCCTGATCTTTTACGCCTGGTTACTCCTGGGTTCGGCGACTGTCTCCAGTATATCCAGTACGTCCTTCTTACCGGTGGTCTTACCCTGGAATACCCCGGATTCTATCAGCCAGTTACGAGTCAGGTCTCTTGGTCTGCGTTGATGTTCAACCAAAGCTTCGTCTCCAATACGGAACCCTGGCAGAGTCTGGTTGACGGACTCTATAAGACTGATGGCGAGTACGGTCTTGAGAATATTGCGCAATTAGAGGGCATGGCTCGGGTCGAAGATATTTGGGCCGGTATGATGGTATGGTTACTGGTCATCATTGGGGCCGTGCTCTTCTTATTACAAGCCTGGTTCTTTGTACGATGGCTATTACGATATATCAACCACGTCCCCGAGGAAGATCTTCGATCCAAAAATATACCTTTCTCGATCGGCAATATCATTCGTATCGTCTTCAGCTATTTCTTACTCCCCGTTGTCGCCCTGACCGCTTTCCAGCTAGTGGTTGCGGATCGTTCCACGGGCTATCTTGTAGGGTTAGCCGTTCTTACTTTGGTCTTGATCATTGGATTTGCGATATGGCTCATATACCTCATTATAAGTACCAAGCCTAGGGCGCACCTGTTTGACGACCTCCCGACCGTGCTCCTTTACGGGCCCCTTTACAATACATATTCTGATCAAGCGGCTGCTTTCGCGATAATTCCAATTATACTAACACTATTGCGAGGCATCGCTATTGGCGCTGTGCAGCCATCGGGTACCGCACAGGTAGTAATATTGGCCGTATGCGAAGTGATTCAAATACTAACACTTCACGCGTTTCGGCCTTTCCATTCGCCTACTTCGATGAACGCCTATCATACAGGATTTTCGATAGTTCGCTTTGTATCGGTGATACTCATGGTTGCATTTACGCCAAGTTTAGGAGTTTCGGAGGGTCAGAAGAGCTGGATTGGTTACGTGATCTTACTGATACACGCATGTGTACTGATTTTTGGCTTCCTGCTAAATGCGCTACAGACGATCATCGAGGTCATCGCACGGCTATTAGGTGCTGGGGGCGATAACATCGACGGGCAGAGAAGGGGCGGACTTTCCAAGATTTTCGGTGCCCGCCAATTATCCAGACGCGTAGATCGACGCGGCGGTCCGTCCCGTCAAAGTCAACTTAGTAGTACGGCGATGCTAACCTCTGAAACTGCAACGAAGCGCGGGTACGGACGCGTAAGAAGCGAATCAGCTGGTAGCATTGGGATGCTCGCCAGTCCCAACATGAGAAGTTCGAGTGCTTTAGATGCCCGAAGTCTGGATGCGTATTCAATTCCACTTGGCAGCGGCGGTGCTTTCACTCCGACGACGACAACCCCTGGGGAAACTAGTACATTCTCCTTCCTACCGTCTCCAGGGCAAGCTACTCGTCCTCAGCCCACGGCTGATCCCTACTACCGCCCCCCACGTGCCCGCCGAGCTACTAACGATGAGATGGGCACCGCGTCACCACATCGGGCGCGTAGCTCCCTGGCTAGCATTGACCTATCAAATCATCGGTTAAGTGAACCCGCGGGAGCAACGACAGGCGGAGATGACGATGCACTCCCTGTGGGGAAGATGAACCCAGCTCCGGCACCTGCACCATATATACCGGTTTTTGCACCAAGAGCAGACTATTCGACCCGTGAAGTCGACTTCTATTACGGGGTGCGTGGCCCCGCATTAAACTCGGAGGGACCCGGCCGCAAGTTAGGCACAGGTCCAGCAGATCCTACCAGCCCAGTCGCGACTGCTACTGGATGGCTTAAACGCCTTTTCGGCGGTAAGACTAAAGAGAAGGGCAAGGGTTTCGAGGTAGTCAGAAGCGCCCGAATGCCTCCTGCGATGAGGGCCAGAAATGGCGAGCTCGCCGAGGAGCCACCGGAGGGCATACCCGTAGCAATGGGTGTACTTCGAAATGGCCCAATAGAGAGCGACGACGAGGAGGATACGCCAAAATCGAAGAAGACCAAGCGCGTCGTCGAAGACAGCGCCCAAGGCGAATTGCTTAACGAAGACGGTGAGCCTCAACAATCAGATGGCGAGCCTCGATCGGATGACGACACGGACGTCGAAATACCCAGAGTCGCCGAAGAGCCGCCCCTTTTACCCGATCTCGACGCAGGCGAAAGCTTTAGGGTCCCTAGTAGAGTGCACTCCAAGGCGAGCAGGCATCCGTCACAGAGAACGGTGAAAGGTCCGTCAGGAGTTGAGGAAGTGCCAGCAGTGCCCGAGGTACCCAGGAAGAGCTCGAAACGAAATTCCAGCGTAAACCCGTTAGAGAATAGGCAACTTATTGATATCGTGCCGCCTGTAGGGGTACCAATGGTGCAGACTCAGTCTAATAATACGGGACCGTCGGGAAGCATGTCTGCAAGATTGCCATTTGATCGGACTAATTCGCAAAAGTGCCATTCGTTGTCGTCGGTGGCAGGAACAGAAGCGTCCAGCCACGTACCGTCAGCCGACGGCACAGAAGACAGACCTACAAACTACGGTTACGTTCATCAACATAATATCAGCAGAGTCGAACCGGAGCAGGGGGTGGATCTACTTGGAAGCTCGGCAGAGGTAGTGGACATGTCGAGGAAGCCAAGCCCCGGCTCGTCGGTATCTAGGCGGTCTGATCACTAAACATGTCACACATGCACACACTTACACACCTACACCTACACCTTAGTATTAGATATTTACGTGTAACGAATTTCCTTGAATCGCTGTATAGGACGGATGTATAGAGTTCGAGCAGCCCTTTGGCAAGGGTTATAATAGGAATTTCAGCGAGGCGGTTTGAAATTTTGCGGTTGGGACTAGCAAGGCGCTTTAGGATCTGATCACTCGCATCTTAGGGCAACGATGTTTCGATGCCTTTTACCAATCCTTGTTTGTACTCGTACGCGACGAGTTGGCCTTGTGTTGAGCGATGGCGTACAAAAAAAATGGCGAGGATATAGTATAGGAGGGTTGGAAATAGGTACATGTCAGAGGAAGGGCGTAGCATATATATACCTTATATAATTGCATGCGGAAGGGAGGGGAAAGGGGGGGCAGAGGGGCAGAGACGAGAGGGGGAAGCGTTGAGAATGGAAGACTAACTAATAGCGACCTAGATACCTATAAATTAAAGTAACTTGCCTTATGTACATATTTACCTAATGTATGCTAGAGCCTCTTATTCGGCATTTCGGTAACTTTTAGTACCTATGTATGTAGTTGAGTACCTATAGCCTTAGGAATCTCGGTGTTCCGGGTCGTAAAAGTTATAATAAACGACACGGACTCCCGATAACGGAGCGGAAATCGACTTCGGGTGCTATTATTCTCCATTAAAGGCCCCATACGACCTTGAACCCGCCTGCCCGCCCGCACCAAGCTGCATCCAACAATGGCGTAAAGTTGGCGATAAGTCGCAACAGTGGAGAAATGTGTTTGTAGTTTTCGTCTCGGGGTCGTAGTTAGTTGTACGACATATTTTCTAAGCCGAGACTATCCTCTTGATCCTCTTGGCCCTCTTGACCCTCCTGATACCTTACCTTGGTATCTAGAATATTTAAGTGCCTTGACATCTATATTCAACACGGTACTAGAGACTAGAGTTTCCTTTAAGCAGAGCAGATCAGACAAACAGATACTAAACTAGAGTGATCGGAAAAAGACAGAAATAATCATGGCGGCAGAGGAGAGTACCGCACACGGGGTATCCGTGCAAGACGCCGCTAAGCCGGAGCTCGTCGAAGGTGTTGCCCACGAGAAACCCGTCGTTGGTATAGACGAGACAGAAGCACCGGTGACGGCAACAGCACTGGCTTCTAGGTTCCAACACCTCTCGCTGTCGGCGCAAACCATCCACGCCGACGATTTCCTCAACTCGCACCAGTCCGTCGCCCCGCCTATGCACGTCTCGACTACCTTCCGGTATAGCGACGACCCGGACGAGCTCAAGCCTTGGACTAATATCAACGTAGGCTTCCCTTACTGCCATTATACCATACCTATCCTTCAAGAGAATGATATATGATATATGGAACTAACAAGCAATCTTAGCCCAACAACCCCTACGACTCCCACGTCTACTCCCGCGACACCGCCCCCAACACCACCCGCCTCGAAGCCGTCCTGACATCCATCCTCCACGGCCCCGCACTAACCTACTCCTCCGGCCTATCCGCCTTCCACGCGCTCCTAGTCTTCCTCAACCCGCGCCGCGTCGCCATCACAGAAGGCTACCACGGCTGCCACGGCGTCATCAAAGTCCTGTCCAAGCTCACCGGCCTCCAGACCATACCCCTCGACGCCGACTTCGCCGACCTGCAGCCCGGCGACGTCGTCCACGTCGAGACGCCCCTGAACCCCACCGGCGAGGCCCGCGACCTGCGCTCCTACGCCGACCGGGCCCACGCCAGGGGCTGCCTCCTGTCCGTCGACGCGACGCTCGCCCCGCCCCCGCTGCAGGACCCCTTCGCCCAGGGCGCCGACGTCGTCATGCACAGCGGCACCAAGTACTTCGGCGGCCACAGCGACATGCTGTGCGGCGTGCTGGCCGTGCACCCGCGGCACGCGGCGTCGTGGATCCCGCGGCTGCGCGAGGAGCGCCTCGTCCTCGGGTCCGTCATGGGCAGCTTCGAGGGCTGGCTCGGCGTCCGCAGCCTGCGCACCCTCGAGCTGCGCGTCCGCAAGCAGAGCGCCGACGCGCAGAAGCTGGTCGCGTGGCTCGCCGGCGAAGTCGACGGAGGAGGCAGCAGTGTGGTGGGCGAGTTCGTCGCACGCGTCAGGCATGCTAGCCTGCAGCAGAAGGCGGAGTTGGAAACCGGCTGGCTGAGGGAGCAGATGCCCGGCGGGTTCGGGCCCGTGTTCGCGGTGTACCTGCGGGACGCGGACGCCGCGCGGCGGCTGCCGAGCAAGCTGGCGCTGTTCCACCACGCGACTAGCTTAGGGGGGGTCGAGTCGCTGGTCGAGTGGCGGGCCATGACGGACGCGGGGGTCGACAAGAGGCTTTTGCGGTTCAGCATTGGGCTGGAGGGGTTTGAGGACTTGAGGGATGATCTGGTGCGAGGGTTTGAGGCGCTGAAGGCGGAGAGGGCGAAGAAGGATGCTAGTGCTAAGGTTGCTGCTTCCGGCGGTGCGAATTTGATTGGGGGAGTGTGATGATGATGATGAGTACCTAGGGGCTGGAATTGGGATCGAGGCGTGGATGGATGGATGGATAGGCGTGGGAATATGGGAGCTTCATAAGCTCTTGAGGGAAGGGTTAGATCGTCTACCGCTTCAAACTCTACAACAATGAACTATATATTGTTTTAGGAGAACAAGATATAAATGTTAGAAATGTTGGAAGGGGGGGACCCCTGATATTAGCAAGACTAACTTCTCAATAATAGGTACGAATTTACGTGGGCTTGCTGACTACTTGTTGACTAGACTTTGGGCGGAAATATAGAATAAGTCGCAGCTCATAAAAGCTCTATTTACCTATGTAATTGGTGCTAACTCACGATACTATATACCTACTCTTAAAGGCATCTATACTATACCCTAGAATGTGATGCGGTAGGGGTTAATATTAACAACCTAACTCTTCGTTATTCATACCCTATCCCCTATCCTAGTAATACCCTATTCCTTCTAAGCCAGACCAATAAGCCTTAATCCTGGCACCAGCTCTTCTCGGAGCGTCTAGTTCGTGAATAAAATAAGAATTAGGTATATGTTTATATACAACGCCTCCCATGAGTACCTTAGGTACACATACTAGTCGGATCGGCTTTTCTTCCTGTGCGGAGTTTCGTATGTAGACCCGTCCGATAGGCCGATTCGTATACCATTACTATTAATGTATAGAAAATGTAGGGTGGTCCTGTCTACCCTAACCTTAGGTAGCTTGTATTTTTGTATATGGCGCTAGGTTGCGCAGTGAAGTGGCAGAGTGCCGTTTTGAGATGAGGCAAGCTCTGTTGGATATACATAGACGGAGCGTAATCACAGGACCTTGTACTTTGCTCTCACGTCTATAATGGATATGCATTCGCCCGCCAACAATGATCGATTCACTAGTTGTGCAGTTGGCATCGTTGGCATCGTTGGCATTGTAGGAAGCTCAGCGTTGCCCCGTTATCTCGAGCATCTCCGTCAGGCTAACAACACGGTACCCGTCTTTCTTCAGCTTCTTCAACACCTTCCGCAGCATCGGCGCCGTCCAGCCGCGGCGGTCGTGGCACACGATCACAGCACCAGGGCGTACCATGCTCAGGATGTGGCGCGCGTTGAGCCAGGACCAGCTGATCTGCGCGTCGTGCGGGTACACGCTACCAAGCACGATGCGATATCCGAGCTTGTCGACCAGTGCGCGCATGCGGTCGCTGAAGAAGCCCGAGCCGGGCCGGAAGTACTGAGGCGGCATCTTGGGGTTCTCGACGCCATTAGCTGTCGCGTACGCAGCCCGGATACGCTCGCGCACCGTCTCGATCTGCGTCGTCAACTCCTCGTCCGACAGCGCGCGCGACGGCTCGTCGTGCATGGCGTGGTTGCCTAGCTCGCTGCCGCTGCGCACGATGTCCGCCAACGTCTCCTCGCGGCCGGGTACCTGGCCGCCGATAACGAAGAAGGTAGCCGTAGCCTCGTGGCCGTTGAGCACGGCGAGGATCTCCTGCGTGTGCTCTGACGGGGCGTCATCGATGGTCAGGGCCACAACTTTCTGGTCCGTAGGAACCTCCCACAGCACGTCGGGCCATCGCCGCGCGAAGTACCGGATTAGGGACCGCGGCGGCTTATAGACGACGTAGAAGGGCAGCAGAAGCAGGCTTAGGATGGCGATCAGGGAGACCAGGGTAGTCATCCTCCGGCGCCGGGCCCGCCGCCGTAGCTTGGAGGGCAGGCGGAAGAGCGCGGGCAGGCGCAGCATTTGCTTTAAGGGTGGAGATCGAGGAGGGTAGCATTCGATGATTGGGGGCGGGTTGATATTATATTTTCAGGATGGCGGCTCGGGCATCGATTGGCGAAGGACCTCGGCACGCAAAGCGTCGTGCGACTACGACTACAAAAAAAAACGAGTGCGACGGGACTCGGGACTCGGGACGAGACGAGACGAGAGGCAATAGGCAATAGGCAATACAAGAACAAGGTAGGTTAGAGCCAAGAAAGGAAGGGGGAGGAGAAAAAAAAGACATACATTAGGTACATACAACCACCCACGTCACTTTTAGGGGCTTCAGGGGCTGATTTTAGTGGGTTAATCAATCAATTAGCGTCCTGGTGTGCTAATTTTAGTGGTTGCATTGCACGCAGTTAATGCCGTTCTCCGCCGTAGGTGTGGGTATGTGAGTACGTACACCTGGCTGACCTGTTATACAAATGACTTCCAATGTTCGATCTTTCCCATCTGTACAAAAATATTATACGTAGCCGAAGTTAATATATGCATGTAAATAAGGTAATGTATTAACTACTTAACCTAGGTACTTAACATAAAGTCCAAGTTTAAGGTTTATTTGACATTAACTAGGTAATTATTATGACGTAGTTAAATCGCTTAGTTAATTGGTATAAAAATTGGTATAAATAACATCAACAGGATTTCAACATTCTTTACCATGTAATAGTCCCATTCCGTCTTTTTATATCTACCTTGGACCTTGGTACGAGTACGTATGAAACCGAGGATGAACTGCTCCATTTCCATTTCCATTTCCATGTCCATGTCCATGTCCATACCCTCACCGCCCCAAATCTTCAAACGCGATGCGGAGATTTCGTGACTAGGATACGCATGAACGTATTGTACATATTTAGAGATACCTACTATGTACCTAGGTAGGTTATCAAGTTGGGTTGGGTAATGCACGCATGTGTTGCTTTAACCCGTGACGAGGCCACCACAGTCGCGACCATGGTTATGATTTAATCTACCTATGTATTATTATAATTATTATTATAATATCTTGAAACGATTCAATCAAGGCCGAACCGCTGTGTGTCACGACCTTCTTTGTCGGAATTGGGAAGGCATCTGGTTTTTATATCCCATAAATTATATGAGCTGTAGACTTACATAGTGTGTAGTAGCTATTTTCGGAGCCGAAGACGACAATACTCTACTACATAGCATGGGTCCTTTGACAGACAGCTGGGGGCCGATCTGCTGAGATAAAGTTCTGATGTCTAATGTCTTGGGCTATTCGTCATGCTACCCTTTACCTAAACTTAGTGAGCGCTTATTTATACACATCTGTATAGTTTTCTTACCTGTTCTACTACCTAGTCCGGATCATATCACCGGACACAGCTGCGGGTTGTCCAGTTGTTATGTCTCTAGGTAGGTAGTCATGCGGGTCGTGTTCGCACATGTGCGTACATATCTCCCATATCTCGGCCGTATTTTTTTTTTTTTGAGACCTGCTTGAATAATACCAAACACCGATACTATACCACAAGAAGGAGGAGATTCTTATCGTGAACTAGCCCAGAAGGCGACATCCAATGAGGGGCTACTCTCCACTGTGCACCAAGAGAGCTATTGTGCGGGGAATATATCATGCCACTGTATAGAGGGTCACCTCTACCTTATGTAACATACCGTGCAGAGATAGCTCCAAGAATGATGCGTGTGATGGAGAGTGTTGGGAAAAAAATTCGTTTGTATCCCTAGACCTCATACATAATGCCATCAAGTGTAGATTAGCCTAATCGCTAGCAGACTGCTCTGGAACATGCCGCGTTATTATATCAATATACAAAACTTGGAAATTCTCAACACTCTAATTATAGCTTCAACCGCGTGGCCGTTACCCATTCAACATCGAGGAACAGGATCGATTCATTTCTTAGGTTGATACGGTACAAGTAAACTCGGGTTGTATATCGTGAATAACTGCTAGAAATCTTTCGAATAAATTGGCCATAGATTCATGCGCAGATAATGTTCACTTCATCGTTTAACACTACGTAAATGTAATTCATAAACAAACGGGCATATGTCCACATCAATTCTTAACACTGCTTTAAGCCTTAGTAAGAGGCGCTTCATAAACAATAATATTCCACCCCAATCCATCAAACTTGACGAACAACAGAAGAAATGACCGGTATAGGTCTAGTGCTAAGTGTCTGGGTATTAAAACCACAAATTTCAACCTTGTCTCAAACGCCTTGGTCCCTTCTTCGAACCTTGCCCCGAGCGAGATATCACCCCAAACTCCACAACTTAACCCGTAAATCTGATCGCTAGGTCCCCCCGTATGCCGACACCTTTTTGTTAGCTAGGTTTGTGCGTAGACTCGTAGTCGACCGTCCAAATATATACATTGAAATGCCGCATATAATGCTACCCCCGAACCTCCGGCAGTGAGATTCAGGCGGAACACAACTTGTACCGGTTTAAATCCATACCTGCTGCATTTCGGCCGGTTCGGGTTTGAAGAAGGTCGCAAATAGTCCTTGTACCTCAGCCAAGTAATCCTCTGGTCGGAAACTGTAAAGGCCTCGGGCAAGAAGCTCTTGTTCCTCCTCATCGATAACCTGCATCTTGTCCTTAACGCCCAGCTCCTCTGCGAGTTCCGATACCTGCGCCAGCTCGTTACCAAAAGGATGCTGGGCCTCGGAATAGTCTCGGCGGAAAGTCGGACGGGCCGGAGGTGGAGATGTGACTACGGGAGGCATAGGGGGCACCGTAGCCGAAGTTATAGATGGTTTGCGTGAGAAAGAACCGTATGAGACAGAAGTAGCTGTCGTCGAGGTCGAGGTCGATGACGAGCGAGAAAGCGAAAAGCTTGCTTTCGTGGAGACGGACTTTCCGGATTGGTTGGAAAGGCGCGCAAACTTGTTTGCTAAGTTATCGATTGATGCCTTCTTAGTGTGTGATGGCGATCGCTTTGGGATGATTGGCGCCTCGTTTGTGTTTGAAGGCGTCTTGGGCTGGCCTGGAGCGACGAAATAGCACGAAAGATGATTGGGCTCTGGCGTGACAGATCGATCTGCTGTTGGGATGTCAGGGCTCGTCGGTGGTGATGATGAGCTAGTGCGAGGACTATCAGAAGAAGAAGAGTCGGATTTGCTGGACTCGGTTGGTGAGGTTTCTGATAGAGGATATAAATCCGGTGCGTTGTATGCGAGCATATTAGTTGTGTGGGTAAGGGCCATAGGACCAGATATCTTGTTGCGAATTGCCGCAGAGTTAATCTTAGCAGTACTATTGCTCCGTTGCGGCAACATTCCTCCCAGATCCTGCGAGGACTGCTTTCGCCTCGTCGTAAAGGCGCGCGCAAGAGACATATTGGCTGACGGTTTCAAGAGCCTCTTAGTGAAAGAAGAAAAGAACTAAAGGACTAGTTGCTCTACCCTGGAAGACTTCCAGAATATGAGTCGAAACGCGGGAGGATGCTAGGTATGGCGTTGGATTTATGTTGTGCCACCTAGGCGCGGGAATCTAGTTTGAAAGATTACCCTTAACGTAAGCTGGTAATCCGTCTTGTAAAAATTGCGCCCTATAAAATTTCTCCGGCCTGCACCAATCCACTTCGAAGGCCAAGTTTTCTTCACGGAAAGGCGATAGGGTATATACGACACCTAAAGCCTAGAGTTGATAGTTGATATTGGTAAAAGTCGGGTAATGTGACAACCCTAAGTTGAGTGAAAAGGATATAGTGACAGTAAGTACACTACGACCTGTTTCCGGCCGGTGATGGATACCACTTCTGGACGCGCTTAACGGACGGTTGTGCAGGAGACGATGTTACCCTAATTAGGCAGGTGGACAATGTGGTTGGGTCCTGGCGAGACAACCTGATGTGATCCTATGAGATCGCGGGGTCTTCCCTCTCAGACTAGGTGTATCGTTACGTTGAATGACCAACGAGTCCAGGTCTCAACGATGACCAAATCGAGTAGTTGCGAATGTAAGGTTGCCGTTGCGGAACGCTTAGCCGTTTAATTCGCAAAAGTGCAAGATGCGCTAGTTGCGGGCGAAGACACTGAGGCGTAGAGATTCCCGGAGTTCCTAGTTGACGCCTCTTCGGAATTCCTAAATCCCTATATGAAAGCCGAGGCGAATATAGGGTCACCGAGATTTGCTGTAGACACCACACAAAAGTGAAATGTGAGTGTAATGATCGTAGTCGAATAACCGTCCAAGGTTTATCGAAGTATGGTATCAAACTCTCACGAGTTCCCTTATATTGGTAGCATGTGGATCTCTTGTCTTGGTGTTTGTGTATATTCACACAAGATTTGTCGCCAACTCCGAAATAGCTGGTTGACAATTGGAAAGGAGAGAGGGTTAGGTAGTTTTCAAATGGATTTCCAACAGCCTTTTGGGAGGGTTGGTCAAAAAAGGGTTTGTATGTACTAGAACGAAACAGTGAAACAACCAGGTTCCTGATAAGATCAAGGATTCAGACAATAGTCGTCGTAATACCTTGCAAGTGTAAAAGGAAGGACAATATTTTCGAAGCCTCAAGAGACTTGTTTAATTCGTGACCGGCGACGAGTCTCGGATGAGGATCCGTAGAGAAGAGGAATGAATGAATAGGAAGAATAATGCCAACGAGACGGGCAAGTGGTTAGAATGAGTGGAAAGTGAAGGAGTGCATGCACTTGGGATGAAAAGGAACCGCGACAATAATACTAATAAAGCGCACCCAGGGGGGGTTCGTGGTCCGGACTGGGGGAGAAGAGAAGGAAAAAAAGAAAGACATGGGGAAAAGAAGCCCTAGACAGGCCTATATCCCATCTTAAGTCTCCACTTACAGGGAGTCTGGGAACTTAGGGCGAAAGTATTAGTCAAGTTTCAGGTACTAAAAGGGTCTTTGTATTTCAATACAAATTCTTATAAACTTTACTTATAATCGGTGTATTAGTTACCAACAATACCCTCGCATGTTCTTTCTTCTTATGCTTGTTAAGGCATTGACAACCCACATGGGCTTTAATATTAGGTACATGCCTAGTGCACTTACATACATTAGGTACACGCACCAGCTTGACTTGCAGACTTGTTTTCTCAGTAAGCATAACTATTCAATCTTCAACTTCTTTGATCCTCAACCATTTCTATGTCCACTTCTAAGTCATTTATCATATTCCCTTTCTTTGTTTGCTTCAGTTTCGCATCCTCCCTCACCATTTCCCCAGTAGGCTTTCTTAACTAACATACCTAATTCAAGCTAAAGAAAGACTTGATCGATCGACAGTGGCACTGAAAGATTTAGAGACGGCGACCTAGAATCCAAAAAACCCCTGCGACGTCTAATGATTTTTCGTGCTTCCACTTGCAAGTTAGCGCAGGACGGGAACCCCAGTTAGGCGAATCTCATGACAAGGGACCGCGGATTGGCTGACTCAATCGTTGCCCCTGGTCCCTAAAAAGCTCGGCAGGCCGCGGGTTAGCGAATCAAGTATCGAACTCTCTAGAGGTTCTCTTTAGCGGTTTATTTCTTGACTCTCATTAGTTAGGCATCCCGGCCAATGTCTCCCGACTACCACCACTCAACGCCACGTCGAGCAAAGATTATCAGCCACCAAATGCAGGTACCAGTTCGAGACCAACCAGTAGGATGAAGACAAACATGAGAGTTCAAAGAACCCTCGAATCATCCTCTGAGCCCTTACCCTCTGACCCTCCGTCGCCGATGCTACACAATGACATACATTCTTATACACTATTCTTTTTTACTGCACAACTCATCCCGTTCCTGCAGCATAAGATTGCGCCGTTACGTGGCCCTCCCTTTGACGACGTCTATGCTCTTAGATCACATATATCACAAAGTCAGACATTACAAAGCTGGCCGCGTCTCTTCAGGATACAGAATCGCGCATACACATACAAAGACCTCATTGTCATTGTTCAATGCGATTGTACAAAACATCTAACCGTGTAATTTACCGTGCTCATGTCCCAGGACTTTCACCCCTCCCGTGTGGTGGGCATGGATCCGATCAATCATCGTTGATCCACCGAGCAAATCGATGGGAGTGGACACATCCCCTGATCATCCTTGCCTTGAACTCTTCAAATTGATTGCATCGCTTAACTGGGTCTCCGAAAAGACTTTCCCCCTTCGGGAAGAGGGTAAGAAAAGAAAAAAAGAGGAAACAAACTTGATCGGGTGAGAGCAGGGGTTTCTGCAGTTTGAAACTGACGAAGCCATGCAAAGCGTTAATTGCGGAGAAAACCTCATTGGATGCTTGTTCCCATCCGCCATTGGCTATGGCTGTTCGAGTGTTTCATATTCAGGCGCTCTCCTCCAAACCTCTTCTGATCTCATCCGATTTTATCGCCGAGAGAGAGCGGTTGGTTCTAAGAGACGATGCCGTCGTCCATCTAAGCGCGAGTTCGTCAGGTGCGAAAGCTGAATCGGGCTCAGCCTCAGACGGTTCAAGCGCCTCTTTTATTGAGATGTTGGTAACAGAGCCGGCCATATCGGTATCCCCATGCGAAATGGTTCAATATTTCTCCCTGCATCTGCATAGCGAAATTCTGAGGGAGCCCGAGCCCTACATCTCTCCCCGAGCCTCCGATCTATGTACATAGCAGCAAACATTACTCGCATACCGTATCTTAGGTATGTATGTACACTGTTCCTCTGTTTCGCATTGCTTTTCACACCTCACCTTTAATAAGTAATAGGGGTAGGTAGTCACACATGTCACATGCTAAGCCATCTGTTAGAGTGCTAACCGCCTTCAAAAATTCTATGGTCGAAGCTATTCAGGTTACAGTTTTATATATCAAGTTGATTGCCTAGGTAGGTTCAGGATCTACAAGTTTGATCTCTATCTAAACCTAACTATTTACGTCCCATAAAGATGATATGAAGGATCCAAATCGTCGGACTCTGATCATAACGCACGGGCACTTACACTAACTTGAGTAGATATGGATTGACAAGATCTTATGATAACGGCGATCAATTAACATCTGGTCCAGCTTTCCGACGTAACTGGAACCGCGTGTGATCAATATATAGATCTTATGATCTCTCAACACAAATGTGCGGCTTAATGTCTTCAAAAATGACTATATAGTCGCGCATATAGATAAGTACAACAGGAAGCATATGGGGTAATCTAAGTAGCAGTGAAGATCTAGCCTAGACCAGATTACCACCCATTCCTTCTCGTTTCAGCCGTCGGCCGATACGAATATAAATAAATCCCCCTACCCTGTTAGGTCATGCGAACTCTTGAAACCAGAAACGAATTCTGGGTCGTGCGACGACGGAGTTAGCCTAACTACATTGTTCACTGTTGTACCCAAACGCATCTACCCGTGAAACATCACGGTCCAGACTCGATGGGCTGTATCTAATCCTCATCCATGGATTCGGGCTCGCCGTTTTCGTCCTCACCTTCCTCGTCATCTGAAGAGCTCTCGTCCTCTTGGACACCGATGAGCCTCTCCCTGATCTCCCCATCTGACTTGTTTGAGATCTTGTGTGCGAATGCCTGTCGTACGGCTCCGTTTGTGCTGGTGTCCCACACGTGCATCGTTCCTTTGCTTCCTGCCACGGCAAGACGGAAAGCCACCTCGGCGTCGGGGGCAAAGTTTGTCGAAAATACCCTGCCGACGTCTAGGTTGCGGGCCACGACCATGGCGGGCCCGGTTGGCTGGATGTTCCAGAGCTTGACAGTCTTGTCAGTTGAGCCAGTAGCCATAAATCCCGGTATGTGTGCGTTGATGTCGAAGGACGACAAGGACTCGTCGTGGGCATGCAGCGTCCACACCGGCTTGCTTGCGGAAGGATTTGGTGGGGCGTTCCGGATGTCGTGGTAGTGTACAATTCCGTTCTCGGTAGAGACGAAGAAGAAGTTGGGGTCATGGGGATCCCACCTAACGTTCTCTACGTCACTCTCTACGCCCCATCGCGGAGCCTTGGCCTCGGGAGCTCGCATATCTGCTGCGACAATAGTTCGGTCGTAGCTTCCACTCAACAGCACCGTAGACTCGACAGAATGCCATGCCAGCGAGCAAACTTTGTCTGTGTGATATGAGTAGGACTTGGCGCACTTGGTCGTGTACAAATCCCACAGTTTTACGGTCTTGTCTGCCGAAGCGGAAGCTAAGAGATTTCGGTGTTTCCTATTGGCGGCAAGAGATAAAACTGCATCGACGTGGTACTCGTCGTTGGCCTTCTTGGATTTCTTCTTTTTCTTTTTCTTCTTCTCCTCTTCTTGCGGGTTGCTCCCTTGGCCTAAGATGGCATTGGGGTACATGCAATCTATGGTATCCAGATCCCAGACTTCGATATCGGGATCCATCGTCCCTATGGCGACAAAGTTGGCTACCGAATCTTTATCCACGCTGTTTTTTGACACGGGAATGTCTAGCCACTCCACGCAAAGAGGTATCGCAGGAAGCATGATGTCGTGGTGTACGTAGAGGTTGTCGGCTTCGTCTTCGTATACGTAGACCTCGAGATGCGCGAGCTCATCTTCAACCTTGGCGGCTAGTAGTAGATTGTCTGTGGCTAGAATCTGTAGCTCTTCCCTATCTTCGTCATCCTCGTCTTGGCCGTCGGGTATTGTGATGTAGGGATCGTCTTTATTGGATTCGTAGTATGCCAGAGACTTGATGTTTCCAAACATGTCCATTCGCTGGCCTTCAGCATCCTCCTCGTCATCATCGTAGTGCTCCAAGTCGTACTCCTTAAGGTCCGCGTCGTCTATGTTAATGCTTGGGCAGAATTAGTAGCTAGTTATACGTAATGCAAAAGCAGACCTACTCCTCTGCCTCTGCCTCTCCATTTTGCGTTGAAGATTTGTGATCTGGCTCATTCGCATTTTTTTCGTCATCGTCGTCGTCGCTGTTCACTCCATTTTCCCCTTCTTCTTGCGCTTCCTCTAGGTCCTCCTTTGCGTCGTCTAATTGTAGCTTAGCTAGGTTGGCTATTCTGTCGAATTCGGCCTCGTCGAAGTCGTACTTGGCAGGGAACGGCGCCGCAAAGCCTCGCCGTACCCAAGTGGACGTCGTTATCATAGACGACATGATTGGTTGCTAGCGACTCTATTTGTTTTGTCTATAAAAAAAGGCTTCCAAACAAATAGGTCGGTACGGCGCAAGAATTCTAAAAAGAGCCCCGCGAACTTCTGATTTGAGGTACAAAAATTCGAGATAAAATTTTAGCGGGGCAGTTGCTGATAAAAGATCGATAAGGAAATTTAGCGTAACTACGAAGTACTAAAAGTTAATGCCAAGACGCCGGGCCCATCTTTACCTTTTGTTTTCTTTCCGCGACTTCAATTAACGATCTACTTACACCGCTCGAGACTATCTCGACCTACCAACTTATTCTATAGAAATACCCTCGGGATGGATAGGGAGGACGGGAATTTTAGCCCCAAGAGGCGTAAAATCGATTTCAATCCCCTACGTTCCGATGACCGCTATAAATCTCTTCCAAATCGGAGCCACTCATCTCGACCACATGGCCGCTTCCAACATGGCTCTAGCTCGCGCGCTTCCACGCCTCGCGCGCAATCGAACTACGCCTCGACCCCAAAACAACAAGCGTTCGACGGTCCAGAACCTCTAGTGAGCGCAGATGAGCAGAATGCCCTTGATCGCGACTGGTATGCTGGTGATGAGACCGGTGGGCATACCTTTGGCGACGACTCCCATAACCCGTTTGGGTCGTACGATACTTCATGGGTCGAGCAGCAACAGCGGGAGGCTGAGTTAGTCGAGAAGAAATCCGGACGACATATGAATGCGCGCCAACTACAGAGGCAAAAGGACAACGATGCCTGGGAAACTAATCGTATGCTTACTTCTGGTGTCGCCCAACGACGTGCATTAGGGGATGACTTCGAAGACGATGACGAGGGAACTCGCGTTCACTTACTAGTCCACGACCTCAAACCGCCATTTTTAGATGGACGGACTGTGTTTACCAAGCAGCTGGAGCCAGTTCCGGCTGTTAGGGACTATCAGAGCGACATGGCTGTATTCAGTCGCAAAGGGAGTCGCGTGGTGAGGGAAAGGAGGCAGCAAAGGGAACGTCAGCGTCATGCCAAAGAGGCTACTAACTTGGCTGGTACCGCTCTTGGAAATGTCTTGGGCGTGAAAGAAGATGAAGGCGATAGCGCCTTACCGATAGCAACAGAAGAAGACGCACCCAAGTCTGGAGAGAATAAATTCAGCGAGCACATGAAAAAGAACAACGGCGCAAGCGCATTTAGCCAGAGCAAAACCTTGAGGGAACAGAGAGAGTATCTACCCGCCTTTGCGGTCCGGGAAGATTTACTAAGGGTGATTCGAGATAACCAAGTTGTTATAGTAGTTGGCGAGACAGGTTCAGGAAAGACGACACAGCTTACACAGTTTTTATACGAAGACGGGTACGGGAAATTAGGCATGATAGGGTGCACTCAACCTCGACGAGTAGCGGCGATGAGTGTAGCGAAGCGTGTGGCCGAGGAGATGGAAGTCAAGTTGGGTAGTACGGTTGGCTATGCTATTCGATTCGAAGACTGTACTAGTAAAGACACCGTCATCAAGTATATGACCGATGGTGTTTTACTACGAGAATCGCTTAACGAGAGGGACCTAGACCGTTACTCGTGCGTAATTATGGACGAAGCTCACGAGCGAGCGCTTAATACGGATGTGTTAATGGGGCTTTTCAACAAGATCTTACAACGCCGAAGAGATCTCAAGTTAATCGTTACGTCTGCCACTATGAATTCGAAGCGGTTCTCGGATTTCTTCGGTGGTGCCCCCGAGTTCACCATTCCAGGCCGAACTTTCCCTGTCGATATTATGTTCCATCGGTCGCCGGTCGAAGATTACGTCGATCAAGCGGTTCAGCAAGTGCTTGCGATCCACGTATCAATGGGCGCCGGCGACATTTTAGTGTTCATGACCGGACAGGAAGACATCGAGTGTACCTGCGAACTAGTGCGAGAACGTTTAGACGCCCTTAACGATCCGCCAGAGCTCAGTATCCTTCCGATTTATAGTCAGATGCCAGCAGATCTCCAAGCCAAAATTTTCGACCGGGCACCTCCCGGGGTGCGAAAATGTATCGTGGCTACTAATATTGCAGAAACTAGTTTGACAGTCGACGGTATCATGTACGTGGTGGACGCGGGTTATTCGAAATTGAAGGTATACAACCCCCGGATGGGTATGGATACGCTCCAGATTACACCAATATCGCAAGCGAATGCAGGTCAACGTGCAGGTCGCGCCGGTCGAACAGGCCCTGGTAAAGCGTTCCGTTTGTATACCGAGAAGGCGTTTAAGGACGAACTTTATATCCAAACGATACCCGAAATTCAGAGGACTAACCTCAGCAATACGGTGCTTCTATTGAAGTCATTGGGCGTCCGGGACTTGCTCGACTTTGATTTTATGGATCCGCCACCACAGGATACCATTACCACCTCCCTTTTCGACCTCTGGGCTCTGGGTGCGTTAGACAACCTTGGAGAGCTGACGGATCTCGGGTCTAAGATGAACGCTTTCCCTATGGATCCATCTCTGGCAAAGCTCCTCATCATGTCCGAAGAATATGGCTGTAGCGAGGAAATGGTTACCATCGTCTCCATGCTCTCCGTCCCTAACGTCTTCTATCGTCCTAAGGAACGGCAAGAAGAGTCTGATGCAGCGCGCGAGAAATTCTTCGTGCCCGAGTCCGATCATCTAACTTATCTCCACGTGTATTCGCAATGGAAGACCAACGGCTATTCAGATGGTTGGTGTACGCGCCACTTCCTACACCCGAAGTCACTGCGGAGAGCAAAGGAGATCAGAGACCAGCTTCTTGATATCATGAAAATGCAAAAGATGCAGATGGTCAGCTGCGGTACGGATTGGGATATCATTCGTAAGTGTATCTGCTCTGGTTACTACCACCAGGCAGCCAAAGTCAAGGGTATAGGAGAGTATATCAACCTACGCACATCAGTCACCGTGCAACTCCACCCCACGAGCGCTCTATACGGTCTTGGCTTTCTCCCCGACTACGTGATCTACCACGAGCTTATCCTCACGTCAAAAGAGTACATGTCAACAGTAACATCGGTCGACCCCCATTGGCTTGCGGAATTGGGCGGCGTGTTCTACTCGGTAAAAGAGAAGGGGTATTCGGCTCGAGAAAAGCGCATTACAGAGACCGAGTTCAACCGCAAGATGGAGATCGAGGCGAAGATGGCAGAAGATAAGCAGAGATATGAAGATCAGAAGAAATTAGAAGAGGAAAGGGCGGCTAAGAAGCCTGCGGCTAACAAGGAAGTCAAGAAGATTATTACTTCTGGCGCCGTGAAGAAACCCGTAGCGAAAAGGAAAGGCAGGGGCTTCTAGAAGTTTGTTGACGATGTTTGGAATATTACGATATCTACATGAGTAGCAGTAGCTATTCGATTTTACGACTTGGTTGAATATAATTTATTACTTAACATGGCTATTACTTAACATGGCTCTCGTCTCCTATCTTCGTACCTCGAAATGTGCCTCCCCTTCCTGTACGTCTCGGGGTTCCTTGTCTAACTTGACAACGTGGGCACCCCTTGGGCCTTTATCGAGTTCCTTTAGGAATGATGTGATAGAATCCTCGTGTCCTTGGGCCTCGCCTTCAACCTAGAAAAGATAAGTGGTTTGTCATTTCGACCTACTTAGAATTAGTTGCTCACCTTCCCATGGTCTGTATTTCGACACCACCCGGTAATACTGTGTTCTACTGCTTTCTTCTGCGCAAAATAGCGGTAGCTCACGCCTATCGCACTGTGACGTCAGTCTTCTAATCTACCGATACGGTAGCTTAATCGCTATCGTGGTGGAGACCGTACCTTGAACTCGACCGTGGACGAGAAAGTAGACCTATGATCTTGGTTAGTTTAGGTATTGACTTAATATTAGCTATATCTAGAGTAATATATCACTTACTCTTTGTGCCATTTTGAAGCTTCAATCGATTATCGTGGTGTATGTAGCAGATCGTATGCACGGTGGCAGATAACAGTTCACATGCAGGGTACACTGTAGCTTCGACATGTCCATGTACAATGACGACTGAGAAGCTTTATCGACACGGTATTGGTGGAGAAGCGATAAGCGGCAGATTTTCGGGTAGTTAGGTAATCTTTATCCGATGCTTTAGGTAAGATAAGATACCTACCTCCTTCGACTTTCAATGCGGTGTACGTACCTGAGCCTACTTCTCTTATTACCACAAAACATACAAACAGCAACAACATAGACTATCATCATGGATAGCACGTCTTCGGAGTCGACACCCATCCCTCAAGTAATCTTCCGTGGGAAGAAAAGGAAGACCTACAGACAACGAGCAGAACCCACCGACGATGATGACGAACGATCAAGATCCGCAGAGACGCCACGACCAGATGGAACACCGACTGCATCAGACACACCCGCAAAAACTGGAACCGCAACCCCAATTCAAAGCGAGGGCGCAGAAGATGAAGAGAAGGGACTCTCAGTAGCCGAAGTTTTACGTCTACGCAACGCGCGAAAGGCTCGACTAGGCGGCGTCAAGTTCGGCGCGGGAAGCAGCCACGGTTCCAACGATGCAACAACAGCCACTGCCGATGGTTTAGGAGACGGTTTCGACGACCTTAGTCTCATGATCCGCGAGGAAGAGAACAAGGTACTAGATATCGCGGCAGGTGTAAAGAAGCGTTTTGCGCCGCAGACAGGTATGGCGGCAGAACTAGTAAACAAGCACATGTGAGTCTCGTCCTCCCCATCTTGTCGCGCACCCCCCGCGACCGCTGCGCAGCTGCTGATGGAGCAAGGGAGGAGTATATAGAAGCCGAATTAGCCAGGCGACACAACGCTGTGGCGCTCTCTTCCAACCCAGCCGCGCGCTCGTCTAATCAGGAGCAGCAGCAGCAGCAGCAGCAACAACAACAACAACACCCAACGACAGCGACGGCGACGGTGACAGCGGTACCCAGACCCGAGCAGCAGAATAGAGCGCTACAAGGCCAGCTTATGGAGATCGACCTTGGCGACGAGGCGCGCAGCCGCAACGAAGCGCTGACGGAGCGCGCTAGGCGGAAGTTGCACGGCGAAGCTATCGAAGATGACGACGAGCAGCGGCAGCAGAGCGGCCGGCCGAAAAAGGTACGGCTCGGACGGGATGGCAAGCCCTGGAGGCCGAGGAATAGGCGGAACAGCGACGATATCAAGAGGGACCAGTTAGTCGAGGAGATACTCCGGGAAAGCAGACGTAAGTTTTTCTTTTTCTTTCCTTCTATTTCCCATCCACCATACGCAAGTAATCCAAAATACTAAAACACACCCACACAGTCGACGTATACGAAGCACCCACCCCACCCCCCGCCGCATCCGGCAGCGGCGCCGAAGACGACGGCGCAGCCGACGACCGCATCGCGGAGGAGTTCCGACGGGAATTCATGGACGCCATGGCCCAGCGCCAGCAGAAGCGCAAGAAGCCTACGAACGCGCCCCCCGGGTCCGGCCCCGGCGGCGCCGGCAAGGGCGGCGCCGCCGCCGACGAAGATGTTCTCAAGGGCCCCAAACTCGGCGGGAGCCGCAACGTGCGCGCCGCCATGCGCAATTTGCTACTGGAGAAGGCGAAGGAGGCCAAGGGCAAGACTCGGTGAGGGGTGGGTTGGTAGGATTGTCTTCATATTAGGTAGTTACAATGCGGGGCTTCCCGTTAAGAATTCAGTAAATGAGATCCCTTAAAGCGAGGAGAGGGTGATAGGGCGAGAGGGCGGCTGTCGTGTACGTTTGGGTACATAAATAATGCGGCGTTGGGTTATGCGTACACCCGTACTAAGTAAGGGAGGGCAAATTCGGAGTATATTGAATACACGCCCAATACATACCTTGTTTTATTATCTTTATATTTATATTGGTCCTGTAACTAACACGGAAAGAGAACTGCAAAGCAACATACATACATTGGTTTCTTCGTCGGCGAGCCCAACGTTTATTATAAATATAGCGTCAAGGCTATTATATATATATACCTAACAAAAATACTATATCCGAAGCAACAACTACCTTTTTCAAGAGTCTTTTTAAGACTGACATAATCAAGATCCATCTTGGCTTTAATTGCGTACTGGAACTTATTTTACTTAACTACCTACCTAGGTACCTACGCATTATACCTAATATTCCATCCTAGTATAAGAACCGGGAAGTTTGATCCTAAGGAAATATCCATCAGAGATAAATAACCGGCAACATGGTAACAAATGAATTTGGAGTTCTACTCTTCATTCACATATATAGATATATATAACTAGGCTATTTAAGCGGATATAACGTAATGTTCATGATCGCATTGCTATTTGTAACGTTGGGTCTCAACCGTAAAACGCCCCCCTAACCTAACCTAGATCGTTCGTATCGTCTCTTTCCCAGATAAAACAAAGAGCCGGCCAGCTTGCGATTCGGTGCGAGTCTTGCAGCCGTTAAAACAAGAGTATCCCATATCAATCCATCACATAGCGATTCCCTTCAAATAGACTATAAATATCATAACCAAATATCCCATGTGGAGCGCCGGGGGAATCAATCCTCTCCCTATAACCAAAGAAAATGCCGGTATGTAAAGTGGCCAGCAACATATATCGTCCCCTAATGAAGAAGAGGATAGAAGCGGAATAAGTCAATTCGGAATGACCGTCGCTAACTAAATGCAAACGCTCTCTATGCCCATTCCCAAGTACACCAATCCTATACTTTATAAGAAATCGTGACCGCTTATGAGGGCCGCCCACACTCCCAAAGCAGGGCGTTACTCGATTCAGTCTAAACTCATATCGTAGACCGTAGCATTCAGCCTAGAATGTGCCTCGGATTGCCCACTTGGTGATCTAGCCTTTTGTCAAGTCCCACGGCCTGGTCTTTAATGGGTTCTATAGTAGGATAGTAAGAGCCATAAGCTGCCTTAGCGGTATGTCGTTTATATAGCTATTGGTGAGTGACAGTCATTGACGATGTTATGCTTGTTCGGAAGGGGAAGACACCGGATCGCTGGGCTAGATCCTTGGGACAGAGTGTAATAGTGGCGAGATGCTTCATCGGATATCCAATTGGAAGGGTTTAAACCTGCCACCAATAGTGGCACAGCGCGGGCATTTTCTTCGGGCTCCTTGTTCCTCCATCAAGATATTGACGCAATCTCGGCATAGGCCGCAAATACATTCCGTACATGCATATGATTCTCGTAACTTTGACGCTCTCTGGCACGCTGCACAATAAATGTGCACCTCTTGGGATGAAAAGCCTGGCGACGAATCTGAAAGTCCAGAGGCTCCTATATGGAAGTGTTCTCCGCTCTCGCCACTCTCGACGGATGGGAAAGGTTCTGGAATCTCTTGGGCAAAGGATGGTGGAGTAAGAGCTTGTTGTAAAGGAGAAGCTTGATAGCCTTGAAAATGTTGATGGGGAAATGGGGGCAAGGAAGCTCGGTGTATTGATATAGGAGATTGGGGGACCTGGGATGTTAGAGAAGGAAAATGAATGTGCCGGGCACGACTTACAGGAGTCCTATCTTCATCAATATCTTCTGTAGCCGAGGCTGCAGCATCAATGAGGTCTTCCCACCTTTTGCCGTAGTCGGCCGAGGGCTCAACGGAATGAGCCTTGCGATCAATCGCGCCCGGCTTAAGACGCTCATCGTTCTGGATTCTCCGGAGCCAGTCGCTAGCGGTACCTCGAGATTTCTGCTTCTTGTGGCCGCGCTTAGTGATGGATTGCTTTCTGGGTCGGTTGGGGCCAAGCGATCGTTGAAGAGGAGGAAGAGTCGACGAACGACCTGGCGGGGAATTTGAAAGAATTGAAGGGAGCAAGTCCCTACGTGGTGCAGAGTTAATTGAAGGGAATGGTTCGCTAGTTGGTTCCATTCCGAAATTGATTGGAGGTAGTTCAATTGTACTCCTCGGTATTCTTCGGCCGTCATTGTCAGACTGCCAGCCCTTCAAAATAAGAATCAGCATTGATACCTATATATCAATGATTAATAGTGACGTTAGGTGAGTATTTACTGCTTCATTATCCCCCCAATCCGTCTCGAACTTGTGCTGGCCACCTAACTGGGCCAAAGCCGCAGCGGCACTCGCGGCCGGCAAAAGCGAGCCCCCAGAATATTCATCATGGTTCCTAGGGGTCCCCGGAGCGCTAGATGCGTCTCGGGAAAATGCATGACGCTCGTGCGGATAGCCTTTAGTCGGATCGAGGCTTCCTGGTGGTGGGCCGGCCGAGTTCTGAACTTGAGATCGATCTGACGGAGGTGTATTAATCATAAGTAAGAAGCTCTCCTCGGTCGCGGGGAGCTTCGAAATATAATGCTCTGGATGCGCTCGTCGAATATGCTCTTGCATTGAGCGATATCTCTTTTCCTATTTATTCCAAAATGGAGAGTTAGACATTGTCTTTCCTAGGCTTTGCGACATAGCTTCTGGGTTGAAACCCGATAACTCTTCGTAATTTAATCCTTCGGGAGGCGAGTCAGTGAAGATGTTGCAACTTACGCCAATGCAGCGCTTGCGACAACTCGAGCCATCTTGGTTTCTCAGAGGACAGACGACTTCATTATTCGAGTCGGTAATAGAGAATGAAGACGTTAAGGAAGATCGAGGCGGCATCTTGACCTAATCAACCCCGCCATTTACTGGTCGGGAATTGAAGGCGGGGGGGGAAGTTCGCAAGATCGATAGTCGATACCGATGTCGACGATAAGAAGCGCCACTAATAGTAAAGTAACCAAATAGTAACCAATTGACGATAGTCCAAATCTATGAAGCTTGAAGATCAGGTATGTAATAATTGTATTCGATATAGAAAGAATAATGACAGCTCTGCCGAGGTAGCTCTAAGCTCCTATACGGGTGTTACATGAGGTGTTTCGAAGCCTCTTCTCTCTCGTGGTTGTTGGCAGAAGAAAGAGGAAAGACTGGAAGGGTGACCTTATTGGGAGGGAGGGGGGAAGGGTAGCTGAAAGCAGCGGTACTGGAATTTCCCAGCTTAGATAGGTCGGTAGGTAAGAAGACAAGGAACATTGAACACACAAGGAACACAGGAGGAACACTGTAATAGTACTAATACATAGTACTAATAATACATGTAGGGTGGCCAGTGGCCACAACAAGTCAGGGTCAGAAGGTAAGGTGAGGTATGTATAGTGTAATAAGTACCTACCTACCTGTGTACTCCACACACCAAAGCTGGATCAACGGCCTTGGGGGATACCTTACCTTAAGTTAAGGTAGGTAGATGGACCTGGGATGTAAATGGTAGATGCGCGTATGTATATGTATGTAAGTGGTCTGGTGGTATAGGTATCCTAGATAGGTACCATACCTAGTAAGGTATTAATGCGGGAACATCAAGTAGCTGTTAACAAAGAGAGCAAAGCCTCCCCCCGGACAGGGTAAACTGAGCTTGTCATCCAAAGCAGCCCAAAAGATAGATGATCCAACCAAAGAGGGTGAAAGACAGACGGGCATCCCGTCGCGGACGAGCAGGCATTGTATCGTACATGGTAGATACATGCATAGGTAAGTACAAAAAAAAAATATCCAAGCTTGTGCGGCAAGTTCGAATCGGAGCAGACAAAGAGAGAGAGCGAGCCGTTTTATTGGCTCCGTCCCACTCCGTCTCTTTCTTAACTCGTTTTAAACAGGCCGGACAGCTTCCCTTCTGACTCGATCGAGGATCGGCTGGGACGGATGGCTATTTGAAAATTAGGAGTGGGGTTTCTTCTGTGACGGGCGGAGGGAAAAGAGAACAATGATGCAAATAATAAAAAGAGAAAAGCTGAAGATGCGAACACTTTTCGGTAGCAATAGAACACCTCCCGAGAGCCCAATGATTCCTTTTGAGTTGAGAGCGTCGTTAGAGCTTTCAGGTCTAGCTGTACGGAATTTGGCGATGCGAGCTTCTTAGCTTCAGATAAAGCAAGCTAAATAAAAAGAGGCCAAGGTTTTCTGTTCCTCGTTGCCTCTAAACGTACAAGCACATAATACCTGCAGCAGGAGCAGGGTATGGGATCCTCAAATGGTAAAAAGACGGGTTTAATGCGACCTTACACCTCATGGTGTATAACAAATAGAGCCAGCTGCTTCCCACGAGACATGAATGCATTATTACATACTTGTCTAGGTACTAGCTAGGCAAAGCCCCGGCTTGCAGTACCGCCGCCGCAGCAGCAGCAGCAGCAGGAAGCTTGAGGGGGGCGAGGGGTTCTGCAGACTGCAGGTGGGTAAGGTGGATGCACTGAACCGAATCCATCCATCTACTAACGAGAGCTCCGGCATTGGCTGAGCAGGCAAGCAGAGCTTGCGGAGGTGATACGATAGGTGGAGGTTTCGAGTGGAGGCTTTGAGAAATGGCGGGGCATCGAAAGAAAGACTCTGTCGGGTAGTATGTATGCTGGTATGGTAGCATGGTAGCGGGCAGACGGGCTCGTTTCATTATCAAAGTTCTCCATCTCGCACGCTTCTCTCACATGCATGTTGCTTGTTCCCTCACCAGTTGAAAGCAAGTATTCTCCTTGGCTGTACCTGTCGGCGGAAGCATGAAAAGAACCCGTGGTTAAAGCTCGTAAGCTTATGACATCAGATATGGAACACGAGCTCCCGCCGTCGCCATCGCTTCTCTGATTGTCTGATTGCGGATGTGGCTTTTTTTGACACATTTTTCATTCCAGACGAAGCCGGGATTACCTTAGGTACCCTAGTTAGTGGCAGCCGAACATGGGTACCTACTGTATGTATATATTGTAGCTACCCAATTCGAGTCTCTTCTTTGTTAATGCGACTAGTTAGTAGAACTGTGGTAGAAAGCTCTTATCCCGGTCAATCGCATTAGTTGGCCAGATTTTTTTTTCTTGTACGCGCCGCCTTCACCAAGACTTTCCAGTCGGGAGGCTGGCCCGGTAATGCCAACTAATGTCTGGACGAGCACTTTATACGAGAATCGAATCGTGGTTAAACATTGATCGAGAATTGTGCTATTGTTAGTATCCTGATTTTAGTTTCGCGAATAGAAACTTTTATTCGGGAACACCTTCAAGAGCTGAAAAATGCTCCTTCCATGGGCGCTGTGCTACTATGTCAGTATGTAAGCATTAAGTACCCATGTACCTTAGGTACATAATGATATGTACATGATTGCTCGGCTTGATGTGGGGTGGATGGGGGTGCGCTACTGCAAGCTTGCAAACCCTTTTTTTGCTTCTTCTACCATTTACTTCTAAGCTCTAGGAAGGTGTTCTCATAATCCCTTATCAATTCATACCTAAAGCATTAGCTTTGAGAGGAAGCTGCATCAACTGTGGTAGCTACCTCCTATTTAAGCTATGTGACTGCTGATCCGAGTGCCGTTAAAGCTTTAGGAATTGACGAATCCTCTCTCACCTCGATTCTCGGCACATTGCATGTATTGTATAAGTGCTGCACACCTCTGCGCACCACACCTCTACCCCTCACCGGGTCTCAAAAACTAGAAAATATGACGAAGGCCTACAGCTAATCGTTCTTATCGATAATATCGAAAGACCTCTGTCTTGGAGACATATCATAAGAATTGCATTCTTAGGACCAGCTACCTATAGCATACTCTCAACAGCGGAATTGTTAAGCGTTACCAGTCGTCAAAGCAATATAACCTCGGTAGACTCATCTTACACCTTGATATCTCGAACGGTACTAGTAGGCTTTGCGTCGAGTTGGGGTTGAGATATGCCTATAGCAGCCCGCTTCTCTATCCGCGTACTTAAAGCTCAATGTCCAAATCATGAAGCTTTAGGTAATCTTCAAGTGAAGAAATTAGGGTATATAGTACATGAACATCCAGCTGTTCAGGTTGAGGTTCAACTCTTTGCAATTATATGTTTCTTCGTAGTATATTACCTAGCACCTAATGCCGACTCAAGATAAACCAACTCTTATTAATATTACTATTAGGCTGGTTCTGAGATACGAGTCCAATGCTTCTATAGGTACTACGCCAGCACTGGAGTGAGTTACAGTAGAGCCGCTGAAAGTGTCAATATTGTATTACAAAGCTTCCATGCCGAACAACCTTCTTGAGCAATCTGTGCCTGGTCATCCGCATGATCACCGTGTCATTCCAGGTAATTTAACAATAAACTAATCTGGAATGCGCTGTATGATTGCCATGGCCCTAATTGATTGGGCAACTGTAGATCTCATGACGGGAAGATATCGGTATGGCAAGTGGAAGTCGGCATCTAAGGGAATGAACATTTGGGAAATGAGATAGCAATCTTGTCATACAGGAATGATAGTATATCGCTATCTCTTGGGGAATCTGAATAATGGTAGGTGATATTGTTTTGTACGTCATGCTCGAATAGATATACCTAGCGATTGAAAAGAAAACATTCCTAATTGTGCGACAACGGCACGAGGTATGAGGTATGAGGTATGTATACCTGGTGTTTCATGAAATTATGATTATCTTCATGCGGTACTTGTTAATTCCCGACGATAATAAGCTGGTAAATAGCTGAACTTTTACATATGGTTTAATAATTAATGTGAAGGAAAGTCAGTTACGACTACGTGTAATACCTACTCGATAGGAATATCTATTTTAGGATAGCTATAATATAAGAAAAGACCCTGGATTAAGCCCGACGCCACTTCTGTGCTATGTAGGTACCTTATACTGAAAATCTGACCAATCAGCAAGAGAAAATAGGTACCTGTCTGCCTGTCAAAGAAAGTTAAAAGTGTCAAAGTATGGGGCACGGTCCAGACGGCATTAATACCAACCGGCGTCGTACAGACTTGGCAGCAAAACACCGAAACATCTCACTCCATCTGCAGATCTTTAGCTTACAGCTCTTTGCATCCACTTCACCCCCCAGCTCGAACCAAGTGAAACATGGCCAACTACCCATTGTCTAAAACATGTCCTCGCCCTCCACAACAAGTGTTGTTTGGTACGTAGTAAGAGCGGGAAAGCGGCGGGAAAGCGGCCAAGGGCATTTCGTATATCCCAACTTTTGATTATAGTTCAATATCAATCACATGGGTGAATTTATTATGATCAATCAATGTTTGACGAGGACTTCGATCATTGCCCGATTCTAAGCCGCGGGTGTCTCTTAACAGATATTACTCTCCCACGCGATCCTTCGTACGCCTACTTTCTCGCTTCATCATCCATTCACCCAGTCATCCCGCGGTAAGACAGTTCACCTTCCCCCCTCTTTAATCGGGGCTGAAACTAGATCCTTCTTAACTTTCCTTTTCGTCATCATCACTTTCTCTTGCTGCTTTATCCTGTCTGCCAGTCTGCCAGTCTACCAGTCTGCTTGAAGCTCTTGAAGTCAGCTCATCCCTCATTCACCCTCGGTCTACTGAACTACTTTAAGCTCTCCCGACAACAGATGATAGCCAATTTCCACCCCCTTAAGAGGGAGTCTATACGACAAGTCCCCTAGATACGTCGACTCCCGCAATGGCCTTAACTATAAAAAACCTCAACTCCGATGCCTCCTTTCTCCTATCCTTCGAGCCTATCATCCCCGAATTCGCACAGCATATTGTAACGCCGAAGCCGTTTACACTTCTCCTGGACCCTTGGATAACAGGACCTTCCAAGATATTTCACTCTAAGATCTCGATTACGACTCACATACACCCAGCATGCATATCCTCGCTCTCGGAGCTCCCGTCCCCGCCGGATCTTGTTATCATAACTCAACATAAGAGCGACCATTGCAATGAAGCTACGCTCCGGCAACTGCCAGCAAGTGGAACAAACACAATCATACTCGCCGAACCAGCGGCAGCACGCTTGATCAAGAGTTGGAAGTACTTCGACCAGAAGAAGATTCGAACGATAGAGCGATGGGAAGACCCGAGGTTGACAGGAAAGCAATCTGTAGTGCGAATTCCCGTCCCGCCTGTGACGCCCGGAGGTCAAGGGGGTGAAGTCACCGTCGCCTTCATACCGCAGAAACGCGACCTAGCTGGTTTACATGGCGCAATTGGTATAACGTATCGACCTCCACCAACACATCACTTACAACTCGGTATCCCTACCATATCGAAACCGCCCTCGCCGCCTGCTACCCCTAATACGCCTACTATGCAGGATTCGGACATGTTACTCGCGAATAATTCATCTACCCCTAATCCTTTCCTCCTCCCGCCCTCTCCACCAGTATCACCACACTCCCTGCGCTCTGTCCAGTCCGCGTCAACCTTACTCCCCTCTCCGGCGCACTCACGCTTAAGCACTTCTTTCCCACGATCCGTTTCCCAGAGCCACATTCGCCCCGCCACCTCCATCGGTATGATCCGTCCAATATCAGTCCTTTTTTCGCCTCACGGTATCTCATACGACTACATCGCACCTTACGTTACATCACATCTCGTAGCCGAAGCAGCGCTCCCACTAACGGCCCTCCTGCACTGTATGGACAGCGTCACAAATCCATGGTGGCTCGGCGGCAATATCAGCGCGGGAGTACCTACAGGCGCTGAGATCGCGACACGGCTGGGCGCGCGCATCTGGCTTAGCGCGCACGATGGGGAAAAGGACGTCCGGGGCCTCGCTACGGCGATGCTGAAGACGAAACGGTGGAGGCGCGAGGAAGTTGAAGGCGCCTTAGACACGCGCGAAGAAGGGAAACCTGGCAAGGAGAAACCAGGTCATGCACGAAAGGGCAGTAGCAGTAGCATCGGCGGCGTCACCACAGAAATCATGCGCCTCGGCAGCGGCGACGAAATCGTCGTCTCCGGAAGCGGTATGTTATGGTGTTCTCCGGAGAATACGGACGACCAATGGGCCATCAGGGACGCGAAGGCCCGTCAAAACGTCAAGGTGAAAAGCCAATACAGCTTGAGACCAATGCACGCTCGTGGCGAGAAGATATCTAATGGCCTGAAGACAAAGAAGTCATTGAGAGGAGGCTTTTCGAGATTTAGGTCCGTGGTTACTCCTATTTGAAGAAGTGACTAGGTTACAGGCTCGTTCGTTCGTTCGTTCAGGGTAAGGTAATCGTTTGTTATTAGGACGATATTTCTTATGTTTAGGCACATTAGCTTGTTGGGTTCTGGCGTGTTTCGGGAGAAGGATTTTTACATGATACCAAGGGCAGACAAAATTAGTCTTTATGGACTTGTCATTTTTAGTGAACCATTCAGGCATATCATTTTTTTGGAATAGGGTTTCTCATTTTTTAAGGTTAGGGAAAGGCATGGAGACAAGAAGTCAACGGCGTTACTATTCGAAGCCCGAAACTTCCTATGGATATCCGGGAACAGGATAGAGATATTTACCATCGGTATTATACCAACGTGATCACATTAGATCATCGCAAAATTTGAGGCTTAATTTCTTTTGTCTGTTAGATGAATTCGTTCATTATGCATCCCTGTGGCCATGATAGGTTGTGGTATCTACCGAAAACAACAATAAGACCCGCGGGCCTGCCTCGCCTACATACCACCATCTACCTCTGCCTCTACTTCTAAAACCCCCCATGAGATAGTATGATAGCTCACATAACGAAATTCCTCGAATGCATATCCTTTCCTCCCGTAGAAACATAAGTCTGGATCGCTTACACTTACGCGGAACAATGGCGCGTATTCGGCAACGTATTCGTGAACTTGCTCCTAGCCCAACAGGTAATTTCTGTCCTCCAGACCGTTGCGTATATGTAGAAATACGGCAACCCTCACCATTGGCTTTGCTCACCCCCCATACTAACAATTCCGTGGAAAGCCATAGGTATAACTTAAAATCTCCGGGTCTCAACTTCACTTGAGCTGCTTTAAGATCTCGACGAGGAAGTCCTCGAAGCTGAGAGTAATGTAACCGTCGCGGTCCTCGTCATACTTCTTGAAGACGTCCGTCATACGCTTAAGGCTGATACAGGCCTGAACGAAGAGGTCGAAGCTCATGACGCCCTCGTTACGCTTGTCGTAGGTGCGGAAGAGGAGGTCGACGAAACCGGGGCTAAGGCGGTAGCGGAAGGCCACGAGGGCGTTGCTAAATTCGTCGGGACTAATGTTGCCGCTGCGGTCCGCGTCGAATCGGTCGAACAGTGCTCGCCACGATGCTAGGAATGACCATAGTCCGCAGAATTCGTCGAATCCGATCGTCCCCGACCGATCACTGTCGAACATGCGGATCATCATGCGCACCGTCTGCGGGTCGAAAGCCGTCCAGTCGCCATTTACGAGAGCGGCCGATAGTTCCTTTTCGGAGAGCTGACCGGTATCTATTCGAAAGGGGTTAGTATCTGGGGGGAGGGGGGGGGATCAAAAACGGCCGGGCTAAGAAAACGTACTGTTCTTGTCGACAGCTTTGAATAGCGGTAGCAGAGTGGGATCGGCAGCGCCTTCCTGAGGGGTAGGAGAAGGAGGTGGCCGACTCGCGGGAGGTGGACGGTTATGGGCCGTTGGTCGCGGGCCGGTTGCGGTAGGTGGCGGTGACATAGTAGATTGCAGGTTCGGCCTATAGCCGTAGTCGTAACTGTTGCTATGGCTACTACCACTATTGTTGCTATAACCGCTCGGGCCGTAACCAGTAGGTGTCAAACGTCCTGTGTCTGTGCGACGAGTCGGAAGAGAATCGTGTCGGGTGCTAGGAACAGGCGGTTGAGGCTTGGATTCGTAGCGAGAGGACGGGTGAGGCGCGCCGCCTTTCTACGAAGGGAAGAAAGTTAGTTTATTTACAGTCGAATATACGTATATACGAGTGGATAGAAGAGGGGCTCGCGCAGGGGTTAACAGGTTGACGGGTTAACATAAGGCAGAAAAAGGGTTCAACGGAGGTGCGTGCGCGTACCGGGTCGGGTTCTGCGAATCTGCGGTTTCAAAAATAGATTAGCTATCGCTGTCACGCATGAAAATGAAACCAATATTTATTATATATTATCCTCCCCATCTCAATACTCAATACCCGATATCACTTCACTTGTCCACCGCGGTTTTGAGCGATGACGATGGCGGGGTATAGTAGCGCTGGGTGCCGACTCACCTTGGCAGTTCATCGGGATTGTATGGTCTGTTATAAGCCATTGCGTATATTGATTGCTGTTTACGTCGCTCTAGAGTTTAGATAGACTCGACTAGTACCGGTAGTAAAAGAATGAAGACGGTAAGGACAGCAGTTAGCAGCGAGACCTGTTTGTTATATGGCTTTTTTGTATAGAGTGAATGTCGACGTGAGATAGGTACCTAAGGCACTTAAATTGGGAAAAGGTATCGGACGAGTAATAAGCGGCAGTGCAACCCAGTCGTCAAGTAGCGGACAAAGAGTAAATTAGTCTCAGCCGCAAGAAAAAATCGGGGTAAAAGAAGAAAGTCAAGGATCATGGGGTTTTAAAAAGACAAAAGGGAAGAGATAAGTGCTGAGGATTTTTAGCTGGGATGTATATATGGAGTAGTATTAAGTCTTCATTGAGGATTATTAACTCTAGGGCTGCATCTGCTAAATCCAAGACCCAAGACCCAAGACCCAAGACTTAAGACCCAAAGGAGCTAACTAATAACAACTTAGGGGCTGCCGAGAAAGAAAAAAAAAGTAATGTGGTTTTTTGCTTTATTGTCTCAAATACCGTACATAAGTCGGGTATTAGTTATCGGGTATTTTATTAACAAGCTGTTCTCTTTGGTCCTCCAGAGTAAAAGATTGACCACCTTAGGTAACCATCTGGATGAACTGTATGGATTTGCATGGATTCGTATGGATATCCGGCAACGCTAGCGTCCGTCTGACTGATACCAAAGATCCGCAGGCATCAGACTGGCGATCAAAATCACATTCACACCGATGCTGAGCGGCGGGGCAGCCCGGGGCTGTGTCATCATCGTCTACCACAGCATCCATACGTACTCCATTAGGTACGTAATAACTCGTCGGATCAATCCGATTGTTTGTTATCTTGACCGAAGGTGGCAGAGATCCTGGGGAATTAAAGCAGGGCGAACCTTTAGTCTTTCTCGAAGGCTGACTTATATAGAAAAGAAGCTTCTAAAATATTAACTAGAATAGATTCAGCTTCCCCAGTGAGGCTCAGGCATGACGATCCCGTCCCGTCCCGCATCCCGGTCAATATTCCTATCTTACTATGTACTGCCTACAAAGTGGGTTGGGCTAAACCCACAGCATCTTCTTTTGTCATTTCCAACATCCTCCATGGATGGCGGCAGGTCTATACGATAATACATACGTAGTAGGTATGGCGCAGCAAAACAAGAGCTCCAAGCTATAAGCTGTTTGCGGTCTGTACCTAATGTGAGTCGAGGCGCATGCTTCCCCTACTCTTAGGTCTTTGCGGGGTGCATATATGCTTCATATGTAGGTCTTCTATGCATGAGGTTTCGAGATGTTGTAGGAGTAAACAATAATACATACATGAATAGTTAATACGAGAGGTCACGTTTGGATATGATGTATTGTACCTGCAGTGCTTTAGGTGCCCTATGACGCGGCCTATGTAATAGCCTTTTCCAACGTTCATCGCAATTACCCAGAGCTTTTAGACCCGTGGTGTTGTAATACCTACCTCCTAAATTTACCTGAATGCCGAATTTCTGGAGCTTAGCTGCAGCTGTTCGCAGCATGTATTGTACATACAATACGTAGGTGCTAAAAATAATAACCGCCTATCTAGTCGGACTGTCGGAATAACAAGAGCGGGATTGCCTACCTTAAGTACCTTCTATATGTATGCATGACTATATGCAAGGGAGGTACGGTGTTGGTACTGTGTAGCACATGCTCCGTTGGCCGGAGCCGCGCCCGCCAAAGACGGCAGTCCCGATAGCTTAGAAAGCCGCAAAAGACGAAATGCTTGGCGTTATTGTACCATCTCCAACTCCCGTCAAATTGAACAGCGATGACTCTTACCCGCAGATAGAACATTCTTTATCATATTTGGCGAGCTTTGTTACGAGCGTTGTTATAGCCTGTTTGGATCAATAGATAATAATAACTCGAGCAATCGTGCGTGAATTACAGAAACGAAAAAAAAGGGCAAAAGAATAGACGAGGAAGCTTGACCCGAATACCAACCATGTCAGCCAACGGAGCGCCACCCGAGACGGACGAATTCTGGATCTTCGGTTATGGGTACGTTATTATTTCGGATGCTTCCCTAGCTTCGTAGCTTAACCTTACTTACAGAGTTGTAGAAGCTTGATATGGAAACCCCCTCCGCACCATGGTAAGATCCTGTACTAGAGCACTTTCCTGCTCACTTCCTTTACGTCAACATATGTGTCCAAGGCCGAAACTCACCGAAACTTTCCGGTAGATCGACGGGTACCCGGTTGGGTCACAGGCTATGTTAGACGGTTCTGGCAGGTACAGATTCCCTCACCTTGCTTGGCTAAGAATTATACGGCTGACATACCTTTAGGCAAGGTAAGCTTAATCAACCCCAGAGATCAGATCAAGGCAACCCGGCGCGCATGTACGGCAATGACAAGGGTCGGGGAGTTTAATATATGGGGGTTATATCATCTTCTGACACCAAAGAAATTTCCAGTCAGGACCACCGCGGCACACCTGAAGCCCCCGGCCGCGTCGTCACTCTCATCGAGCGGTCATTCTGGGAATCCCTCGTTGATTCGCATGACTCGGCGCCCGAGAAGGTATGGGGTACCGCGTACCGAATCCAAGCGGACAAGGTAGCCGAGGTAAAGGAGCACCTCGACATCCGGGAGATCAACGGGTACACGATCCACTATACGCCCTTCCATCCGGCGGACGGGTCGCCGTCCATCCGCACTCTAGTTTACATCGGCACCCCCGACAATGATCAGTTTACGGGACCGCTAGACCCGCAGGCCCTCGCCGAGCACATCTACGTTAGCGAGGGCCCCAGCGGTCTGAACGTGGATTACCTGTTGAGTCTGGAGAAGGCCCTTAACGAGCTAAGCCCAGAGAGTGGCGACGCTCACGTCACGGATTTGTCGAATCGCGTGCGCGAGATTGACCGCCAGGGCGAGATACATGTGGAAGATTTCGAACATCCTATCTCGCACCGGTTTAGGAAAGCGAGCAGCGTAGACGAGCAGGAAGAGACGGAGAAGTTGTGAATGATATCTTACAGGGGAGAAGAGAAATTGTAAAGATTTAGGTGCCGAGGTAAAGAATCACGTTAGGTGCTTAGGTCAAGATATTTAACAGAGAAAAGTGTTGGAAATCATGTCGATTGATCTGAGCACTATTGCTACAGTTCATTCCCGGCTTCGCCTTCCCCTATCCCCCTCCGGGATCGACCTCATGACGACTTCTTCTCGAGAAGGTTGAACTCTTCATCCTCAACTAGTCCCCCCCGTCTCTTTTCTTTTTCTTTTTACTTTTCTTTTCTTTTCTTTTTTTCTTTGGTCCTTCGTAGACTCGTAAAATGATAGATGACGTGGATATTCACGTTAATCATAGGGGCCATAGAGCCTCGAATAGAAGATGGCGAACGAGTGTATGTACATTAGTGAGTATGTCTCACTGTAATCCTCCCATCTCAGATATAGAGACTTTGTAGTTGAGGATGATTTAATGAAATGGCGACAAATGGGGAGTACCACTTTGGTCGTGTTGTGCATAAGGAGTGTCAAGGGTGTTGCGAGAACATCAGACCTCCAAGCGCCAATTTCACCGATAACGAGCGTGCCTTTTAGGCCAATTTTCTAGTAGATACCAACTCTGCATAATGTTGGTGTTGGGGTTTGGGTAGAACACTTCCTGTGTCGCTCACAGCAGTTCTACTGGTACGGCGGCTGCCCCTGAGGCGGTTGCTGATGTTGGGGTTGTTGACCCGCTTGCTGTTGGTCCGGATAGCCGTAGGGCGCATAGCCTGTAAGATTCGGTTAGTTTAAACATGTAACGATTTAAATTAAAACATTTCAAAGGGGCTTGTGTGTTTACCTTGAGGCGGGGGTGTTCCGTAACCGGGCTGCGGGTAACCTGCTCCGCGTCCGTAGGCCGGTGGGTACATCATCTGGTTCGGTATCCCGTACGCAATCGGCTGGCCAGCGGCGTACGGCATCTGAGGTTGCTGCATGTACCCACCCCTAGGCGGGTACCCACCACCCCGTCCGCTACCGCCTCGAGGACCAGTGTCGGATGCTCTATCGACACGAATAGATCGTCCATCAAATCTAATTTATTCAGTTAGATAAATCCCCGAAATAACGGGAGGTGGCACCTTACTCGATGTTGTTCATGCCCGCAATAGCTTTCTGTGCATCTTCCTCGTTCACATATCGAACAAATCCAAAGCCTCTGCTTCGACCAGTATCGCGATCTTTGACGACGACCTATCATCCGTTAAGTTAGTCCTGAATCAAAGTCTAGGTAGAACTTCCAGACTCCCATATCGAAGAGAGTGTGAGTGCTATAGAGAGATGATAATAGGACCACATACCGCTTCCTCAATAGGACCGAATTCTTCAAACTTCTGTCTGAGCGTAGCATCTTCAGTGTGCCATGCAAGGCCACTGAATAGAGGGGAACACTTGGATTAGCCAAGTATAAATAATAGATGGGAATTCTGTTTTACCATACCCGATGAATAGTTTCGACATTATTGGTGACTGAAGGATATCAACTCGAAAGAGTAGATCTGTATTAAATAAGGTTAATAATTGGCCCGTAATAATGATGTGCAGATCGGGACGGTTGAAGTAAAGGTCCACTACGCGGGTATATGTAGCGATTATATAGGTAGGTAGGCAGGTAGGTACCTGCACATATATACCCAAGATACGTGAGGCTGCCGTTATTGTCTAAGCAAAGTGGGAGGAGCAATCTGCAAGATGGCAGCAAGGGAGGAAGGAACTACTGGGTCCACTAAATGTACGGGAAGCAGGGGCGGGACGCGGAAGTGATGCACGAACGTTCTTTTGGAATCCTAGGTAAGCAGCAACCGTACAAATCGTTGTTGCCTTTGATTTTCGACTTGCAAACTTGACCAGTAACCAGCGCCGGAAGGTCTGCAGATGCCGGGGTCGAAGTGACGTATCTGATAGGTGCAAGGGTGAAGAAGTGAAAAGTATCGATTCGGTATTTTGGTACAGTAAAGATAACAGGGTTGATTGGAACTTATGTACGAAATGTAAGACCCAGGTGGCCGGTTAGGCAAGGATTATAAAAGTTGGTAAAGTAACTTGAAGGCGTTCTAGTGACAAATCGACCAGTATCTGTTGGCTTGAACGAGGAATGAAAGATATCTATGTACTCGAGGCCGCCTGATTTTATACAATATATTCTACTTGCCCCCTAAGGTAGGAAAAGCTGTCAGACAGCAATACTCAACAAGCGTATACCCACCCACCACCAGCAAAGAGAAGAAAGAGGAAACCAGCAGGGATAGCTTCAAAACAAGCATCAAACAGAGGAGGTGCAAATGACCTCGAATTGCCCTAAGGAGAGGGTATGAGACTCCACGCGGCACAAACTACATGTGCCAGACGAATTGCTAAGTCGGCTCTATCCTAAAATGGAAAGCCAGCAATCGGCGGGATGCTCGCTTCGTGTAGCCCAAGTTACTCGACGTAATGCGGTTGAAGGAGGCGTGTCGGCTTCGAGAACGATCTGCGAAGCATCTACTCCGACTACCTACACTAGGTAGGATATATGTACTCCACATCTACCTATTCCCGTTTAAATACGGCCGATCGTAGTTGTCAAGGTCTCACGTCCGTCACCTTAGGCAGTGAATAGTTGAATACTAGAGTTTCGTAATCCTTGCCTGGGGGCTAAAAAAAGAATGCTATAGTCTGTTCGCCATCTGTCTCTAGCCTATGATTTTCGGGCCCCAATGGGAATAGTCTTTTCGTTAAAACTTGCTGGGCCTGAAATAGCTGTAACGAGCTCGAAGAATATGAGGAAAAGCGCGATATCCAATCACGCAGGGGTGCCATTTTTGGACCCCTGACTTCTGTGATCGACCAATCGCCGTAGGACGTCAGTTCAAAACGGGAAGTCTTATTTGCTTGGCTAAATAATGCGAGAGAACATAGCGCCTCTCCATAGTCTCCCGAGGGGCTTGCTTATCCACAAGGCTAGGCCCTGCGTTAGTGTTGAAGACTATCGTACGAATAATACACACTAAGATGGGGGTGTTTAGTTAAGTCCATTAAAGGACCTCAAGACCTTGCAACACGGCAGAGCTCCGAAAAGAGCCAACTTAGAGGCACCGAGTATCCTGGTACGATTCGAGACGAACTAGGATGAAAATGTGCTGCATTTAGTTGTGGGCGAAAGTGAAACGACCAAATACCATATCCTAGGATGTACGCTCTTAGAGACAGGATGCAAAACTGTTTTTCTGCATTTTATCTGACTAGAACCCACATAGTTGTCCTTAATCGTTATACTCGGCCCTTGGGTGATGCTGCCATGTATTCCCAATCTCTCTGGCTTGGTATTATCTGCTTGGCGAAGAGAGTTGAGTCTAGCTCCATACTGTATATAACGTTATCCTGTGGTGAGATAGCTAAAGAACAATAATACTTTTGACATGGACTATATACACTCTATATAGGTACGTCTCGGTTGCTCGTACGAGGGTAAACTGTAAACTCCGTGATAGATGATAGGGTAGTATGGGATGTGGGATGTGGGATGTGGACATGTGGTTAAGGTAAGGGAGGGAAAATGATAGTAACCAACGACTATAAGTCTATAACAAATAGAAATCCGATAGCAGAGGAAGTTCGGCTCAGATTCGATACAAGATGCGTTCCGCGTACCTAAAGGCTTGTCCGCATGGGATGCGACGTTAGGTATGCAGCCGCGGAGGTCGCAGTCGATCATTGAGCAATTTGACCCAAATGCCGAGTCCACCGAGGAAGAAGACTTACAGCTAATTAGTTTTCAAGATGTTTAAGGCTGTATGTAATTGTACATAGGTATCGTTTAGCGCGACCTGTTCATGGGGCCGGCTGGCGCTCCGAATGTCCATTCCTTGACTTGGGGGACCTTGGGAAGAATACAAACACAGGGTAATGAAACGCGTTGGACCTAAGCTGAAAGAAGAAGTTTATCAGCAATCACCAGATCCTACCTGGCATTTAGGGACAAGGTAGTAGACACTTGACATGTGGTATCGATTGTATTCTACATATGTTACATGGGCAATATTAGAGATGCCAAGATGTGGAAGTTCAGAGTTCCAATTCTTTAGTGCGTCTGTATATTGATGGTTGAGGTGATGTAGTAGTGGTACCTCGATACCTCTAACTAAATAAGTAGGTACATATGGCGTACCTCTTAAACGGTGCGGGGTTGCACAGACCAATCAGATCAGTCGGGTTGCGATTTCTAACTCCCAATCCAGGGGCAATCAGGGGCCTTCTTGGCAAGGTTTCTCAGACGTCTTGGGATTGAAGGTTGGATCTTTAGCAGCAACATTACTACCCACAATGCACAACACGCCGCTGACATTGCATGCGGCTCTTACAACACGCATGCGTCAACCATCAATTTCCACGTAATAATTTTAGCATTTATAATAACCTATGACGACGATGAAAATCCAGGCTAGATCAATGATGAAAACTTGCCAAGTAAGAGCAAGCGCCGATCCAGCCCGAGTTCTAATTATAGATTAAGTACCTAGGTACCTACCTAGGTATCTCACATGGAGATTTGAATATTTGGTTTTCAAAAGACTGGAAATTCGGTAGCAACTCCATCCACACTTACATACATGTAGCTGATGCATGTGTCTACCGACCCTTTACTTAAATGTATTAGATCCAATGATGGATGTACATTGAGGGATATATTGGTGCAAATGTAGTTGATACATGCATGATAGGTATGCCTGGGTACCTGGTGCGGAATACACGGCCTAGAAGTGAAAATCCAGGAGGTAATACCTAACCTCAAACCCCACGTGAAGAGGTAGCTCCTTCTACTAATACCTCGTCTTAGGTACTTAGGTAAGGTATGCGCTTAGTAATTTATAGATAATATTACTTGCATAAACTTGAACTTGAGCTAAGTCTTAGGTTCCGCAGCCCTGGGATATTCCAACCGTCGTGCCGACAACACAACCTAGTCCCCACGCATCTCGTCTCGTCTAAAGTTGCTTTCCCATGGCTCAGAAATGATCTACCACACTACAGCTATACCCTAGGCTTATAATATGTAGACCTACTATTCTGACGTAATATCTTTGCTTTGTCTCAGGAGTCTTTTGCTGTTTCAACTCACATTTCGAGATAAGCTATTCGGAGGCCTCTATACCATATCTGCGTCACTCTTCACATCATCGCTGTCGCTATAATCGGCCGCGTAGCGGAAACAACTCATACAAAATGCCCAATAATAGATCACGTCTGAAACGTCCACGCCAACCCCACGATGATATCTCGTTTTTAGTAGGGTCAAACAGCGCGTCGCAGCCGCAACCACGCTATGACATTGTCGAAAACTGGCTAGAACAGACGGCGAGGCCAGATCCTCACCCCTGGCCTAGTACGTCACAAGGATATCGAAAAGAAACCCCAGGCAATAACTCCCCGTATAGACCACTTGATGCGACGTCCCCATACAATAAACGCCCTAGGCGTGTAGATCCGAGATGGAGTCCTCGTCACGACTTTCCTAGTCATTATATGCACCAATCAGGCCCTTCGTTTGAGACTTCGGGTCCAAAGGATTCGAGAAAGTCTACGCGAAGGCGGACGGCCCCTAGTGATAGTTCGCTTATCAGTGGCTTTGAGAATACTACGAAGCCTCCTAGCTATACCCCTGGCTCCGCTCAATGGAACCATGTGGACACTCTAACTACCAGAGCCCCGAGAGACGCGGGTTTGGTGTATCTCCATGCTTCATCGACCACTTCTCGTGCGGACGAACAGCCGAACTTCGAGAAAAGACCCAGAAGAAAGACTAGGGAAGACAAATATGAAACGAAGAAAAGAAAACGGACCCACGAAGAGGGAAGCACCGTGGACTATAGCAATCACCGGAGTAAAAAGCGCAAGAAAATCGACAAGAGAAAATCCATAGCATCTAGCAAAAATGTAGTGAATAATTTCACTTCCAATGCTGTTCTCAATGATCGCATTACGGTAAGGGCCCCGTCACATGTGAGAGATATTGGTCTAAATTACGTTTAGGTCCAACCGCATCTAAAGCCTGGTCTATTTGACAATGGAAGGGCATCGAAAAAACAGCCAAGTAAGGATATGCTCGAAAGATTATTTAGTTGCGAGAACCTAATTGAAAACAGTATCTGATTTGACCTTCTCTGACATGCAGTTTCTAAAGCGCCAGAGTAGTAACATTCAACCAAAAGTGTTATCAAAGTCCCGCCTGAGGGAGAAACGTCGAGAGGACCGAGAAATGGAAGAAGTATCGTCCTTTTTCCTACCACACAAAGCCGATAGAGATACTCCCGGTTTAAGATTTCGTAAGCCAGATACCAGTAGAAAGTACCAGGACATGGGACGTCACTTCGAACAGCTCATGCCCATCTGTGGTGGAAAACCTCCCGGATTGTCGCCTCCAAGCCATCATGGATATGCTAAGCATAGCCACATATCCCGAGCCCACGGTGAAACCGTCAATCCTGTCAGACCAGATTCCCTTGGATCAAATCCAGATGGAAAGGACACAGGCAGAGATACGACATATTTAACATGGTCCAGTAGTCGTCGCTCGTCGCCGCGTATTAATGAAGGGGACAGTCGTTCGAGTCCAAATGCGTCAGGTTCGGTCCGAACAACTATTCCAGAATCAAGGAGAGTAGATCTAATAACGACAGGAATATACAACAATACTAGAATGCCTTCATGCGACGATCAATCAATTGAACCGAGTACATCAAATAAGACAATCGAGATGGAACCACATAGCGTCCGCCACATGGAATTAGAGGGTGCCCATAACAACATGCATCAAGGTTCTAATAGATCTTGCAAGGTGAGGTATCGAGATCAAGCTATAATGACCGAAGATCCCCCTAAATGTTCAGAGTCACTAGAAGCTATCCAAATAACAGAAGACCGTCATGCGTCTAGGTCTCGAGGAGAGGCAAATGTGCACATACCACACATCTCTAATGATATTGACCGTCAGCAAATTGTTAGAGAAGTTCGTCTAACTCCTAACGAAAAGGGTGGTTCAAGGCAACACGTTGATATTCCGCGTAGCTTAGATGGCAAGCCTATCACTATTCACCAAATCCCCGAAGCCGCGGCTACACACGTAGATCAAAACTTAGAGAGACAGAAACAGCAGGCAAGCGACGAAGCATCTGTATCTTCTAGGGATGCAATGCCTCCTCCACCTACGTCGTATAGTAGAAACGCCTCCCTTGCTGTACCCCGCGTCGACGTGGAATTTAATGCACCGGGACAGAACACGGCTCCAGCTAATCTGGAATTTTCACAAGTTCCTTATAGGATAGATCATGATAAAGATATACAAGACTCCCAGGAATCCCTCGAAGGCTGTAAACAGGCGTTGTTATATGAGTCGGTCGCCAATAATGGACATACCCTGTTGACCTCCAATAGCGTTCCTTGGATACCTCAAAAAAGGCCATCGGCCCCCATAGTAGGAGAGAGAGTCGCCTTATTACGACCAAGCACAAATCCACCTACCTACGTAAATCAAGGTGAAGGGAGGTTAAGTAGAGGCTCGCACCAAAGGGATTTTGCGGGATCACAGAAACTTGAGACTATGGCCGAATTTATCGCCAGAATAGAGAACGAGTCACAGTGGCAACTCCCCCACCGCGGTTATGATAATCTAGGATTAGAGGAGAAAGCGTTAGACCTATCTTCGCTCGATAGGGGACTATCCCACGAGCAGCCCATAGTTTGCAATATGGAAAAGGAGACACCTCTCAACTTACCCCTTGATTTCGATCCTGATTATTTTGATCTAAGGCCGAGGACAACTGAAGCATGCGAGGAGGGTTTAGATATTGAGGCGCCGTATACCCAGCACAGGATTGATACTCCCGGGATTTTACCTAATATCACACAACCGTTGGAAGAATTCGAGGAGCGTCTCGAAATGTCAAGCTTCTGGCGTCCAAATCAGTTCTCTCGATTCTGATAAACACCTACTATACGCTAATATATTAGTACCATATCGCAATGTGCACTCACGTCTTTGTTAAGGTTAATATTCATAGGTGGTTTATTCAGGCTCTTGATCTTTCCATTTTTCTCGGAGTCCATCGACATCCAAGCCACATTTTTCCGCCCTGCCAACTATCGCCTTCGCCCTAGCGGCAACCGGGCGGTCAATCACTCTGCCATCTAGGCCCCAAGCCCCCCTTTTCTCAGCTGCGGCTTTCTCGTCCGCTATGTTAACCCTGACAGCCCACTCAAGCTCCTTCTCGGAGGGAGTGAAGTACCGCTGCACCATGTTGACCTGCGAAGGATGGATGCACTGCTTGCCATTGAATCCCATGGCCCTTCCGTTTTGGCACTCTTTTTCTAGCTGATCTAGCCCGTCCTTTTCCTTATACGATGTGCATGCTAAATCTATTAGACTAGGGATGCTCTCAACGCGGGCGGCCGTCACCAGGGCAGACCGCGCATATAAGAACTCGGACATATCCGGCGTCCGCGTGAGCGACAGGTCGAGGGCGAAATCTTCGGCCGCAAAGATTAGGCCGTTGAGGCGCGGGCCTCTAACAATGGACGAGAGGTTCATTATAGCGCGAGCCGACTCGATCATGGCCATAACCCTCAAGGGCTTCTCGCGCGCGTCTTTGAAGTGTTTATTCTCGAGGTTCTTGAGTATGTGGGAAACCTCCCTCAAGTCCCCGATGTTGCTCACTTTGGGCACGATGACGGTGTCGACCACGAAAGACGACGCGGCGAGCTTGAGGTCTTTTTCAATAAAGGGAGAACGGGCGTTGTTGACGCGGACGGCGATCTCGGAGACGTGAGGCGGCTTCGCGGGTAGACGGCGTAAGTGCTGGTAGAGGGCATCGCGAGCCTCGGCTTTGACTTCGGCGTTCACCGAGTCCTCGAGGTCGTAGATGACGGTGTCGACGGTGAGACCGAGGGATTTGGTTAGCATTCGTTGCGACGACGCCGGGACTGTGCTATCGGTTAGAGACGGGGGAAGACTCGGTTTGTCTACGTTAAGGTAGGTAGGTGGGTATAAATGTCTTACCGTAGAGCATAGCCCGGCGAAGGAAAGGGCTCGAACTGGCGGGCATGGTGCGTAGACTTGAAGACTCCCTCGATCTACTTAGGAGGTAGTTGTGGTAATTGGTTGCGACGTCGTTGTCTTGTTCGCCGTACTATTATTGTAATTCCTACCTACATACGAACTTTTTTTTTTTGCGGGGACCCGGTAGTGCACGGGCCCGCTAAGTGTGAATACAATACAATACACTATGTAAAAGGGGTACGTCTTATTAGGTATATCAAACAGCTTAAAGCTTTAATTATACAATAGTAATAGATATATTTGGGCTAAGCAACTATCATTTATAAATAATATATAAACTCCGGTAAGTTGTTAGTAATCTATTCTATAAAATATTTGGGATAAATTTAGTGTGTTAACTATGTTGATTATTCGATAAGTATCCTATATTGGGTACCTAAGACTAGGAGGAGTATTAAACGACAACAACAAGTATAGGGACAATAATGATTACCTATATTGTATCGTCGAGCTCCGTTTTAAATATCGTATTGCGCAGGTCTAGAGACCTTTTATCATAGCTCATCCGCGCTTAGTTGCATATGACAAGTTGGATCCAAGACGCGGAGCTACTCGAGCCACTATCTCATTACCCACGGGCTGAATTTACGAACAAAGATACAAACGAAAGAGTTCATAGGATTTTCGATACGTATTTCGAACAAGATTCGCTCAGCTCATGATCAAATTTCCAGAAAACCTGATCAGAGCAGTGGCAAGGTAGTGAGTGACCCTAAAAGATCTTGCGGAACCGGCTGATTCAACCCCTGCCCTGAGGTGGCTGCCTATGGTGAAGTTTTGGGACACGGGCTTCCTAGTTAAGTGCTCTATAGGGGTCTTACCGGGACGGGTCCGTCAAAAACTACTATGAAGACCTTCTCCTGTGGAAGTCTAGGCGTGGCTCCTAGACCGACACCCATAGACATAGATAAGAACTGAAGAGCTTTGAGTCGACTGCTTGGGAGCATCAACATGTATTTTCTGTTGGGCAACTATACGTGATAGATACAACATTCGATCTTGAGACTGGGCCAAAAACTGCACTATCCTCCTAGTGAAAAGCTCACTATGGGCCTGTCAGATGACAAGGATTACGATAGGTGTATGACATATCTACCAGCTAGTCATTCATTATGTTGTATATAAGGGGACCTTGGTTCCATCTTAGATTTAGGCAAGGGCAGGCGTTAGTAGTATTCCGAAATATATACCACATGAGCTATTCACCAGCTAGTCACCTGTCACTCCGTAGTGGTGATATACCAAGGGCAGCTTTTGACATCGACAAACGCGATAGAAATTCCGAATTCCAACACGATGGAGGAATCAATGTCTGAGTCCCAGCTAGATGCTGAGTTGAAGATAGCGATGCAATCACGAAGAAGGCAACGGAAACGAAAATATTTAGAAGCGTTGGAGGCGAGAGTAGAACCGGATTTTCACCTAACTGAGGAAGAAATGAATGATGGTGAAAGGGATAAGCAGCGACCACGACGAGGTCATTCTCAAATCAATTTTCCAGCCCTAAAATATAAGGGAGGGAGCAGGAACGATCTAGCGGTGTTTCTTACGAATCTGAAGGGGAGGTTTGCGCTATTAGCAGACGAGTTTCCAACGGATACAGAGAAAGTGGTATACGCAAGCACCTTCTTCGAGGGAGCAGTTAGTCGCCGGTGGATCCGTTTCTTGACAATTGAGAAACGTAATAACCTATCAAGTCTGACGTGGGAATAATTCGAAGATGGGTTGAATTCTGATATTGGTGACGAAGGAACATGCAGCTTATTAGCTCATTCAAAGCTAAATGCGCTACGCCAAGCTGAAGGAGAGAAATTTGACACATTTTTGGAATGTAGTGCCAGGGCCGCCGAAAGAATCGCTGCTACCGTTAAGAAACAGCTGGCAGGTTGCCAGCAAGATATTGTTGCTTCTGTTTCGTCCCTTGTTGAGTCATTGGAAAAGATCGTATGTGCCATTTTCCTAGCCATTGGGCCACTGCTAACTCGCTGTAGAATAAGAATGCTTTAATAGTCGATTCGGATGATGAGATGAGCGCGGCTGAAGACGAATAGACCGGTTCCTAGCCGGTAGATAGTTGTTTGTTGTGGATTGTGTGTTTTGGTTTTAGATACCCTGTGCTTTTGCTTAGTTTTAACTACTCTATCAGGGTATAGTGGGACAGTCCATACATGCTACTTTTATTATTGGAAGGCTTCTTGGAAAATAGAAGATTACTTACCTCAGTTTAGAGTAGAAAACACCACAAGGGTCAGGATGAGTAGGATCATTATGAGACGCTCTAGACAGCAAGGACGGCGCAGAAATAGTATATCATCATAACACCAAAATACCCTATTTCCAGCTGCCAGACAGATTTATGGTCACTGGGGATGATAAGGCTTGATATTATGATCTAGGCTTATTATAGCTACCTATACAGATATGCGTCGATTATTTTAAAATCAACCCAACTACACCTTACAATTCAATCATTCGCTATGCTAATCACTGCCCAGGAAACAGGTAAACCCTAGGTTTAGTTCTAGACCAATCTGAAACTGAGAATAACTACCTATGTAGGTATGTAATAAACCCTATGGTAATAGACCCCTGTCGTCCATATTTAGAACAGCCCTGACTCTGGTTCTTCTTCTGTTCCCCTTTCCCACGGCCGTGGGCAAAGAAGGAACAGTTTGAGTTGGACACTTTAATCTACGAAGATGCTGACACTATCAATAGCTTATAGTAGCGTGCTATGCTACAGCTTACAAGTACGATTTGACAGGGCCTACTTAACTAAAGCCAAGGCAGGATAGCGGATGAATTCATTACTAAGTCGCAAGATCTGGTTTGGTACCAGTGACGTGATGGCTCGAAGCTTGGAAGGGGATCGAGGCGTGTGTAAGCTACCTATTGCGGCGCTCGGTGCTACTCGCTAGGCCTCAAGTCGGCGTTTTTACTATGTAAGCATTCGCCGGAGTGCTCCAGTAGACTCCCGTAGTGAGCTGGAACCGTCTAATGCTACATAAGTTCCAAGACGCTCCGAAAGGAGGAATCCGTCTAAGCTCCGTCCCCAGCCGGGTGGCATACGACGTGATCTAGATTCCCAGTCGGCCATTTCCTCCAACATCGGGAGACAATGTGGGCATACCCGGGTCGTCGAGACCTGATGTCAAGCTTACGACGATTTCATTATAGACTGTCGAAAGCCACGAGGAAGACCAAGCAGCGATTGGATACCGACGCTCTAGATCTGATCTATATCGTTCGATAGGCGGCCGCTCGTATACTTGTTGGCGGTTTCCGTGCTATCTACCTAACGTATGGTGCTATACGGCGATCCTAGTCTTACCATGTCGTAGTGCATTCGCAGACGGATTGCGGCTCCCCGCATGTCAGCAATATGCCGTCCTAAGAGTTGCGTCTCTTGACAATTGGTGTTTTGTTTGAAATTGAGAATTGGCCTTCCACAAGCTTTGGTGAAAAGCTTCAAATATCGGTTCTCTACATAAAAAAGGGTTGGACCCTGGAAACAGACGATGTCACGTTAGATCTATTTCTGGCATATTGTATTTTCCCGAAGCAGAACTCTCGGGACGAGCAACCAGCTTCCAACCCCAATGCAGCGACGAAGCCTTATACCAATCATTGATCTAATGGCGTGACCCTTGACCATTAGGCCCAAGTAACCTAGAATATTCTCTATGTATTAGACCAGCCTCGAACGGCCAGTCTCCTGATTCTGCTTCCGGACTACAGTGTAGTTTTTCCTTCAATCCCCGGTTCGAAGACTTGTCCAGATTTTTCCAGATTCTCGGTCCTGTCAATCTTGCTATGTAGTCCCCTGCATGAAGCTAAACATATCGTGACACTTCGACGATGCTCCCCTACATGGGCGACGACTATCTCGAACCCACCTGCTATGCTACTGCATAACATAGCAGCTTGGGTCGGAGCCGTGGGTTATGTTGCTTGATGGATAACTTCACGCAAGCGAAAGAGTCTAAACACTCGACTAGGACGAGCTCTAGAAGTTGACGTATCCAAAAATAGAGAATCTCGAAATGACGTCTCCTTTCTGGCGACATCAGCCTGCGCTCGAGCCGAAAGGGATATGACCACAATTCACTCATTTTCTATGATTGACGGCTATCAGCGAGATAAACGGACGACCGGCAAAGACAAGACTTGGAAAGAATCATGAAAATGTCTTCCCATACGTGGTTCGTGAGTGGTTCGTTGGGTAGAAGGACTCGACCCGGTTAAAATCCCCTTCACCCCGGGTATATTGTGTTATCTAAGGCCCAGCCGCGCCGTAGCTCCAATATATCGATATTAACAATAAATGAACTTAATCTTGTTTCCAGGGAACGACTAGACTCTTCTTATCTCTCGCGGAGGAGGAGGGGCTTATGACGAATTGTCTTGGGAAAAGCTTTTTGTATAAATGTGGGTGATGACGGCGACGATCAGGGCATGTTTTGAGAATATTATCAAACAGACCGACAGCAACATTGCAACGGCATCAAATACTTGATTATTAGATACCTGCCTATACTTCAATCTTCGCTCGGAAAAGCAGTTCGCCATGTACCGTGTTGGCATTACCGCCCTAGCCCTCGCGGCTTTGGCCTCCGCAGCCCCCATCTCCGAGCCGTCGAAGACTACGGAGCAGAGGGATTTTATCATTCCCGACCCGAGCGGCTGGCTCCCAGGATCGGGCAGCCCGCCACCGCCGACCTTCACCCTCCTACCTCCCATCACCGGAGGCTTGGAGCCGTCGACTAAGAAGCGCCAGGACACCGGCGTGATCCTCCCACCTATCACCGGCGGCCTCGACCCGTCCGACAAGAAGAAGCGACAGGACACGATCGGAATCGGCGACGGAAGCTCTGACCCTGTTAAGGCACACATCAAGGCTCTGGAGCTCGAGTACGAGGCTTTGATTCACAACTTCGGCACGAACCCGCCCAAGCCAGTTGCCAAGCGCATCGCCTCCATCAAGGACGAGCTCCTGACCAAGTACGGCATCAAGATCATCCAGTCGCCCGACGGCACCACGACCACCTTCGTGCCCGGCAAGCGAAGCGTCGTCGACAACGACTACGTTCCCGGCGGCCCCTTCTTCCCTCTACCGGGCTTTCCCGGTGGTCCGGTCACCCCGGACCCCGTAGTCCCGGGCGGCCCTATCGAGGTCAGCGACTAGACGGAGGCGCAGCAGCAGCAGCCGGAGAGTGGGGGATTCCCGTACCTACTGAATAGGGGCGGGTGTTGGTTGGGTGGAGGGAGCTTTTTCCTTGTACGAAAGAACGTCGAACGCGAAAAAGAAAAACCGAGCGAAGGGATCTAGGGGCGCTGGCGATATTCGGGTTGCTATTTTCCTTCTGACGCTTTCAGATCCACTTAGATCGTTACCAATAGTTTATGATGTAGTAGTTTTATTATTATTATCTTAATTCTATTGCGGATCTGCCTGTGTACACTGTTGATACTTCGACGCCCCCCTTATCTACGCTGACCTTCTCGTTGGTACCGAGTTCTAGAACGACTTGTGACCCTGAATTTCGGAATGGTTGCGTAATGAGCTATTTGTGAAATGCCGGTAGTAATATTAGCAGATGAAGATGGGATTGGCTCTGTGGATGTCCACTTCGATATGGCTCCATTATACTAGTATATCTTGAGTAATGGTCTCATACACTAAGATCGTAGGGCTGTTAGAAGCTTCAAACCGGCTCTCTTTCGGTCGAGGTTCGGTGAGCTTTCAGCAAACGCTAATACCCGCCCTTACCGGTGTTCGCAGCATTCCGCTGTTATGTAGCTGACTCTCTGAGACCAGCCCAGTTAAAGCCCGCCACAAATCGTGACTCTAGGCATAGTTCCGCATCTCGGCGGGTCTGCTACCGCCTTGGTGGGAACCGAGCGATCCGTTATTCGGTCCTCGGATAAGGAGACGGCAGCGCTCCCACCGTTTTTACGACGGCGCGAGTGAGTTCATCTTACTGGACTAGGACAGCGCGGAAAGTGAGGCCACAGTTGGTACATCGATGGCTAGATTTCTTCCAGATGTTCTGCCCAACCGTGAACTAATTACGAGGGGAAGCGCCGGAAACAACTACATGATGGTTCTGACAAATAACCAAGTGACGTCTCCAGTAAATATGTATTAAGAGGTTATTAGACACCCACGTACGAGGTACGGCGCCAGGGCGCTAGAATAATTAGACTAACAACAAGATAAACTGCCGTACGGCGCCGCTGGGACTCGAGCCTAACAGGCTGGCCTAACACCTGATAGCTTGCCCAGTTTACCAAGTCTGGCAGTATGCTGTACCCCTTCACTAGTGACATTAGAGTGATGCTACTGTAGCTAGCTATGTAATGACTACGGTGAGCTTAACTGTAAATTATTAGAGCCCACAGTATCGGAGACCGTTCCGAAAGCAAAACTCACCGCTCCCTGCAATAGTATCGAAGCCATCTGACAACAAGATGACCCACGGGGAAAACCTTAAGGCTTTTTGAGTTGTCACTTGACAACTCTAACAACTCTAATGGGAAAACCCTCATCTTGTCACTTGTGTCAGCGTCTCCCTTCCTCCAGCAAATTGCCGACCGGAACGTATCGATAATTGGAACCAAGTACACATGGCAACATGACGGACAAGAAGTATGACGGGATGGAAGAGTTCACCGAGAATTCCACTTGAGGCTCGTGAGAGCTTGGTGTCTAGCTTCAGGCCGAATCTAGATGCGATTAAAAAGTGCCCGATAGTAGACACTATTCACCAACCCACATACCAGCATACTATGCACCAAGTGAGCTGTTAGTCGGAGCGTGGCTATATCGGCACCCCTCCCCCGAGGGATCCAGTGACCCAGTGACCCAGCGACTATGGAGTCGAGCCTGACTTCTTTGCGAACCGGTTCGCGCAGGAACCAAAATAGACTCCACGATTTGTGTTGCCTGGGGCGGAACATCGATATCGAGCATGCCGCAAAAGATGGATCCCTAGGGCCTAAACCATATTGTTGTCACGATCGTCAATCCTACTGTCGATACATAGCGTACCTAGGTATGTAAGGCAACCCACGACCTCTTTATCCACAGACTAATCCACATGTCTTTCACGTGATGAATAAGACTGCTTTCCCGCTTCATGACACCGGGTTCTCCAACTTTCCGGTTCCAGACATGGATGAGCCCTGAGTGGGCCACGTTGATTGTAGGGTCTCAGCCGAAGGGCGAAGGGCGAAGACAGGAAAAAGCAAGTATGGCATGTCACGTTGTTGTTGTTGCTGTTGTTGCTGTTGTTGCGCCTGTCTCCCGTCATCAGAGACATATATTGGTCTCACATATTGAGGGAATACCGCGTGGTATGGAAACTTCAACGGCGAACAGACGCAGGGCTATGCCGGACGCCACGATGATAGGGACGGATGCTAGGCGGATGGCAACTTATGATGACCCTTAAGGGACATAGATATTACATACGTGGCTCTATATACAAGCAGCCTCGGGCGATTGATTGCTGGGACCAATCAATATCGAGACATGAAGCTTTGCCGGATAGACTACTGTAAGACACTCAGCCTCAGCGCGTACTACACACCATGATAGGTTTCGGGAAGACACGCGTATGTAACCACCAGGCTGAGATGGTAGTATATGGTAATGAGGTATGTATGGTGGTATATGAACGGCAAAACTGTCTTACCCATCCCACATCCCACTGCTCCCTTAGTTTTCATAGGTAAATGGTTGGCAGAGAAAGCCCAGAGCTTCGACCCGACACACAGTTGTGCAGCTTGGTCTCACCCACAAGAATTCCACTTCGGCGCGTGACCCAACGCCTTCAGGGGTGGAAGGGAGGAGAGATTTGTTACTTTTCTCGAATTCATTCTAGGCCCCATGTGCCAAACAGCTCGTGAGATGAGATACGGATTGGATGAAATATGCCGAAACATGTCCTGCCCACACGGAGCCGCAAATGGCCTTCGTGTCCCTATGTAGGTACCTAATGTAAAAAGCAAAAACAAAAGGCGTCCCATTGGCGTGGGGAGTTCCCCGGCCTTGGGTTATAATACTCGTACTATAACGTCGCCACGCTAATAATATCGAGACACGACCATCTTGACCGTGTCGCCGGCTCCGCTACGCAACTCCACCGCCTCCGCATCGGCATACATAAGAACATAGGAGCGGAAACATACCTGGCCTAGTGTAGTGTCCGCTGCGCTGTAAGATGGGGGAAAGACAGCCCTTTCCCGCCGCCTCGTTCGCTTAGGTATTCATCTGCCGTAGGGCACGATACCCATCGCCTAGACGCATGAATGTGCTGAGACAAATATTACAACCATAGGCGGATGCCGTGGAACGCCCTGACATGACTGACATCGCTGCTTACTACAAGTTCTGCCTGGGACTTCTGCCTGGGACTTTGTCGAGAGGTCCAATAAGACTTGATAAAATTGTCTATTGCCTCTCATGATTTCGCTTAGGGACGCATGCACAACAAATACGGACAGAATTGGGAATTCCTATTGAAGCGTCATGTAAATACCTAGTCACCGCACCTTGGGTAAAGAGACACGCAATCATTATTAGGCCCCCTTGCTGTCGACTGAGCCGCTTGATTACTTGTCTAGGAAACGTATTTGACCTGATCAGGACTTGTCAGTGGGGAATGACAGCCTACTTTGGGAACGTGTGGAGGGTCCAATGTTCTCAATGTTCTCCCAAGAACCACGACAAGAGAGATTTCAGGCGCCTGATGAGGGTCGATTTCGACGATAGTCTCCATTTCCGATAAATCGTGCTTCGAAAGGATTTGTTCTCTACATACATAGTAACCTAACCCTAGCTCACGTTCGCCTAGCAAGCAAGATGAGGCCCAAAAACGCATGGACAGCCCTAATCCCTATGTAATGACAGTCTTTATTTTAGCGTACCGTAGTTCCCCCCATCCGCCCCCTCCAGCGTAGGAGGTATCAAGATGACACGCAGTTGAGCAGGATCAGGTGCCACGACTCGAAAAAACTACGTAGACTGTGGATTTTCTTTTGTGCCGTACTATCTAGCAGTCTGGCTGTTCTCCCTTGTGGAGATGAACGTGAACTGTCCAATGGGTATCACGACCGGGAGATCATAGATCGAGCGATTTGATTTGCACCGCCCCAATATCATAAGTAGGTATTAGGTATGTATGTATGTTTGTATGTATGTATGTAGAATAGGTAACTCCCCCTTTATCGAACGGGACCACGTCACTACGTGCGCATGTCCCTCCTCCCCCACACATGTGGGCATAAACTCTCTTTGCTGCTCGTTCCAGCCTCGGGCCAAAGCCAGCCAGCTAAACCTTACGGGTACCCAGAGATGACAGCGGGTTGCGGGTTGCGGTGTGGAGGGCTGCGAGCCACCTTTTTGGGTTGACGATGCCCTCATCGAACCGCGAGACTACCGACCTGGGTAGAGATCAGGACCGCGCGACGTCGCTCCGATTTGCTTGCACATTATTTTCGGGTCCTGGTTCTTCTTGTTCTCGCCGGCTCCATTGCCTTCTACGTAAGAATGGTCTACCTAGGCCTGCCAGCCTGCTTACCTACCTAAGTCAGGCACGCGTTACGGAGCACATTCACACGTATGTAGCGGTCGAGACGACGTCCCAATATGGGACCATGGGTACGTGATGGGAAGTTGACGAATGATAAGTTGCGTTTAACCTATGTACGTCCTGGCAAATAAACATGACAAAGTACTATGCAGAGCGCCTTTTGTGCCTGCGCCATGCGAACCCAAGGACCTATGTTCTGTATGTGCTCCGTAATATCGAGTCTTCCGTTAGTATTAGCATTGGCAATAGCATCAGCATGTGTGAGCATGTTATGAGCATGTGTATGTAGTATTTGTCTGTACGAAATGATTGTGCCTCTCCACTCGGAAGCAGGCGGCACTGTGACAGTGATCGTAAGCAGGCTTTTGAGCCTTTCGATCCAATCTCCGCCCATCTCTCATCAAAAAAACCCTCTTCTCAATATCACCCATATCACCCCTCACAGCCCTCGATGAGAGGACGGTGGAAATGTGTGGGTCCCAGTCGCGATGAAGCCTTGGAGGGGTTCTCGAGGACGGGGGACACAGCGCAAAGCACCAAGACATGAGCGAGAGAGCAGAGGGAGAGGAGCAAAGACCTTTCACCGCCATGTGCCAGTGAACCCAGGCTATCGGTCCAATCACCACTTAGAAAGTAAGGGAAGGCCGACCCATCACCATACCTAAACCATCGACTTGCATACGCATTTCGGACTAGGGACATGGACCCCGTCGATGCTGATTCGCTCTAGGCGAGACGGTAGGGAGACGAAGGGAAATGCGAGAGAAATCAAGGAAAATGAAAAAGAATAAAATAAAAAATAAAAAAAAGGGCTGCATATCACTCATTCCCTTCCCACACACCAACGCACCGGGAGCGCGCTAGGCAGAGTCGAGTATAGAAGAGTTAGATGCACTGCAACATAGGAAAATCATGACACCTTTGACAATGCTACGGAAGAGGGCGCAATATTTCCTCTACGTTACCTACCTAACCTACCTACCTACCTAGCTAGGTAAACAAGATTCTCTCTCTCTCGACCACTTATATCCTCCAGGTATGTATGGAAGACAAGAGAAAAAGAAGAAAGCGTCGCGCAGCACCCCCGAGCTACTGCACGACTTTGACACTTACGCGCAACACTGCGTCCAACGCAAATAAGGCTGGGCTCCTGTTTTTTTCTTCTTTTTTTCTCTTATTAGTAGTATTCTTTCCCTTTCATTTAACCAACCGTGCAGTAGCCGAGATGGGCTGGGCAGGGCACCGTAATGAGGTAGGCATGTATGTATGTATGTATGTAGCGTGATGATGGATGGATGGACTGACTGCCCCATATCGTGACAATTTTCCAAGTACCAAGGATCTGCGCCTGGCTCTTTTTGCGCCTAAAAACGGGGAGCCGTCCCATAGTCCAGAGCCCAGCCCATCCCATTTCCCATCCCATTTCCCATCGTACATACATACTAGTACGTAGCAGCAGCCCAGTAGATGAGATAATAGAATGAATGGGCTGTTGGTAAGGGAGGGGGGAAGAGAGAGAGATGAAGCCCCGAGCGCGGTTAGCCAGCTTTACAATATAGCGACAATAGTAACAAATAAAATAGTAAGTTTTCATATTAGTTAGTCTGATGTAGTCGCCAAGCCCAAGGCTAGTCGACAAGTCCAGCGGGCTTAAATCGCTTTCGCCAAATTAGCAAATTTCGCAAGGCTGGGCTGCCTACCTTAGGATAGTTTAGGTTCATAGCGGCCGGGCCGGTTAGAAGACGAGATGAGGCGGAAGCGAAATAACAAAGCGCCCAGAGGAAAATGAGAGGAAGGGCGGTCGGGGCGCCGTGGGAAATGGGGGGGAAGGGGAAGAGAAAGAAAGAGAGGGGAGACTCGAGAGAAAGAGGGAACAATTTCTTGGCTCCGCAACCCTTAGGACGACCGTAGAAACCGTAGAAACCGTAGAAACCGTAGAAGGCTAATGCAGGCTTGCAGGTTTGCGTTGCATCGACGGCAGAAATGTGATTATGAGAGCAGAGCAATCTGCAAGTCGATGCACACTCGCAAGCCCTGCCCTGGTAAAGTAAGGCGAGTGGCGTCGGCAGCTTTCGCCCAATCAGCGTAACGAACGTGAAGCCATCACTCCTGAGTCCTGGCGCAGATGTCAGTATTCTCCTCATCATCATCATCATCAATGGTGCTGTTGATGTTTTGGTGGTTCGCTGTCTTGCTGTTCTAGCAAAGGTTTCGAAGGGGCTGAGGTGAGAATAGATTCCACCAATAGTAGTAAAATTATGTAGAATATGACGACCCTTGGACATCTATGACATGGTTAGTCTAGGGTCCTTAATAGCGAATAGTTAAGTGAGACTTCTCATACAGAATAATGCCTGGGACAACAATCACGAAGCACTGTCACTTGTGCGCAAGTTAAAAAGCTAGCCATATTTTGGTGGTTATTGCGACTGCTCGCAAAAACATTGTATTGGTTTGCTGAGAGCCTATAGATGTATGCTCGTCTCCAAAGGCTCCCAAGAGGATCACCGTATCTGATCGGTGTCCATAGGTAGAACGTATAATTCTGCGCCAACAGATGTTGTTAGGCGCGGTATGTGGTGGGTTATTGGCCCCCGTCTGGTCTATTCAAAATCCAGCTTCATATCCATCCGTGACTGGTCTCGATAAACTTTTCCCAATGGCTCTCGAAATTCAAGATCCATAAAGCCTTTGTGTATCCAATAATAAAAGAAAAACGTTGGTATCATCCAAGCGAAAGTATCGACATCCCCCTTTAATGCAACCCGTGCAATAACGACATATTAGAAAAATAACAAGTTTGTGCAGAAATAGCCTCCCAGCTTCAAACATCTCCTGTTGTATGTTTTGCGCCGTGTAATGATGCTTTCCCGTAGCAGTCCTGGATTGTAAATAAGATAATGGCTCCTCCTTTGGTCCTTGGTCTTATGGATTGATCCTCATCTCTCAAATCATCCCACCAACTCCACGCTGAATAAACAAAGAAAAGAACATGACGTTGAAGTAAGTACAGGTTTGAAGGGCATAAGATGCTCCCAAAAAGCGCCGCGTCTGTGAACACGACTTTTTAAGCTCCATTTTTGGGCATGGAATTCCGGATATATTCCCACGGCTCCAATAAAATGTGTATTATAAACGTAATATCAAGTTGAAATGGTTTTGTCGAAGTTTATCCTTGGGTCTTGGGAGTCCGGATCCGTGGCTAGGCTATCCATGGTATAATACTCCTAATGGCCTATGTCCAGGTATCCGGTAATACAAGCCAACATGACCTTTGGGTTAAAATGCATCATCCAAGGCAACAGGGCAGCTACACATAATCAATGCAGCTAATAGCAGCCTTGGAAGTTGGAAAAAAGAGGAACTTGTGGATGGAAAGGAATGGAATGTATGGGTGCAGGTTGTGTGTACCTATTTACCACTTCCCAGAAATATGGAAAGGCAAACTTGGTTGGCGCACAGCTAGCCTGCACAGGAACTTGAACTGCGCAAGGCTGACAAGGCTCGATAGGGCCTGAGTATTGCGGGACAAACTCCTGTGGAAACATAACTTTTGATTCTTCTGAATCATACAAATGGGGCTCCTGGGTAGGAGGGATCTCATCCTCCGTGATAACGAAGTCGTCGTCGTCTATGTCGTCGATAGTCGAAACACTCGAGGTAAGAGATCCATCGTCGGATGAACATATGGACTCCGTATCGGAATCCGAAGCGGAGGGTGATGGTGGCGAATCGTAGCTCAAGTCTTCGACAATGGCTTCTTCGCAGTCAACGTATTCGATGGGCCCAGGTGAAGTGGGCGGTGTTGGGAGCGCTGCCTGGGGGGCAGGCGCATTAGGTGAAATCGTAAATCTGGAACAGGCGAGGATGCTGTTCCGGAGTTCTGGTAACGTAATTCTGTGGTCTGGGTTGCGGGTAAATATCCGCCCTAGTATATTGTTGAGGTCATCCGACAATGGCAAAATAGTCCGTAGGAAATCCTGACTCCTGGTGTAGGCACGATATGTGGAATCTTCAAAGGAGGCTTGCTTCCACGGATTACGACCACAGGTCAAGTTTACTAGGATAACACCAAGGCTCCAGACATCATTTGGGGCGCAGTAATAAAATGGCCTTCGGGATGATGGGTCCAGACATTCTGCGTGAGAGAAAACGAACTAGTTAGTACATCCCTTAAAGCAAAAAGGTTCCCGACGAGTCTTTACCTGGTGACATATAGAAAGTCGAACCACATCCGTAATCTTCGGACCGGTCTGATGAGGTCGCCAAGCCGAAGTCTGCCAACTTTACCGTGTCTCCCCGGTTCGAAACTAAGATATTCTCGGGTTTTAAGTCGCGGTGGTAGATCCCCAGGTTATGGCAGTGCTCAACGGCGTCCAGGATCTGCAGGAATACGCTCTTGACCAATGCATCCTTACCCACATATTGTCCTCTCTCTGTGATATTGAGGAAAAGGTCACCTTCTGGGCAATACTCCAGGATAACATATATGCAATCCGGGTCGTCAACAATCTTGTGCATAGAAACAACGTTGGGATGCGCCGAGGCCATATAGTGTAAGCGTAGTTCCCGGTGCTGAAAGGCAATTTGCCGTCGATCCAGAGGCGATCCGTCTGCGTTGAATTTGCTGAGCGTCTTCACTGCATATCGGACTCCAGTCTTGACGTCGACCGCCAGGTAGACCACGCCATAGGCACCGGTTCCAATAATCCCTATCAACTGCAGACTTTCTCCAAGGAACTTTCCTAGTCTATCTTCCGGGGCAACTGGAGTGTATCGAGGTTGGCAAACAGGAGGCACAGCTAGTGGTGGTTGTTGAAAAGCACACTTGGTGTTGTCGTAGGAGGGGGATGCCGGAGGCGTGGGATACCCGTACGCTGCCACATTATGCATGGTATGCGACAGACTATGGTCCTCTCCTGGTAAAACCGGGACTGGATCTTAAAAGGCAACAGAGATAAGGAAAGGAATCAAGAGAAAACGGCCTTCTCTACTGGAATAACGTCCTCAAACCAAAAGGCAATATCCTGGGAGAGAAAAATCCACGGAAAGTCCTTGGGCTGTAGCTAATTTATGTTCCTGGGTCGTATGTAAATGGCGTCGAGTTAACGGGCCATGGATTAGTATAGAAGTCGCCGTGTAGGGGCCGGATGTCGACGGCCAGTAGTATAGAATAAGGGAGCGTTGATGGCGACGGGTTATTATGGCGACGAATCCGAGTTCGAAGGGGGTAGTGGTGAGGCAGAAGGGCGAGTAGCTTTTGCAATGAACGGAGGTAGTGAACGATGTGAGGTTGAAGCAAGGTGCAGACTGGGAGGTTGATGTAGATATTGAGATAGCGGGCATCAGGGGCCTGGGTCTTTTGCGTGTTTGGAGTGGCTCAAGCAGAAAAGCCCCGGCCACCTTGCTGCTTGACTCTTCAATCCACAGTGATCAATAGCCAGCTCACATCCATGTCTGACCTACTGGTGCCACTTCCCACGCATGCGCTATTCTTGAATTCGGCGCGCTAGCGTAGCTGTGAAGGCGGCCTGGCGAGGGTGGAGCTCACAGGAGAAGGGGAGCAAGGGGAGGTGTCAAGAATGGGACCAGTGCTTCTAGGGCGCTCCACTAGGAGGGATGGATAACCCAGCCCGAACAAGGACCAAGATCTTCGTGGCTCGTCGTAATATACGAAGACAAGGATGGTCTGACACACGAAAATAAATGGTCCACTCAACGGCCTAAGGTGGGCCATTGCTACCCTAATAGAGCCATATCCAATATCTAATACCACGCCCAAGATCCCAGTCGAGCTAGTCAGAGACCGAGCCGAAGAGAAGGGGGGGCGTGCGTGTGATCTTGTTGATAGAGACTGGAAAGACTGGTACAGGCTGCTGACTCTCCACCTCTTTTTTCATCTCGTTAGTTCACACACCCGTTCTCTCACTGGCCGGGCAAATCGTCATAAATCGGCGACCCGTGACTCGCATGACTTTTCTTGCTCTTTTGCCATTGGGACGCCGGGCGGTTGGCAAGATCCTTGATTTGGCTAACAAGAAACACTTCTAAACACTTCTTCTCATCAAACTTTGAAGAGACTATGGAGATGTCTAACAAGATTGCATCCTTCTTTTTTTCTGCCTTCCTTTTCAAAAGAAGCTCGCCTCGAGCAAACCTGCTGATAAATGGATCTTTGCCTGTAAAAAACTGTTCAAGGCAAACTCTCTTCCCCTCTTTTCCCGCCTCGTGTATATTTGTAGTACCAAATACATAGTAGACGGCTGTCCAAGCCAAGGCCAGCGTTGTGACTCGGGAACATTCTCAGAGAATAGAGAGAAGAGAATGCATAAAGGTCACCCGGCTATGGCAGAGTATCTGAGACCAACATTTTGAAATGGGAATTTGCCCAGTAATCCTTCTGTTGCAAATACTGCTTCGTGTCCCATCTGATTAATGCTACATTGGCCAATGGCTTGCCATCGCGCAAGATCGGTGTCTCTGTTTATGTCGCACCTTGGACTATGTATGTTAGGTAGGTAGGTATGTAGGTATGTCAGTTTGAGAGAGCAATCCGATAATCTGCCCACATGGACTGACACTGGTAATAGTGTATCCCGTATGCATTTCTTATCTGGGCTGTAGACTGATCTTTTCTTTTCCTTTTCGTCTTCTCGCAGAGTGAAAACGCAGGTTGTCTACACGTACGGGCTGGTATTGCTGTTGCTGTTCATACTTACAGCAAAGCGTTATTGACCTTTTCTTGTCTTGGTCTATCTCGGACTAATTGTGCGGCATGTCCGTATACTACGGCACAGCGATTTGGTATACCTACTGAGTACCTAACCTGGTAAATCCCGTTGCATAATAGTAGCTGTTTGCTGTGTCTCTGGCTGTCTGGATCTGATTTTTTTGCCGCTGCAAATATACCGTTTGCTGGAAATGAGCTGACATCTAAGCCATTCTGCTAGACAAGCGGCAAAGGCGATGCATTAGGGATGTTGGCTGGGGCCGCTTGTACCCGCGCGCTCGATATTGCGCAAGCACTGAGCATATTTTTATTTATTTTTACTTCATTCTGGTTTCTCTTTTTTTCATGGAAGGGTTTCGGCCGTTGGCGATGCTGTACTACTGGTGCTACTGACTACCTCTCGTTAGAGTACCTAGATGGGCGCTTTGCCATTTCGCCCTCCGGGCGCTCTCTGAATTGACGACTAACTACCTAACCGACCGAATTTTAGAGAGCTGCAGAAAATTTACTAGTGGCGGTAACGATACCGGATTCGTAGAATGGCAGCGGTGGCATTGCAGCAAATGCAAGAAAGTGTCCAATGGCGCTCAGACTTCTCGTTGCATCCCGAGGGTCTACAGAAGAGACCTCCCTAGCCGTTGGTGGCGATGATTGGCCAAGAGCAACAGGTGGGTGTGGACGGTAATGAATCTGATGGAGCCCCAGGTTTTTTCGAGGCTGCAGGTTGTGGCCTTGAAGTGAGGGATTATCTCCGAACAGTGTGGGTGGTATTAAATAATCTCTTTGGTGCGGGCGTGGGTGACCGCATGCAGTAGCCTCGTAATACGGCAAAGGGATGAAGGATTGATTCGACGAGATTGGCCGGCGCCTTCTGATGTCTTGCCGAGAAGTGAGGCTGTCGGTTCAGGGCGTCTGGGCCAATCCACGAACGAGATACAGTCCTGACTGCTGCTTATGCTCAGATCTGAAATAAGCCAACAGCCTGTAAGAAACAGGATGTCAATATATACACTATGCTAGCATAGTATGTGTACGCCATGAACATTAACGTCTATTTTAACTGTACTGAGTAATAGACGTGTATGGAACAGTCAACCTTGGTGATGGAAGATGGAAAATGTAAAAGTGCTATGTAGCGG